AAGCCTAGGGTGTAGGGATCATGTGCTAAGACATACCACAACGTTCTATACTTAAAGCCTATGGTGTAGGGATCATGTGGTAAGACACATACCACAACGTTCTATACTTAAAGCCTATGGTGTAGGGATCATGTGGTAAGACACACACCACAGCGTTCTATACTTAAAGCCTATGGTGTAGGGATCATGTGGTAAGACACACACCACAGCGTTCTATACTTAAAACCTTGCGTGTAGGGATCATGTGGTAAGACATACCACAGCGTTCTATACTTAAAGCCTATGTAGGGATCATGTGGTAAGACATACCACAGCGTTCTATACTTAAAGCCTATGGTGTAGGGATCATGTGGTAAGACACATACCACAACGTTCTATACTTAAAGCCTATGGTGTAGGGATCATGTGGTAAGACACACACCACAGCGTTCTATACTTAAAGCCTAGGGTGTAGGGATCATGTGCTAAGACATACCACAGCTTTCTATACTTAAAGCCTATGTAGGGTTCCTGTGGTAAGACACATACCACAGCGTTCTATACTTAAAGCCTATGTAGGGTTCCTGTGGTAAGACACATACCACAGCGTTCTATACTTAAAGCCTATGTAGGGTTCCTGTGGTAAGACACATACCACAGCGTTCTATACTTAAAGCTTAGCGTATAGGGATCCCATGGTAAGTCACATACCATAGCGTTATATACTTAAAGCCTAGCGTGTAGGGACCCTGTGGTAAGACCAGAGGCGTATCCAGGTTTTCGTTGTAGGGGGAGCGAAAAGAGCAAAAAAAAGGCGCCGAATTTTGAACACGTTCTATATACGTGTATTTTATATATATATATATATATATATATATATATATATATATATATATATATATATATATATATATATATATATATATATATATATATATATATATATATATATATATATATATATTACTTCGCTATGATGTAAAATAAATTGAAAGTAGCACTCTGAAGAAATAAGAAAAAACATACAATGTAGGCCGACAAAACAAAAATTGTATCAATCTAAACAAAAAAAAATATACACACACAACAACCAAAAACAATGAACGTAACACAATCTGTTTTGTAATTCTTGTAAAAAAAAATTCTTACATAATAATTCCTGGGAAATTATTTAAGACAAGTGAAATAGGGGAAATAATCACTCTCTTACTATAAATATGTATATATCTACACATTTAATTATAAACGTCAAAACAAATAAATAATTACTTTAGAATATAATGAAATTGTTTAACACTATTCGTGTTTACAAAATGTTTTTGTCTATAATCAGAATTTAATATATCGTCATTATAAATGCTAAAGCATTACAGCATAATGAAAGTTTTTAAAATCAGAGTTGGTATAAAACCACGCTTTTCGATAAAATAGAAAAACATTCGGAATAACAGCCTACATTTAACTAAATATCGGCGTTTTTGTACAGATCAAATATTTTTAATTAACTACTGCTTCTTTGAGTTCTTTAAAGGTAATTTTTTAACATAGTGATAGCTCTGGGTTAGATCACTGTATTGCTCACACACCTTTTTACTGGTAATTGCAAAAACAATATTCACAGAGTTTTACGTTTAAAAAGCTAACTTTCTGGCGGCATGATACTTTGGTACATCATTACGCGTTTTTCTACATGTACTTAACAGATCAGTTCGGGGTGGGTTGGGGGGGGGGGGGTCGGTTCAACTTCATTCACCACTGTCCGGTCACTTTAGGTCAATTATCCAACCCAGTGTATACCTAGGTGTGACATTAATATCGCTCTACACAATTGTGGTGGTGTTTGTGTGTGTGGGGGGGGGAGGGGGAGATAACCAACTCAGAGTGAACATAGCGTCAGTTTTTAGATGACTGTTCTAAACATACACATATATTACACAAATATATATTACACAGATATATATTACAGAAATAGATTTAAATAAGTAGCAGTGGTATTATGACAATATTTTTGTACAGAGGGGTCCATGGGGGAGGGGGTTGTAACTGTTTCATATAATTTGTAATCGTAATCACTATCGCCCAAACTGTAAGAATACTACTACTTCATCGTGATGACGTTGTTGACCTTGTCAAAATTTCCCCAACACTACGCAGTTTGCTCATAAGTAAATTTAAATAGAGGTGCCACATCAGTTGTATTTGTTTCTGTATTGTATTTTTTTTTAAATTAATCACACGATTCAAACTGTATATATAAAGTAATTATGTGTGCAGTTTTATATATAACATTTTCTAATTCAATTATTCGTACGCAAAAACATTATACAGTTGCCTTAAACTTAACACCCCTCTTGCCAAGTGGTACTACCCGTAGAGGTTTTTTAAACATTGCAATGCATCGTAATGGTTATTTTTAAAATGGCAAAATGATGCAGCTGTTAATACGTGTTGTAAACGTAGACACTACTAGACTAGTACAATAATGCGTAATTGTTGCATGAAAAGAAATCTTGTGATTTACATAGATGTGCCGACCAAAATTATTTTTTTTAACAAATGTCATTGTTTAAAACTTTGAATTTAAAAAGTTTCCAAAAAGGCGCCACTTTGCTGAAAATGACCAGAGGGGGAGCGGCCGCTCCCCCTGCTCCCCCCCTGCGTACGCTACTGGGTAAGACACATACCACCCCACCCCGTCAGTCATTGATTACAACAGTCTTTGATGCTGAGAATTGAATCTAGTTGTGTCCTCATGCCCTCTTGAACCCCCTCCCCCACCCCCCTGTTTTATCGATATCTGATCGGCATGGTAGAGCATCGGCATTCACTGGCACTGTCGGGGTAAACAATGGTCACGTGACCGGGGGAAAGGGCGCGCGCGTGGGCACAGGCAGCAGTCAATAGCGGGGGGTGGGGGGATTGTACCGGCGTGAAATGAGGATGAGACGTTAATCAAATGATTGTGTCAATCAAATGATTGTGTCAATCAAATGATTGTGTCAATCAAATGATTGTGTGGGTCTGATGATTGTGCCAACCTAAAGAGAGCGCTGGCAAATAACCCAATCAGAGAGTAGGTAGATAAAGATTGTCTGTTACTGCTCGTGGTGTATGAGCTTTACTGTTGGTTACGTTTTCTCAGACTACATCCTCTGGCATTATCTACAGCTTATATTTAGATGGGCTATATAAGCCGCATTTAATAGTCTATTGTTTCGTGGCTCAGTTAAGGTACCTGACAATGGAACTCTGTTTCGTGGCTCAGTTAAGGTACCTGACAATGGAACTCCTAGAGAGTTCTAGAAGCTTTCAACATCGTACACTAACAAGCCATCAGGCATGTTTACTCACACGGGCACGTGCATGGCTTTGTTTGTCTCCACGCCCATGCCAGTCGCCACATTTCTCCCGGCGTTAGTACGTGTTAGTTGGGTGGGGGGGGGGGGGGGGTGGAATGTGGGGTAGAGCAGCTCTCGTGTTTGTGGAGGTTTTGAGAATGTAGACCAGCAACAGGCTGGCTATTTTGTATGGACGGTGCTTGTTGCTCTGACAACATGAAATTAATGTTATCATTAAAACATTTTATAGTTCAACATTTTTTCCACAATGTTTTGATGCTTGGATAAAACAAAATCAGTCAAAATAGAACAGTTGGACAGTCCTGTTCTAGTTGGGACAGTCCTGTTCTAGGTGAGACAGTCCGGTTCTAGGTGGGACAGTCCTGTTCTGGGTGGGACAGTCCTGTTCTAGGTGGGACAGTCCTGTTCTAGGTGGGACAGCCCTGTTCTAGGTGGGACAGTCCTGTTCTAGGTGGGACAGCCCTGTTCTAGGTGGGACAGTCCTGTTCTAGGTGGAACAGTCCTGTTCTAGGTGGGACAGTCCTGTTCTAGGTGGGACAGCCCTGTTCTAGGTGGGACAGTCCTGTAAGGTGGGACAGCCCTGTTCTAGGTGGGACAGTCCTGTTCTAGATGGGACAGTCCTGTTCTAGATGGGACAGTCCTGTTCTAGGTGGGACAGTCCTGTTCTAGGTGGGACAGTCCTGTTCTAGGTGGGACAGCCCAGCAATATTTTGACCGCCGTATCTCAGGTGGACCGACGCGATGGGTTCGAATACTGGAGCAAAGATAGCTATTGACACGGCTGAGTTGACTCAGCTCTACAGCGTACTAGGCCTGACGATCATAACTGACTTGGTTTCTTACATTTCTATTCCTCTCATGACAAACCTTGAGTCATATAAAAAAACCGTTGATGACCGCTGTTGGGGATCTCCTTGGCCACGAAATGAAATTAACTGGCAGCGGCCTACAAGCGTATCTTCCCTTGGTTGTTAATTGGGTTACGTTTGTCCGAGTTGATTGGCCACGGCGTGTGGGTGCATGTCTAGCGCTGCACGATTGGTTCTGTCAACAACATCATCACAACATCAGCACAACACATCATCACAACACATCATCCGGACCTCGCATGCATGTCTAGCGCTGCACGATTGGTTCTGTCAACAACATCATCACAACATCATCACAACACAACACATCACAACACATCACAACACATCACAACACATCATCTGGACCTCGACTCTACCCTCCATACATACATCCTAACCTCTACCCTCCATACATACATCCTAACCTCTACCCTCAAATCCACCCTCCTCATTCCCTCCTTTTCTCCCCCAAGCGCCTTCCATTAATAATGTCCTAAAGGCGCCTTTGTAAACAAATGTTTGTGTAGTTGTCCTCTTCCACGAGGGGATATTTCGCCTTGTGCATCAGTGAATTTTGTTTTTCACATATTCCTATTCTAGAATGTTGTCTCTAGTATGTTTAACCATTTTCCTATTGCTCTAGAATGTTGTCTCTAGTTTGTTCAACCATCTCCCTATTCCCATAGAATGTTGTATCTACTTTGTTCAACCATCTTCCTGTTGCTCTAAAATGTTGTCTCTAGTTTGTTCAAACACCCCCCTATTACTCTCGAATGTTCCTCTTGTAACGAGCAACCATTTCTCTCCCCAGCCTAGAGAGCCGAGACAACCCGTTCCTGCCCGGGGGTGACCTGTCCAGAGAGGCGGAGGACCTGCTCCGTCGGGCCACCATCATCCGCGACCACTTCTACCTGAACGAGGACGAGAAGCGGACTCTACGCGAGCAGCAGCAGCAACAACAGCAACAACAACAACAGCAGAAACAGCAGCGCGGCACCAAGCACGTGCAGATCGTCGAGCACCAGGACGACAGCGACGCCCCACCCCAGGGGGCGCTCGAGGAAAGAATCTCCCCGCTCAGTGCAAGCAACGCCCTGGCCGCGGCGCCCTCTAACGGCGGAGACCACCCCCAACCAAAGGAGAACGGTAAGGCTGGTGACCCGGCCTCTGTAGACTGTGTAAAAATTGCTATTCCAGCGGGAGACGGTCAGTCGTTAGCCCAGACCAGCCCGGGGCTCGCGCAGAGCCCTGGGGTGGGGGACTTACAGGTGCATGATTCGGACAAAAAAAGGAGAAATAAATGCTGCACTGTTATGTAGGGTACCTGGTACCTCTGCTACGTCGCAATACCAGATGAGCACTAAGTAAAGCAGGATACCAATGTTCTTTAGATATGGATTTCTAGAATTTATGATATAATATTGATGAGATTGTAATTTATTCGTTATTTTATTGATTATGAAAACGTGAGTTTGGGGTGGTACTCGGAGAGGAGCTGTACATGTGGGGGTCGGGCTGACATCCAGGTGTGCCGCACACCTGCTGTTACCTGTATAGGCCAGGTGAACTTCTTTGATTAGGTAACTCTAGAAGGCCAGGCGGATGGAACGGTTCCAGGCTGCAGCTTCACTTGCTGGGGATCTTCAGTAGAGGTCACTGCTGCATAACGGCGTCACGACACTCTTGACCCTGGCGTCACGTCACTCTTGACCCTGGCGTCACGTCACTGCTTGACCCTGGCGTCACGTCACTCTTGACCCTGGCGTCACGTCACTCTTGACCCTGGCGTCACGTCACTGCTTGACCCTGGCGTCACGACACTCTTGACCCTGGCGTCACGTCACTGCTTGACCCTGGCGTCACGACACTGCTTGACCCTGGCGTCACGACACTACTTGACCCTGGCGTCACGTCACTACTTGACCCTGGCGTCACGTCACTACTTGACCCTGGCGTCAACAGCCAAGTGTAGGCTGCATTCTGTTTCATCGTCAGCTTGCCAGAAGTTATGCCCCACAATACTTTCTGTTTGGTGGACGTCCCAGCCCCTCAGCTTTAAGTTTACACAGAATCTTCTGGAAACCACAAACCTGCATGGATGGGGCGGCTATTAGGTTGGCGTCAAGATAATCAATTCTCTCACCTGATTAAAAAAGGTGTGTAAACTCTTGGTGTCTAGATCACCGTGTGTACCCACGGGGGATGGACTGTGTACGTGCTTCATTCAGTCTGTGCATTATCTCATGTATAGTTTGCTTCAGCCGCATTTGGTTCCAGGATTTCCCTGCGCTTGCCTTACACTACGTTAGGGATGACGTCATCAGGACTTGTGTACACACAATCGGGGACATAAAAGCTAGTTTGTTTTCTGCCGCCAACTGTCCTGATTTCCATCTGTGTTTATTTTGGTTGCTTATCCAAACGTGCTCTGCTGCATATTATTTGCTAGCAATGTTATTTTTTCATTCTAGAAATGGCTTTTAAACTGTATGGAAAGCAAGGAGTGATTAGCACCAAGTTATTTTTAATGCAGCTACATTATAGGTAAAAATTTTCCGTTGAAAGCATACTTGTCCTATAGCCAGATCATTTTTGCCATTTAATGTCGAATTCCTTTTAGTGGGTGCCAAATTGTAAGGAGCTAACAATAGTGACAAAAAGCCCAGTCAGATCAAAGCAAAAATCTCACAATAAATAGAAAACAACAATGAAGAAAGTTATCGTGTGTGTATCGATAGTTTGGTTTAGTTTTGTAAAAAAAAAATAATTTGTGATTCAGGTCAGCAGAACTCAGTGGATTGCCAACAACAGAAATTCTTCACAAAATGGACACTTTCTGTCACCAGCTGGACTAAGGGAAATAACTTATGTTTTGTTTCATTTGAGAATTTCTTACTTTCGAGAAATAGTTGTTCCCCCTAGTATTTAACTTTGGAAAAATCATTTCTGCAACTTATGTAATTTCTTACAAATACCATTTTTACATTACAAAATACGTCCAATTAAAAAAAATTGCAGTTTTAGTTCCCCATCTTTAACACAAGATTAAATTAATTATATAATTTTGGGACATTTCGTAATGAATTGTAAGATCACAGATTCTTCCTGTTTCGCTAGCTTTCGTCATCAGTACAGCAGTGCAAGGTGTATATTTTGGCCAACTACTCATTTGTACTCATTTCGACCTGTGTTCAGCCCATGACTACACTAACCCAAGGGAGTTACACTCTTCATCAACACACCATCAACACTCTTCATCAACACATCATCAACACACCATCAACACACCATCAACACACCATCAACACACCATCAACACACCACCCAAAATGGAGTTGTACATTTAATTACATCCAAGTTTTCCACACTCTGCCATAGGATATCTCAACATGCCTTTTTTTCAACACGACAATCTGTGTTTGACTTCTGGGGGTTCTATGTTTTCAGCTTCTACATCAATATTTCTTGAAAGACGTTTTTGTAACAGTTCTTCGTTGTGTTATGCATACCTTATTGCCAGTATTTTATAATGCCATAATGTCCTGTTAACTACTTATGATTAAAATAGCTCATCAATAAGAGTATTATAGATTGCTTGTATTTCTTATTTTAACTGTTAAAATTCAAGTTTATTTACCTACTCTCATCAGTTTTCTACAAGTTTTTAGCTCAATGGAGAACACATTTTATAAGTAAATCTATAAAGTATTTTATTTTGCTTCAAACTTTTTTCCACATTTTTTTCATGTCCTCGGCTGTGAATAAAACATTTCTGTGTTACTTAGTTTTATTTATGTGATAATTTTGTCTTAAATAGAACAGAGAACTAACAGAGGTGTAAATAAAGATTTTTTTTTTGGATAAGTATTTTGTGCAGGCCTGATTTTATAGAGTTGGTCTATTCTTAACAAGGAGCAAATAAAAAAATAATTTGGTAAGTTTTCAAATACTTACATCATGCTGTGCAGCTTACATCATGCTGCGTAGCTTACATCATGCTGCATAGCTTACATCATGCTGCATAGCTTACATCATGTGGAGTGCAGGTATCACCGTACAGTTCATTAAATAGTTTGAAATCCAAAGCTTTTTACAACTCAGTGTATGCTAGCTGCCTCTAAGATGTCCATGATCTAATATAGTCATGACTATAAATATCACTTACATAGACTATTGAACTATTTTATATGGCGTATACTGTGGTGAAACCTTAAATGATTCCCCCAAGCGTTTTATTAACATTTACTAAACACAGAATGTGTTTATTACAAATACATCATGTGATTTCTAAAACAATACTTGGTTACAAAAATATTTTGTATTTATATAATTAGAGATATGCTGACAATTGAAAAAAATATGCATTTTATTACAGTTAAAAAAATGTGGTATTTATATTTTAATCCCATTTTAATCAGTTGTTTTATTTATTTTTTATGGAGTAGAAAATATAGAGGAGTCCACAAGTTTTTTAGTAGTCCTGTTGGGGGTGGGGTAATGGCATTAAAGCTTTTTAAATTTTGTGCATGTTGTGAATGCTAGTACAGTGTACATATGTGAGCCACTGACTTATACAAGGAATGAGAAATTTGTTCACTATCTTTATAAATAGTATTGTTTTTGTTCTTAATTTTTTATGGTACATAATTATGTCCTGAACAAGTTTTTCCCTTATTTTTTGTTTACTTCTGTATCTGAAGAGCTCTTGGCTAGAGGTAGAGATTATTTCCCTTCGTATCACAGTCTTTGGATGTGTGACAGTTTGTCATGTGTTCATAGATGCCATCCTTGTCATATGCCACCAGCACAACCCTCTTTTGCTTCATGTCCTATCTAGAGTGGCATTAGATTAGCTCTTTTAACATTCAAACATTTTTTTCTAAACTTTAACACTCTTATAAAAATTGTGTACGTTTTTCACAAATTTTTAAAATACCAAATGAGCTTTTTCAATGCCAAAAAGAAAAAAAAAAATGCTATAAGCAACACCAATGTTGCTCTAAGCTTTGATTTCCTTATTAAACTTAAATGATGGAAAGCTTTTTTTTTTAATTAATAAACCACTGAAAAAATACTTTGTTTCTAGTCTTTTTTTTAATAATCAAATTTTCGCAGCATTAGCGGCAGAAACTTAAAATCATACAGGGTCTTTTTTTTTTATTCATTATTTAATGAGATGGGTGTTGCTTTTATACAGTTGCAATCCATCTAACATCAATGTAACCACTTGAATAGATATGTGCTTACTTTGGCTTCAAGGTGTACTTTAGACTTTCCTCAATCATGAACAATAATATTAAGCAGATGGTCATTAAAAAGATTTCTTCTTTTGATTAATTTTTAAATGTTTTTGTGTTGTTGTTTGTTTGTTTGTTTTTCAAAAAATAAACAAATGCATGTTCATATTTAATATTTGAAAGTGAATAATTAAATTTAATCCAAAGTCACCATCTAGTTGATTGCTTGACTAGTCTAATTAATTATCACAAGTCTTTTTTTGTGTCAGCCTGCTCCCTCATTGCAAGTTTTGTTTAAGGCACATTCTGTTTCATAACTGACACTGTCATTGACAGCTTTAGATTTATATTACAGTTTTCTCTGCTTAGAAACGTGTTGTTTAATATTTACTACACGCAATCAAATAAAACGCTGAATTAAAATTAAGGGAGGTAACTATTCAAATAGCATGTTATTGAACAAATTACAGAGTTGTCTACCATATGACACTTGTTTACAAATTAGTTTTTGACCTACTTCATTGCTTCGTGTGGTTCGACCATAACTTTGGACAAAACATTTTCCTGAGAAAATATTGATTTTTGTCATTAAATGTGCTTGATATATTGATCTTTTTGTTCTCTTCGTCTTTTCTAATATAATAGATGTGGCGGGATGAAATTAATTTAAGATGAGAATTGAAGATTATGTCAGCATTTAACACGACTATTCTCAATTAACATAACAAAATTAACATCCATTGTTAATGGCTAGATTTACATATATTTTCTCACTACTACCTTTGGAAGCAGGACATTACCCCCCTCCCCGGACATTGTTCCCCAAAGCAAATACCCCCCCCCCCCTTGACAACTACACCCGCCCTGTTATAAATAAGTTTGGGTCGGGGTTAGATGTAGGTTTATAGTTGGGGTCAGGATTAATGTTTCGGTTATCTATAGGTTTGTTATGGTCAGGGTTCTTCAGCATGGGGGGGGGGGGGGAGATTTCCCAGACCCAATACTAGTTAATTTTAAAACTACAAATTATTAATTCCTCAGGTCTGCCGTTACACATATTTAAAAAATTAATTAATTTAGGAATTTTAAAAAACTGTTTGACTAAACTCAGGACACACCGATACACACACTTGGGTCATGGCACAGCGGATTCGGGTGCTACAATCAGGTCAATGATGGAGAGATAAATGAAACTGGAAATGGGATTGATCTCCTAGCAAACACACATGTTCCACTCTACAGGTACCGAACTACTCCTGTATTACACCACGTTTACACTTGCGACAAGTATACTATAAATTTTTGAGAAAAAAATTCGCAACAAGGTAATGTAATATGAAAACATTTTCCCCGCGGAACATGTATACTAACTTACTGCAAGTTGTTTTGTTTCTAGATATGTATAATATACAAGTATACAGCGGTTATACTATGTACACTAACACATGTTTAGAATACAATAGGTATATCCACACAAACATATCCATAATAAAACTAAAAATAGTAAACTGCAAATGATACAAAACTGAAGTGGAGATGCGTTTTGTGCGCATTTTTAAACCAAGATTTGCTGAAAGTTCCGAGGGGTGGGGTATAACTTGGGGGAAATTAGCACCTTAGAAAACGTATACACTGAAAACTGTATATGTATCGATGTTATGACCAGAGATACCGACAAAAGAGCGGTACAAGCAACAAAAATGGTCTATTCATTTTACGGAAAACTCTACCGATATTTGACAACAAATTTTATAAAATTGCGATTTGGCTTGGTCTAAGTTCTCGGAATTACAACGTGTGAGTTCAAACAGTCAGTGCCCAGCGAACTGTTCCTGCTGGCTTCATCATCCAACGAACACCACTCACATCAGCAACTTTCTCAAACGGCCAACTTGAACCTCGTTATGGTGATCTTTTAAAAAACTGGGACCACTAAGATACGGAACAAATACCAGAACGGTACAAGGAAACGCTGTGACTACACTTCAGTTCAGTCTGTGACGAGAGTTAGCACTCCCAGAGTTCTGTGCCGAGAGTTAGATGTCTTGTACTTGTACATAAAGTTTCGTTTGTTTTTTTAAACCAGCTGATACTGTCACAATAATCGAGAATAATCGATTTTACAAGCTTTTACTTAGTTCAAGATGCCCGTTTGTTTGTGGGTTGTGGACAATCTTGTACTCAATTTTGACCCATTTGTAGTGCAGCGATTTCGCTCAAACTTTCCAGCACATAACAGAATCCTACAGGTCAGCATATAACAGAATCCTACAGGTCAGCATATAACAGAATCCTACAGGTCAGGATATAACAGAATCCTACAGGTCAGCATATAACAGAATCCTACAGGTCAGCATATAACAGAATCCTACAGGTCAGCATATAACAGAATCCTACAGGTCAGCATATAACAGAATCCTACAGGTCAGGATATAACAGAATCCTACAGGTCAGCATATAACAGAATCCTACAGGTCAGCATATAACAGAATCCTACAGGTAACACTTAACAGAATCCTACAGGTCAGCATATAACAGAATCCTACAGGTCAGCATATAACAGAATCCTACAGGTAACACTTAACAGAATCCTACAGGTCAGCATATAACAGAATCCTACAGGTCAGCATATAACAGAATCCTACAGGTCAGGATATAACAGAATCCTACAGGTCAGCATATAACAGAATCCTACAGGTCAGCATATAACAGAATCCTACAGGTAACACTTAACAGAATCCTACAGGTCAGCATATAACAGAATCCTACAGGTCAGCATATAACAGAATCCTACAGGTCAGCATATAACAGAATCCTAGAGGTCAGGATATAACAGAATCCTACGGGTCAGCATTCTACAGGTCAGCATATAACAGAATCCTACAGGTCAGCATATAACAGAATCCTACAGGTCAGCATATAACAGAATCCTACAGGTCAGCATATAACAGAATCCTACAGGTCAGGATATAACAGAATCCTACAGGTCAGCATATAACAGAATCCTACAGGTCAGCATATAACAGAATCCTACAGGTAACACTTAACAGAATCCTACAGGTCAGCATATAACAGAATCCTACAGGTCAGCATATAACAGAATCCTACAGGTCAGCATATAACAGAATCCTACAGGTCAGGATATAACAGAATCCTACGGGTCAGCATATAGTCTACAGGTCAGCATATAACAGAATCCTACAGGTCAGCATATAACAGAATCCTACAGGTCAGGATATAACAGAATCCTACGGGTCAGCATATAGTCTACAGGTCAGCATATAACAGAATCCTACAGGTCAGCATATAATTATAACAGAATCCTACGGATCAGCACATAGTCTACAGGTCAGCACATAACAGAATCCTATATGTCAGCATATAACAGAATCCTACAGGTCATCACATAAGCTCTACCAGAATCCCTCCAATAACTGACCACAGCCCGATACTACCGACATCTCCATTGTTTTCATGTCTAGGATAAATATAACAGAGTAGCATTCTGGCATATAAAGATTTAGGTTTTTAATAAATAAAACAAAATGTAATCTAGCAGGCTATGGTTCAATTTATTTGCTGACATGTATGTAAGTTTAACGAATGGTAAAAAAAAAATGCATCTTTTTAACTTTTATTTATGGGCGTTTATCATTTTCAATATTAGGCATATAACTGATAGTTTCAGTATCAGGTGGGATGATTAAAAAATAGCGCCCCTTTCCTCTCATCCACCCCCCCCCCCCCCCCAAAAAAAATATAAATAAAAGCGAATGTTATAATACAGTAAAAATTATAATAAAGCGGGACTAATCTTTCATAAACTTTCTCGTATATTTAATTTTTAAATAAAATAAAATTATACTGAAGAATGAAAATTTCTTCTTGCTTTAAAAAAAAAAATTATTCGGAAAATAGTGTTAAATTATAACTTCCGGTCAGCGGAAATCACTCAAAATTTGACAGAAACTATTGAATAAAATCCAATAACTATGTATGGAATTTTGTCCTTCAGATACACACACACACAAACACACACATATAATAGATTGACGACAGAAGCCTGTGGTTGTATATAACACATTTATTGGGTCTAACTACATCACGATGGTAACACACAGAGAGGACGGAAGGAAGTACCCAAGGGACATCACTCAAGATAACAATATTATAAATATAACTAATACAGAAGAGTGAGTTCCCTTGACCTCACAATTATTTCAATCTATTACATCCCTTTACCCTTAGAACACAATAACACATCTCTCAATAGAACAATTGATAGTATCCTAAAATCACCAATTATATTGTAACATAAACACTATGGTAGATTACATCCTTACAAACAATGCACAATATGCTACAACATAATCAAAATACAAAACAATAATGTCAAAGTCCTTTTGACCTTTAGAATCATAGGTCTAACTTATTTGGGACTTTGATTGTCCTGCTTGACCTTCTCAGTGGCTTCTGATTTGGTGACTCAAGATTCTGACCATCTGGATTCTCTATCTCAGGAGGTCTAGGATTTAAATTATTAACTCCAGAATTTACATTTTCTGACTCTAGACAACTTGGTTCACTCATATCAACAGAACTTGGTTGTGGAACAAACTGAGTTGGTGTGAACTGATCAGACTTGGTGGGATTGACAGATTCACACTTATTATCTGCACAAGTTATTTTTAACTTTATAAGACACAGGTCCTGTACCTTGAACAATTTGACCTGGTATCCATTTTTCCTTTCTCCCATAATTTCTTAGATACACATTCTCATTAACACCAAATTCTCTTTCAATGAATGTTTGTCATGATTTAATGGAACTATTTTTGAATTGGCCTCTGGAAGTATTATGCCATTATTCAGATCCTTAATTGACATAGATTTCTTTGATTGATCAATTTTCTCAGGTAATCTGATAGTGCTTTCCTGGTAACCAAAAATACTGTTTAAAGTAATATTCTAGACCATATCACTTTGCAACTGTGATCCAGTATTTGAAGTGGGTGTATTAAATGGCAAAAATCTTTTTCTTCTTTTGATGTTACCCTTTTAGTTTCTGTAAGTGCTAATGATGTTAGCAAAGTTGTTTGATGATCACATTCCTTCTTACTAATGTATTTTCTTTAAAACATTTGAAATTGCCATATCACCATAATCATTTATTAAGTTACAAATACTTTGTTTAGGCAATTCTGACTGATAATGGACTGCATCTTCTCCATCTTTTATATTATCTTCACAAAGGTTTTTATTTCTTATTTAATATGGCCTTAAGTCATCATTCACAGACTCTTCAGGCCAACCAATCATACAGTACTCATATACTTTTATTAAGCACTCATCTTTTTGTGTTTCTCTTTTAATATCATTCACATTTATATTGGAGTTATCCATGATAGTGAAGAGAACAAATACATCTTCTGGTACATAGCTCAGGCTTTGGTTTTTTAAAGGTAATCTACTAAGACTATCTGCACTATTCTCAGATCCAGGTTTGTATTTCAATTCATAATTGTATGCAGTTAGTGTGATAGCCCATCTTTGAATTCTTGGTGAGGCATGCTCAGGTAGGGTTTTGTTTTCTCCAAATAAACCTAGCAATGGTTTATGATCTGTAAAGATGGTGAACTTCCTACCAAACAGAAACTTATGAAATTTCTTAACACCAAAAATGATGCTTAAGCCTTCCCTATCTAACTGAGAATAATTTTTCTCAGCCTGGTTCAAAGATCTACTGGCAAAAGCAATGGGTCTGTCACCCTTCTCATCCATGTGGGACAAGACTGCTCCTACACCATCTGGTGAAGCATCACATGTTAATATAAGTCTTTTCCCTGGGTCATAGTGAGTTAGTAAGGTGTCAGCAGACAAAGCCTCTTTTGCTGTGTTAAAAGCAGCTTCTTGTTGTTTACCCCAGTGCCAAGTTGCATTTTTCTGTAGCAGCTTGTACAGTGGTGATAGTTTACCAGACAGATTCCCTATGAACTTTGCATAGTAATTTATCAAGCCCAAAAAAGCTCTTAGTTGTTGGGTATTTTCAGGTTTGGGTGCTTCTTTAATGGCTTTTGTTTTCTCAGGTTGAGGTCTGATGCCTTGCTTGCTTAATACATAACCAAGAAAACTAATTTCTGTCAGCATGAATTGACATTTATCTTTGTTTATCTTTAAACCTTTTTCACCAACAATTTTCAATACTTTATCAAGTGTTTTAAGATGTTCAGTGTCATTCTTACCAGTTATGTACACATTGTCAAAGTACACACAAACATTTGGAATATCCTTAAAAATACTGTCCATGACAGCTTGGAAAATTCCAGGGCTGGATGATATGCCAAAACATAGTCTTTCATATTGGTAGAGTCCTTTATGTGTGTTTATTGTCGTATAGACTTTTGAATCTGGATGCAGTTCTAGTTGAGTGTAAGCATGACTAAAGTCTAATTCAGTGAATTTGTCTCCTCCTGCCAAATTCAAAGAAATTTCCTCAATGTTAGGTATAGGGTACCTATTTAGCTCTATTTGCTTATTCAGTGTAGTTTTATAATCTCCACAAATTCTTATAGAACCATCCTTCTTTAACACTGGCACAATGGGTGTCGCCCAATCGGAATAGTCTACCTTCTTTATGATGCCATTAGATTCCAATCTACTTAGCTCATTTTCAATTTTATTCCTCATTGCATAAGGTGGAACTCTAGCTTTGCAGTATCTTGGATTTGTATCTTTAATGCTTAACTTCACTGTTCTATCATTTAGTAAACCTGAGTTACCAAAAACACATTTATTTTCAGATATAACTTTATCTAGTGAAGTAAGACTAGATTCTTTTACATTCTTCAATGAACAAATACTCTCCCAATTTAACTTAAGATCACTTAACCAGTTCCTACCTAGTAATGGCGGTCCATTTCCTTCAACCACAAGAAGAGGAAGTTTAACACTTTGACCATTATAACTTACATGAACCATACACTCTCCTATTACCGGAACATTGTCACCAGTGTATGTTGTTAGACACTTGTGACACGGCTGTAGAGACACTGATCCTCCTGTGACAGCGTCAAAATCTTTCTTTGTTATGACTGTTAGAGATGCTCCAGTGTCAAGTTGGAAGCTGATGCTCTTACCGTTGATATTAACTTGTACATTGATGGGAGCATGACTTATTGATTTCACAGAGAACAGGTTGAAATCCGGCTGCGAATCAGTTTGAGCATTTTCACTGGTAGAGTGGTTCATTGGTTGGGTTAGGTAGTCTTGGTGAGAGTTAACATAGTGCTGCCTTTGGTTGCGGTACTGTCTTGACTGGCTAGATTTAGCAACAGACGAAGACTTTGCAAAGCAGGCCTTGGCAATGTGACCTTGCTTACTGCACTTATAACAAGTTGCAGACTTGAACTTGCACCGATGAGATGCATGGGGACCTTTGCATCGATGACATTTTTGATAATTATTACTAGATTTAGATCTAGGATTTGAACGAGCAGGGTGTTTAGCATAAGTTGGAATGCTCTGTTGGGGTTGATGTTTATTGACTAACCTGCTGTTTACTGCATGGATCTCTGAAGGTGCTAAAGATCTCGCCGCATCTGATGACTGCTGGAATGACATTGCAAGTTGTATTGCTTTTTCCAATTTTAGATCTGACTCGAGCAGCAACTTTCTTTGAATATCAGGGCTGTTTACACCTGTCACAAACTTTTCACATAGTCTGTCAGACAGCGTTTCTCCAAATTCACAGAATCTACTTAAATGACGTAAAGCAGCAACATATTCTGATATTGACTCGTTTGGTTGACGAGTCCTACTGTCAAATCTAGCTCTACATAAAAACTTTGATGGGGTGGGCGCATGGTGGTCTGTTAGCAATTTGCTCAGCTCGTTAAAGCTCTTGGTAGTTAGACTAGCTGGTGCGCATAAGTCTTTTAGTAGCCTAAATTGTTGAGGCCCTATGACTGTTAACAAAACAGCTCTCTTTTTGGCTTCTATCGTCACGTCGTTAGCTTCTAGGTAAAAGCTTAACCTCTCTAGGTAATCTTGAATGATTTCATCATTCGCATCAAATTCTTTTATTTGGCCATACAGCGCCATAATTCTAGAAATAATTAGCTAATAAGCTCTAGCAAACCTCTTTTTTGCGTAAGTAGGTGCTCTTTCTAGTAGATGTTTATCCTTCGTCGCCAGTTATAATAGATTGACGACAGAAGCCTGTGGTTGTATATAACACATTTATTGGGTCTAACTACATCACGATGGTAACACACAGAGAGGACGGAAGGAAGTACCCAAGGGACATCACTCAAGATAACAATATTATAAATATAACTAATACAGAAGAGTGAGTTCCCTTGACCTCACAATTATTTCAATCTATTACAACACACATAAGACAAAATTGATAAAAACTAAGTTTTTCCGACCCAGGAAGATGTAAAACAGTTCTAGATTTATCAAAATATCGATTTCGAGCTTTTGCACTATTACAAACAATACTTCCTGTACAAGAAAAATTGTACTCTGTCAAAGAAAGATAATCACAAAAAAGTAATACTTTAGTACTGAAACAGTTACTCCCCTTTCATTAAAATAAGCTTAATTTAATATGTAGTTTAAACTATTCTTTACTGAACACGAACCACGCTCAAAGCTTTGAAATAATAATTATTGGCCTACCTAAAAATCTCATCTTTTGATATATTATACGTTGATCGTTTTTCAATTGACTTGCATCAGTTATAGCTGTAGACAAACTTTAAGAATATACTAAATTATATCTAATCCCAAATAGCTTTAATTAGGCCAACTGATACTGTAAAACAGGCTTAGCGGTAAGAGATACTCGACGTATTATTTAACACGAAGGGGGCGGGGGTGGTAGTCAGTTTATATAGGGTAAAATGCTGGTATAAAACAATATTACATTAAACAATTTTGATTGCACGTATTTATAATTTGTAAGCTAGAATATGTATGGCTTTGGTCTATGGATAGTTTGAAACAAATGACTTATACATTTTTAACGTGAAATAATACTTTACAATAATTTCAAATAAAGCATCTTTAATTTTTAATACATGCTTTCTACCCGGCTATCAAATTGTGTTGGGATCTGTGTGAGGGAGGTTGAAATGCTTATTATTTTTATGGATAGTGGTCCTTTCAACTGTATTACAAATGGGTTTTGGTCTTTACAAAAGGTATAAAAAATGGGTAGGAGATGTGGACAAGTATCACATATGTGTATGTGCACAATGCTTAATAATAGTCGGCCCGGGCAGTGGCGTCGCTAGGTCGGGTGTCACCCAGTGCGGCATCTCATGGTGTCACCCCCCACCCCTATTTTTTTCCCTCGTGTCTCCCCCCCCCCCCCCCGGTAAAATTTTTGAAGTGTTCACATGTAATATATTTAATACTAATGATGTTTATCTATAGTCGGTTGTTAATACTCGGTTGTATTTATTCTATATATCTTGCAATATTTTTGTCTTGGTGTCGTCCCCCCCCTAAATGGTTTCACTCGGTGCGGTCCGCGCACCTCCCCCGCCCCCCCCCCCCCCGCCTTGCGACGCCTTTGGGCCCGGGGTAAGATGTGGTGCAGGTGCCGAGCCTGGGGGGGCGGAAATAAAGGAGTTAAAGAAAGAAAAATTGTCAACCAATATCTGGCACATTCCACCGTCAATATGCAATAGAAGATCATTTTTATTTAAGGGAAAAAAATAATCGCCCTAAGCAATGGCCCTGGGGAACTCCAATGTTGATGGAGATGGTGTTTAGATGAAATACCCGTTGTGATCTATTATATAAGAGAGCGTTAAGTAATTAAACCGTAGTTTCGTGAAATTTGGTAAGAAGTAGGCCTATAGTATAGTGTGATCAAAAGAATCAAATGCTTTTTTTTAATGGACGAACAGCCCCTCCCCGCCCCCGAATGAAAGTTTAAAGACCCCCCCCCCCACCAGCTGAAAAAAAAAGTCGGAAAGAAACACTTTTTTGTAAAGCGAAGACAGTATAGAAATTTGCAAATAGTCCTAAATCTATAGTTATTTTGGTTCTTGGATGTTACTGTTTGTGTTGTGATAGACTATAACTTTAGCATGCTTAAAATGTTTCGGGCAACATTGTTTGGCTATGCAAGGGTTATAGATATAAGCCAAAACCTTAGAGATTACTATGTGCACTCAGTAGACATATATTTTATTCAAGTATCATACAAACTATAAAGCTTATAAATTTTTAACAGCGGTTTGTCAAAATTAACCAGGGGAAGTAAAAACATATGTGGTGTTTTCCCGCAAGGTGGCGCAATTTACACATCGCGTTCAGATTCAATGATCCTGTAACTTAGTAGTTTGTAGCGGCTCTAAATTAATCAAAGCATGGCTTCACTGCCCCAGAAAAGAAAAGTGTGCTACTATTATGACGGTAAGTTTATCATTATTATTGTAAGCATATAATATTGTCGTTGAAAAATTTATAAACTCATTTAAATGAAAATTGACGGTGTGTTATCGCAAGTGGGACCCCGCACTTTTTTTCTCTCTCACGATTGGTGTCTGGATTTAATTTAAAAGAAATTCATTAGTTAAACCTAGGCTTATCGTACTCGTACAAATTATTACATTTTGTGTATAGTTCCATAAATAGAAGTTCAAAATAATTTTGAATATTTCGTAACCAAATAAAAAGATTTTATATTTCAAATATCTAACAACTATTTCTTTGTTAGCTTCAATTTTTTTAGGCAACGCTACCACTACCATGCAGAAAGTATGGAATACCATCCTCTTGGTACTCAGTTTGCATTTTTAAAATATTAAATTCTATCTCAATGATTGTGTTTCTTTTATCAAAATTTATTCATGAACCATTAGTAAATTATGTCTATATTATATACATTGGTAATTTTAATCCATGGACTACAGTTTTTGTTTTGTATATTGTTTAAGTAGTTTTTGAAAACTATGGAACACCATCTTCTCAGTTTAAGATTTGCAATTTTCAAAATGGCTGATTTAATTTAGGCCTATAGGCCTACATTTTGTTTAGGGATTCATTAACTTGGTGCTAATATTAAGTCTAATATTGTATGCATAGGATATGAAAAATCCCTTTTAATTAGCCTAATGATTAGGCATACTTTTAGAAGAATTTTAAATTTTATATTAACTAGATCTAGAAATAGGCCAAACTTCTACCTCAATCTTGAGTAGTGTTAACTAATTGAAGCCTATTGCTTGAGTATATATTTATGGTCTTGCTGCCTATCTCAATAGCAGGCCTGTTAATCATTTTTTAAAAGGTTACTTCTAATGGGATTATGTGTTTTTAAGTTTTTACAATAGCAGGCCTGTTAATCATTTTTTTTAAAAGGTTACTTCTAATGGGAGTACGTGTTTTTACCTGTGTCCGGTAATGCCCCAATACCAAATAAATGAAATCGTCTTGAAAAATTGTTAGAAAATGCTAACTGGTAGAAAACAAAATAAAAATATTAATGCTGTCTCTAACCCAATTCCTACTAAAGTACTTAATTTCAGATCCTAACAGTGTTAGGCTAACACTAAACCTGAGAGTACCATACTATATAACACACCTAGTTTTGTAAGTCTATTGTTGGAATCTAGTAATACCAATACAGGTTTAAAGACTGCATATTAGAGAATTTAGTTCATGTTACTTTAATTAGCATACTAGGGCAGTCACTGTTGTTTAAATATCTTTTTTTTTTGTTACAACAAAAATACAGTGAACCCTTTAAATTTACAATCAATTTAACAGTGGGTCCTGTAATGTGATTTACGTCACCAAATGCAGACAATGCAATGTCTTAATCTTTTGTATTGGACAAACTGGGAAACGACTGTCTAATATATAATATAGTCAACCAACGCCTATGAACTAATTTTTTTTGTGATGGCTGTCAACTTTTTCCATAATTTTAAAAACTGTTGGAATACAGAAATGCTGTTGATACCAAGAGCACAAAATGGTTTAAGTCAAGAGCTATCTTTCATTTAACCCGAGCCACCACCCCTTGCTCCCAACCCCCCCCCCCCCCCCCCCCCCCCCCCCCCCCCCTCTTTATCCCACATCTTTTCATTCAGATATCATGTCATTTAAGCAAGACATGTTTTACTGTTGCGCTAAGTCCAAAATTAGTCACTGTCTTTTTTGGTCTAGTCTTTAACCACATTGTTCTGTGCTGACATAGACAGGGTTTAAAACGTTCATTTACCTGTCTTTTTATTTGTGAGGATACTAACACTACCTGTTTTATTACGATTTGAATAAATCTCAGTGCTGCTACCATTTTTATTTATTTTGATCTGGTACATTGATAAATTAAAATTACTATGCAAAATTTTCTGCAATCCTGTATTTCTTCCCCCCCCCCCCCCCCCCCACTTGCGTCATTTATGGCTTACCCCTATTCCAAAATGATTTCAGTGAAAGAAAACTTGTATACCATATAATACAATCATAATATACTTGACTGTACAAGAATGTGTAAAGATTAGCTGTTGTGATTTTTTTTTTCAGGGGACATTGGTAACTATTACTATGGACAGGGACATCCTATGAAACCCCACAGGATAAGGATGACTCACAACCTTATTCTCAACTATGGACTGTATCGCAAAATGGAAATCTATGTATGAGAATCATTTCCATATTTTTGTTATTGATCAAATACTTTTTAATTTTTTTATTTAATAAAAACAAAAAAATAATTTGCAAATAAGTTAATGCAAGATATTTAATTTCCGTGACTGGTTTGTAATTTTTGTCTTCTAAAACCTTTTCCACAGAGACCCCACAAAGCCACAGCAGAAGAGATGACAAAGTTTCACAGTGACGACTATATCAAGTTCTTGCGCAGTATTAGGCCTGACAACATGGCTGAGTATAACAAACAGATGCAAAGATGTAAGCATTTTATGTTCACTTTTTCAATTCTACTGATTATTTTTATAACAAATGCAAAGATGTAAGCATTTTATGTCCACTTTTTTAATTCTACTGTTTATTTTTATGAGTCAACATAGTTTAGGCTTAAATGTTTATATATTTTAAAATTTTGTCTATGGCCCTTAATTTCTATCAATAATAAATAATCTCTGTGCTTTTCAGTCAATGTAGGGGAAGATTGCCCTGTGTTTGATGGCATGTACGAGTTCTGTCAACTTTCTACTGGTGGTTCTGTAGGTCAGTCATTTGATTCTGTTTGTTACTTCAGTTTAATTAGCTTGTTTTATTTTTAGCATCTGACACATTGTTTTTATCTCCAGCTGGCTCTGTGAAGCTAAACAAACAAGCAGCTGATATAGCAGTCAATTGGGCTGGGGGGCTTCACCATGCCAAGAAATCTGAGGCATCTGGATTTTGTTATGTCAATGATATTGTACTTGGAATTTTGGAACTGCTCAAGTAAGTATAGATGCCTTAATATGCTAGTGAAAAAATATAATGTTCATTATGTGACTTATCTTTTGTGGAGACATTTATCTATTTGATCTCATCTGCCTATTCAACCTTTAAAGATGTTTTATTATACTTGACATTTTATTTTAGTCACTATTTAAAAAAAAACTTATTTAATTGATTAGGTACCATCAAAGAGTGCTGTATGTAGATATAGATATTCATCATGGTGATGGGGTTGAGGAAGCCTTTTATACCACAGACAGAGTGATGACAGTCTCATTTCACAAGTACGGCGAGTATTTCCCTGGTACAGGAGACCTCAGGGTGAGTACTTATCCTCTTATTAACACTTCATACTGTCATTAGCCAGCTGATGTATTCATAACACTAGCATAATCAGTGATGTCTATGCCCTAAGCCTAATCAGTAACATTAAAGTATTGCTAAAGGTCTCCACCTTAAAAAATCTGTTTTCTTTCTCTGTAGGACATAGGTGCCGGTAAAGGCAAGTACTATGCAGTGAATTTCCCACTCAGAGATGGCATTGATGATGAGTCTTATGAGAGCATATTCAAGCCGGTAACTATCATTTGATTAATGGTTTTTATTGCACTTTTTGCTAGTTTCTTTTGGTATCTCTTCAGGGCGGAATTTATAAACAACTAGCGTGCCCGTCCTTGTGTAGATGTGGTCTAAGAAGAAAGTATGATGTAATATTTTAAGAGGGTTTCACCAATGCATTACCAATCCTATATTTTAAACGCGACAATTCCTGCGCGATATGTTTTAAAACATACGTGTCAGCTCACATGTTTGTCCACATTAACGCCAAGCACGCCCCATGGTGTGCTGTATGAAAGCCTTGAGTGTACATTAGCTAGGCCAATGCTGCTGCCGAGAAAATCGGACAAATCGGCTTTTCCCTACCCCCTGCATGTTCAACTCTATTTTTTGCATGCTTTTATTGTGTTTATATTAACATGTTATACACCATTCTGTTCGTAATTGAATAACCTTTTAAACTGTATAAGTTTGATTTCTTTATTATTTCAGACGTTGAAGAAATCGCCGATTTAATCGCATTTTTTACCCCCCGCGGCGACGTGCCGATTAGGGGGGAGGCTTTTTCACCTTTTTAAAACAGGGGTGTTACTTTGAGTCTATAGACTCTTCGAGTTTTCGCCCTTCAACAGTGAAACTTGGCAGAAATACAGATTAGATGTAGACGTATACAGCGCAGGGTTCGTCGTCAAAATATATTAAATACTTTCGGAGATATCGTACAGCAAAGTTAAACCAAGTTTCCCGCGTTATTTATAGACCGATTTTTAATTTGAACCCTGCGCTGTATTGCTGAAATCTGGACGTTTATTAATATGTATGATTTGTACTATAATGCCCTAAGATAGAGACGTCTATAGACTTTGAAGTGGACCGAAAATCAAAACATAACGCGCCGACCGCTGTCCGACTGAACCGCTCGGCTGTGCTTCGAATCGCCCTCTTTAAACAGACGACGCGTTACAAAATTTTTATACACGAATCGAGTTTACATACTACAACAGTGAAACTTGGCAGAAATACATTTTAGATGTAGAGGTATACAGCGCAGGGTTCGTCGTCAAAATATATTAAATACTTTCGGAGATATCGTACAGCAAAGTTGAACCAAGTTTCCCGGGTTATTTATAGACCGATTTTTAATTTGAACCCTGCGCTGTATTGCTAAAATCTGGACGTTTATTTATATGTATGATTTTTTCTACAATAACCCCAAATAAAGCCGCCCATACATTTTAAACTGGAGCAAAAATTAAAGTTAACGCGCCGACCGCTGTCCGACTGCTTGCTCTGCTGTGTCGATCTACACACCGTGTGGCACAGCCGAATGCCTGGTCACGTGACGCTAGGCGGTCGATCCGATTGGATGATACTGTAAACAATTTCTAAAGATAGATAGGCCTACATGTGTTCCCGTGTTAGACTCGACGGCTATTTCTATTTTATATGGATTAGATCTATAAGCGGACAGGCATGTTTCATAATTTTGTCCTTACCCATTTAAACGGGGAAAAAAGTCTTATTAATATTTTCGGCTCAGGATTAAAATTTATCTTGTTTTTTTAAATTAATCGAGATGGTTACTGTCCGATTATAACAATTCTGTGTTTCGCGCACCCTAATTTCATTTAAAATTAGAGCATTTCTTTTTCATAAAAACGGCTTTAAATTTTTTTCCCGGTCCCCCTTTTTTTCACTACACATTTAAATACGCTTAACAACGTGGAGGATACTAGCCTGCCAAATTGACCAAAAAGGGGTGGGTGTGGGTGGGCATTCTGTATAACACCCAACGTAACACCCATAGCCTACGTAAGCCTCACCCCGCCCCCACTAGTCCGTGACGCGACGAGCCGACGGTCGTAGCCTTTGATGTTGTACAACACCCGTACGGTACCTACTCAGTTCGTGGTGGTTTCATACCCCACCTACCTCCCCCTTCACTTTGTGGAGTTGATGTTACTAACCCTCGGGCAAAGATCAAGAAATCTTGCCAGACTTTTGTCTCTGAAATTACATAACATTCGTCTGACACGTTCATCGGGTTGGCCGACTAGCCTATCCAGCGGTCGTGTTTACGTAATAGGGCAATAAAATTCGTTGGTCAGAAGATCTGGCTAGTCAGATTAAACAAAATCTAGGCAAAAGCTTGTGGTGGTACATGTGTCTGTGTATAGGCAAATACGGTAATCTTACACAGTTTCTAGAATCTACTAGATCTACACAGTCAAGCACTCAAACACTTGCTTTTTTCTTAAGAAAGTTTTTAATTTTAAAAGGCCTACTGGTAGGCCTACAAAATACAAAAGCCTACTTACTACTAGCATAAACATTGGGCTTAAATAAAATTTATGTTATAGACCTATAACTTACACTAGATCTATACCTTGTGCAAGTTTTTAAAAAAATATTTTCCTCCAAAAATTATTTTATTGAAATTGTAAAAATTATTAATTTTAATATGGGTAATAATATTACGTAATTATCATAAAGCACACTCTGATTCCGATCTGACACTTTTGTAACTAGACTAATTCTATAGCAAAAAGTTGTATGATATTTAAAATAACAAGAAATAAAATTATAATGAAATAGGCCTACATTTTTGGAATAGAGTAGGCCTATAGTATTGGACCTAGATTACATAACATCTTTTAAGAAGTTACATAATCACAAATTTACTATTGTAATAGCATTCTTCTCTTTGTATTGTAAAACTTGATTAGTTATATTTTCTTTTAGTAGGCTATTAACTTGAAGTTAACTGACAAAAGTGATTTCAAAACTAATTCATGGTATATTTTGAGCAAAGGGTGGTATTACATAACCTTAACATTTGATAGTTATGTAACAATGTTGGACCATTTTAAATACTACCATTATCTTCAGCATATATAAATATCATATTATAGATTAAAACAGTGTTACATTTAAACAATGACTTCTTATCACATTGATTATTAGATGTTTTAAAAAAATTTAAAGGGGGGTATTACATAATCTATGAGATTAGTCGATTATGTAATTGAAGGACACTTTTTAAAATAGCATCATTGGATTCGGCATACAAAAATCTATAAAATATCCTAAAATGATATCAATTGGTGAAGTCTACTTGCTTTTATACCACTTTTAGTGAAAAACTCTTAAAAATTTGGTCCATACCCTCCCAGTATTTTTCCTCTTTCAGGGTCTACCCCGGTTGTCTGAAAAAACTGCTGTTTTTTAATGACAAAAAAATTCATAACTTTTTTGTTTATGGTCAGATTTTGAAAATTCAAACTGATCTGTAATCAGATTGACAGCCCCTATCCAAATATGTAACTATTATATTGTTTTCATGTCATGTCATGTCATGTTTGCCTGTCGTCCCTACTGGGACATAGGCCGCTGACAAGAGCTTTCCAGACGTCTCTGTCCAGGGCTAGTCTCTCCAACTGTCCCCAGGTGTATCCAATCTTCTTGGTGTCTTCTTCCAGGTCACGTCTCCAGGTCTTTCTTGGTCTGCCTCTCTTCCTCCTGCCTTGTGGATTCCAGGTGAGGGCCTGTCTTGTTATGCTGGATACAGGCTTCCTGAGTGTGTGATTATATTGTTTTACTGAAATTAAATTTTTGCATTGGCCTAGCTATGTACATTAATTACTCTCCGCAATAGTGAGGTAGAACACACTTTAGCAACCATCTGTGCGCCAGACCATTGATGGACAAAAATTGCACCCTCCCAGCGTTTCCTATAAGAACTTTTAATTTTATGTTTCTTTGAATCCTTCTCAATAGTAATTTCATCAACTCCTAAAAGTTTCTTAGCAGTCAGATTAACGGTGTCAGACAGAATTGGAGATATTTTTTATGTACTGTATATAGAGAAATACTGCACCCTGTCGGGGTAATGCATAAAAGACAAACACACATACATTTCTTATTATATTTTAGGATAAATATACTTCAACCAGTGCTGTCGTCAATCCCCCATCCCGTGTTTTTCTTCTATGATAAAATCATATTTGTTACATTTACTAACTGTGTGTAGTGAACTACTTTTTGTCTGCCTTCAGTTAAAATTTGTCCTATTTGTGTGCAGGTAATTACAAGAGTAATGGAGATGTACCAGCCTAGTGCCATTGTTCTACAGTGTGGTGCCGACTCTCTTTCTGGGGACAGATTAGGTTGTTTTAATCTGACACTCAAAGGTACTTGTATCTTTTCTTCTTTATGCTTATGTTAAAATAAGTTTTAGAATATTACTTCCATGACCACAACCTGTGCCAGCTCCTGTTTTTCACTCAGCGTATCATCGTTTAGTCACAAGTTGCGCATCTTGTTTTTAGGTCATGGCAAATGTGTAGAGTTTATCAAGAAATGGAATCTTCCAGTGTTGCTGCTTGGTGGCGGAGGTTACACCATTCGCAATGTAGCCAGGTGCTGGACTTATGAAACCTCAATTGCCCTGAACTCTGATGTTGCCAATGGTATGTACTGTAGTCCAAAGTTTTACTCTTTGTAGTCCGGGTATAAAACCAATTTTACTTCCTGTACAGCCATGCAAATCTACAACACTATTTTTCAATCATGAATTTTTTATTTTTTTTAAATATCAGCATGTTATAAGCAAAGCATTATTCAGGAAAATAGTGTACGTTTATTATATATGAGGTTTAATAGCTAAATAATTTACTGATGTTAAATAAAGATATTTTAATCCCAAAAACGTTAACATCAACAAAAAGTCATTTTAAATGCTGAAGACTTAAGTTGAACTAGAACTACTTTCTTTTTCAAAGTTATAATATTTAAAGCCCTATTCATCAGTAGAGGCATTTTAATAATTAAATAATTTTTTGGGGGAAATTCTTAACTTTTAGGAACTTACATATTCAGAAAATAATGTAAATAAAACTATTACTTTCTGTCTTCCTGGAATCTACAAAATCTGGTTACTAGTGAGATTTCAGATAAGTAAATAAATGTATTATACATAGTTCTGGCAATATAAACTGTTACTAAATAAAATATAATTCTTGGGCACACATGTCAGTAAAGGGTCAAGAAATGGAAATCTTTTTGTAGGATCTAAGATAATTTTTCGCAACTTAATTACAGTGGTGCATTTATCTATTTCACTCCCCCAATCTTAAGGAAAATACTCTTTAAAATATCTGAATATAGGCTGGGTCTTTTAAAAAATTCACACAAAAATATTTCATAAACAACAAACAAACATATATATTTTTTTTAAAGTAAGTAAAATATAAATGAAGTCTATATAACATACATTTGAACAAAAGATTATTCATAATTGTGCCGATTGCAAACGCACTTTGTCATAATGGATGTAGCGAAGCCCTTCTACTACTATCATTAGCAATGCTTATCTTTAGAAGTATCCACAAATCTGCATGTCACGTTAATATTTATTCAATTAAATATTATTGCTACTATTATTTATTTTCATCTTAATTATACATATCCCATTATAATAACTTAATCCAAAGACATCCGTAAACAAACACAAAAATCATGCCAGTATTATGAACATTTTTTATCTCTTAAATGTAGCCCATACTTCATTGCAAATGCTAAAAATACTGGGAGTTAGTTTTCCCATTCTTTTGACTGGGAGTTTTTATTGTAATAAATAGCTATTTAAAAAAGTAGAATCTGTGGCGCTATGACACAATGTAAAAAAAAAGCTGCGCTTGGTGACATTAGGCGTTAAGTGCTGGAGGCGGCGTTGGGTGAATGGTTAAAATAATACATATAGTTCTCTCTCAGTCATGTGTCGTTGTCCCCCTTCCCCTCCCTTTACTTAGATCTTATTATAATTTGCATGTATATCTTAAATAACTTTCATTACTTCTCAGAACTACCCTATAATGACTACTTTGAGTATTATGGGCCAGATTTCAAATTGCATATCAGCCCATCAAACATGGCCAACCAAAACACTCCAGAATACATGGATAAAATCAAGTGAGTTTATTTAGTGGTAATTTATTAAAATAATGTAGATCATAGTCAACCATTTGAATTTGTTTTTCCTAGATTTGTTTCTATGGTTTGCATTACTTGCTGAGCTTTGGCATAAAGTGTCAATAAGTAGGAGGAATGTAAGTGTGAATTGTTTGATGTTTTATTTATATTCATCTGTCTGTTTTTTATAGGACTCGTCTCTTTGAGAATCTCAGAATGTTGCCACATGCACCTGGTGTACAAATGCAAGGTAAATTCTGCATCTTTTTTTTATACTGTTCAGACAAGCCTAGTGTTTAGTATTCACTGAAACTTATTACAAGATTTTTTCCTCACAGCTATTCCAGAGGATGCATTAAATGATGAAAGTGAAGATGAGGATAAAGCTAATCCTGACCAGAGAATTTCAAGTAAATTTTAAATTCACTAAATGTATAGAAAAATGGATTTGGCTAAAGAACAAAAGTCCAGTACCGTTGACATAATTCAGGTGATTTTGTAATGCATAACAGATATAATGCTTTGTGGTTTCAGTTCGTCAGGCTGATAAGAGGATTGCTTGTGAAGAAGAATTTTCTGACAGTGAAGATGAAGACGGAGGCAGAAAGGACAGGAGAGACCATAAGAAAAAGAGACAAAAAACTGAGGCTGATGAAAAAGGTGACAAAGGTATGAAAACTTAAAATACCTTTCTCTATAAATAACCAGAGTCTATACATCTATTAGCTTTATAAATTCTTTGGCCCTTTTGTTAGTAACTGGCCTGGAGCTGTCTCCTTGTATGCACACCATACATGATCGTGTAACCTTTTATCTTCCAGAAGCCAAGAAAGAAGAGAAAGAAATAAAGAAAGAAGTTCCTGATGTAAAGGATGACCCAAAGTCAGCCAATGACAAGTGAGTTTAACTAATTTGTGACAAGTCTTTAAATGAACCATTTTGTGGACCTCTATTTTCTAGAGGCTTATCTGTTCTAGGCATTTCTCCATGTAGATTTGCATTTCCATTTCAGAGATGATAAGGCTGGATCCCTGGCAGACAAAAAAGGTGAGTGACCCTCCCCTTTTTTCTGCTTCTGTTGTGGCATTTCATTTTAGCTTAAACCGAAAATAGTCTTAACCACATGCCTTGTATCACATGATTACACTTGAGTTTGGGTAATAAAGGATGTGTTATTCAACAGCTGAAACATCTCCAAAAGGCGATTCCTCAGCTGCCACCCAGGAGAAAGAAACAAAAGAAACAGATTCCAAGCCAGCTGCCTCCTCTAGCGCTGCTGGTGAGCCAGAGAAGATGGAGCATTGATGATGGGATTTTTATCTGGATGATTGTGAGAATTGCATTTAGGGAGATTTTAAAATCAGTCCGTGTTTTTACATGAGTTTTACCGTAAATATTATACCAGCTAATAGAAATGTCATGAAATTCAACAGATTTTGGCATTGTTTTGGCTGATTTTGACTATTATACTGATGGTACATATTTTAACAAAGAATTGCAAATGATTTATATAATGGAGCAAAGGTGTAATATATTTTTAAAGAAAGGCTATTATGAAATCTTACATCAGCATTACTCCACCTTATCTGTCTTGATCTGTTTAAATTGATGTAGTCACTCAATCAGAAGTTTTAGTATTTTGTGTTGGGGAAGTTGAGAGGATTTGATAGGAACCAAGTTTTTACAGCAGCTACCATTGAATGTTGATTGACAGTACCAGCTGATGTAATAAATGTAAGAACAATTATTGTGCTGTAATGCTTTCATTTTGGTCACTCAAATCTCTTTTTACATGGCTTTTATTTATAAAATTGTTAAAGTTACCCTAGTATTCAGTTGATTTTTCTGTCAGATGAGTATATGGCTAATAATAAGTGTGTATTAAAAGATGGCACTGAGTTGAGAAACACCTATTTACAAAAAGATTGGTACACTTAAGTGGTTGACCATTGAAGTTTCACAGATAAGATCATTTTATTTATTTAAGCAATTGACTTTTTTCAGTTCATTTAAATTGATGGAATATTTGTATGGATTATATTGGTTTCCAGATACTGCCTTTTTAGCTTGAGGGCTTGAAGTCTACCATGTCAAATAATCCGTGAAATTGCTGGTTACAATGGTTAAAACGGGGTTACAATGTTAGTCATGGGGTTGGGTAAGGTTCCATGCCTTGACTTCTTGTGTTTAAAATATTTACTTAATGTTAGTCGAGGTACACAGTGCTCTTTAAGTGTTGTACTTAGGTGTTCACTTATTTTCTTCAATAGACATCACACCAGTTGTCAACAGCACTAATGTCTGACTGTTACCTCACTTCTAATGTGAATATTTCATCAGATTCTGACTTAGAAATAAAACCCTTTTCCCTTTTGATGTAGCCTACATACCTTGCCAGTTAAGCTAAAACACTAACTGGTCTATGTAGCCTACACCTTGCCAGCTAAGTGACTGGTCCATGTACAAACCTGCAACATGTAAAAGCACCAGCAGGTGAATGTTAATACTTGTTGTACTACTTTGAAGAATAAATTTTTATGTCTGTAAACTTCCTTATTGTTTGAGTGCTTTTGTTTTGAAATCTGTCTTTACCTGAACAGTTAGGGTTACTAAAATAGAATTTAAAAGATGCTTTCCACTGCTAGGGAAACATTTTACTTTCTCAATCTTTCAACCCCCCCCCCCCCCCCCCCCCCAATCTGTTCAGCTCATTAAATTATCTTAGGTTTGATAAAACTTAATTAACAGGCACTCTTTTTCACAATAACTTAACAAATATTTATTTCATTTATATTTCACTCTGATAAAGTTGTATAAACACCAGACATCTGGATTCAAGTCAATGAATTAAAGAATGTTATAATAAGGTATATTATCAGTATACAATTTGTGATTTCAATGTTAGGAAATGGTGCCATCATTCAGGTAAGACTATAATTACACACAGTTAACTTGCTAGTGTCAATCAATGGTTTTCATACTAGAATTATCTGTGTCCACAGAAGCTCCTGGCACCATTGTTCTAATATCCTGAAAAAAGATAATGTTGAATGAAACTGCTGCCAAATAATGGTTTCATTTTGTAAATCATACAAGTAATGTTTTAATTAGAAATGTGTAATCTTTCCTAATGTGTATTGTAATATTTGATAAGCTTGGTCAATTAGGAACCTAACTTGGAGCTGTCTACTTATGAGTTAAATTTGGTGAAACGAGAAAAAAAACTAGAATCTTACCAGAGCTTTGAATCTGTTGCATGCCATGATAACATCTTGAATGAGTGGATGTTCAATGAGAATCCTATAGGGAATGGGAGAAGTGCTATCATCATCATTCAGTTCCTGGTAGACAGCACTCAGTTTTTCCTGAAACAGCCAATGACAATTGTGTTTAAAATTAAATTTGACATAAAGATGTGAAATCCTGTGTGAGATTGTGTGAAGTAGATAGGACTCACAAGAGAGGTGTGGTCCTCTGGATCAGCCGATGAAGTGAATCTGTAGCTGTCACCTCGAGTGATCTCTCCGTGGTGTAGTACCTAAAAAAATGAACCTAATTTAGTTTCATCATTTGAAGCAGTTAATAAAGCATAGTAACTGACTTTTACTTTTGAATGCCCTAAAATATGAGCATGAATACAATTTTCTTCAGTTATTACTAGTAAAACCTGTTGATGATCTACTGAAAAGATTTCTTGCAGTAAGGTTTGACAGTGTTATTTTCTAATTTTTTTAAATATATCAAGTAAATACTGTTTTTAGAAATAATTAGACCAGTACCATAAAACTATTTATTCTATAATAATCAATTTCAATTAAGTTTACACCCATTCAGACTAAAACCTGTAAGTTAGTAATTCTAAACAAGCTTGATCTGCCTTAATTAGTTTCCATCTTGGCTCGAAGATTTGCTAACCAATGTGTTAACATTCCCATCTGTTTTAATAATCTTTTAAGCTAAGCGACTAATTTAATATCTAAGTAGATTAAAATTGACATTTTATTGGTATTAGAAATGCAAATATCGGTAGTTTGAAATAAATCATGACTTAAGAAAAGGATCAGAACTGAATTACATGATTTGACTACCAACAACCATAAACACAGAGGCTTAAAAAAAAGAGCAACTACTCTGTTAGTGCTGAGGTCATAGCTAAGTAATGAACTGACCTGATACAAGGCCTCCACAGGGACTAAGGCATCTACAGCACTCTGTGGTATTGGCTCACTGGACATCAGTGGCTCTGTGTCCAGGTGACACTTGTCATCATCCTTATAATCTCCACCATCATGGATGCTAAAATTGTGCATCAAATCAGTCAGAAAAAAATTTGTTATGTCTTTTTTAAAAAAATAATATACTTTTTTTTGTCAAGACTACTAAATTAAATAGCGTGTCAAAATAGTTTCAGGACAATGAAAAATGTCTGAGTTGAGCTGATTAACAAGTGGTATCTTGCAGCTTTACAACCAGCAGTTAGAAATATTATTTCAATGAGGTAAGACAAAATGTGATAACTTTCCAGTTTAGAAATGTTTTCAATGAGGTGAGACAGAATGTGATACCTTTCCAGTTTAGAAATGTTTTCAATGAGGTGAGACAGAATGTGATAACTTTCCAGTTTAGAAATGTTTTCAATGAGGTGAGACAATGTGATACCTTTCCAGTTTAGAAATGTATTCAATGAGGTAAGACAAAATGTGATACCTTTCCAGTTTAAAATGTTTTCAATGAGGTAAGACAAAATGTGATACCTTTCCAGTTTAAAATGTTTTCAATGAGGTGAGACAATGTGATACCTTTCCAGTTTAGAAATGTTTTCAATGAGGTAAGACAGAATGTGATACCTTTCCAGTTTAGAAATGTTTTCAATGAGGTGAATGTGATACCTTTCCATGGCACTGGGAGCTCTCTCTGAAGGCATTACCAGTGGCTTGCCCAATCTGGGCATGTGGTGTCCACAAGCCAAACTTAGAGCATGCAAAAATCCTTCATGGTAATTTGGACATGCAGAGAAGTACATCAACTGTATTTATTGAGAGAGAACACAATTTTAAAATATGACACGTTTTATAAATCAAGCTCATTTTCTTTCTTGTAAAATGCCAACAATTGAAAAGTGGAAGAAAATAATTGGTTACTTCATCATTGGACGTGAAACAACTTACAAAGCTCATGTAGTCCAGCAATGACAGAGAGCCAGTGTGGTCAGCAAACATTTCAAACAAAAGATTGTGAAGTTCCGTCACCCTATCAAAAGACTCCACAAAGTCCGGTTTTTTGAACCAAAGTTGCATCTTAGATAAAAACAAAATTTTACGATTAATTTTAAAGATGTAAATAGCTGAAAAAAAAGTTAGCAAAATTTATAGAAATAATTTTGTTTATAAATTTTTAATTCATAATTATTATCATAACCTATTGTTGACTAGATTTGATCGCAAATTATTTCTCACCCTATGCCATTGTTCTCGTGTAACTTTGCCAGTTGACTTCTGGTCCATGGCTTTAAATGTTTTCAGACAATCGAGGAGTTCTTGCTGGCTGGGTATGGGTATAGGGTAACACAATGTCACCAGTAAACGGCGCCAGTCAACATAGTCAGTGTCAGATGATAGCGCTTGGGCCAAGTCAGTTATCTGTGAGTACACATAAGGAAGATTGATGAAAACCTCTGGCATTTGCTTGAGATCATTTTGCCTCTTTCATTGAAGTTAAACAAGGGAAAACAAACTTTTTGTCTTGATTGTTACTGCCATAAAGATGTGTTTAGATAATTATGGAACTGTCTGTGACATTAAGAGTGCTTGGAACTACCTGAGATGACGTCAGATGCATCCAAGAGTCTGGCAAAGATTCCGTCCCGTGAGCCACTGAGACCAGCATCTCAAACATTTCAGTGAAGGCTTTGGTGGAGATGGTGCCACTTGGTGCGATGGTCTGAAACTAGGTCAGGGAAACAAGGGAATTAGAGCTCAGGAAATGGAGGGAATTAGTGCTCAGGAAATGGAGGGAATTAGTGCTCAGGAAAAGGAGGGAATTAGTGCTCAGGAAATGGAGGGAATTAGTGCTCAGGAAAAGGAGGGAATTAGTGCTCAGGAAATGTAGGGAATTAGTGCTTAGGAAATGTAGGGAATTAGTGCTCAGGAAATGTAGGGAATTAGTTAGTATTGAAATTGATAAAATGGATGACCAGCACTTTTACTTTTGATAGGTTGTTTCTTTTCAAAGTTATTTTTGAGGTTTTTAATTTTTTTAAAATTTGATTTGCCTATTTATTGTTGTTAGCTGTGAATTGGAAATGTTTCATCATATTTTCAGAGCTTACATGTTCATACAGTGTGGTGAGCTGCTGTATTGTGAACAGGTCAGGCATTGGCCTTTCTTCATGTGGCTCAACTGGCGGAGGACTGGGAGTTTTCAACACTTTCAGTTCCTGTGAAGAAGAGAGTTGCGAATTTTAGTTCCTAAGAGGTTACCCATTAATAACGTCCATTTATAAATAGAATAAATTTAATGTAAATAAATTTTAAAAGTTTGTATCTTCTTTCCAATGTCAGTCTGTTTGTTTGTGGGTTTGTGGCAAATCCTGTAACTCAATTTTTACCTAAGTCTAATGCAACAATTTTTTTCAACTTTCCAGAGCATTAGTTTTTATGTCAATGCAAGAATATCAAAATAGATATTGAATCAGTCATTGAATTTTAAATTAAAAGACTACTAAATTCAGTAGCAAAAAGGGGAAATATCAAAATTAAGTACTAGCCAACGCTGGTGAACAGTGGTCATGGATGGTTGGTTTAGCTCCTGAGAGCTGTCTTTTAGAGATCGCAAACTACTGATTGTATTTTAAAGCAAATATTTTTAGTCTTGTTGAGCTCATTAAGAACTAAGGGAATGTAAAAAGGTAAAGTAGGCCTACTAATTTTTTTTCAAAAATGTAAATATCGACTTGCTATTTTCAAATTTCATAATTACTAAAACAAAAATAAATCTTGCAATAAAAACATTGGTGACTAAAATGTGTATAAGCTTTCATTAGCAAGCAACTCTACTATTGAAAGCAACTTTGTTTTAGTTACGTATTTTCAGTGCGTGTAAAAGCTTATTAAAGTTTTTATATTTGTTATATTTTACCTCATCCAGCATAAAGTGGTCCTGGTTAATCACAATCTCATATTTAATTTTCTCCTTGTTCTCAATGACATTGCGCATAACTTCTGACATTTGATCAATACTGAATTTAAAACAAATAAAGAATAAAGTATGTATACCACTAACATAGTTAAAATTGTTAAACAATTAACTTAGCAATACACTTGTTACTATATCAGACTTATTTAGCTCTGGTCTTTGGCTTTTATGAAAGAAATAATTATTTCAATAAAAATTTAAGGGTAGCTGAATTTAAATTTAAAGTTATTTAATTTAACAAATGTTTGCTAATATAAATGGGACGGGAGCAATCCAGAAATTCTCTTACTTTTAAGCTTAGCTTACATAATAGATCAAAGCCTTCTCCATCATCACATGTCATCACAAAAAATTTAAAAAAAAACCATTCCTCCTCTAAGATTCTAAGAATGACTTCATTTATGGACAAACTTGTTTTTTTTTAAAAATGTGTTTGTTGTTTATAATCATATCAAATGTGTAGATAACATTCAACAGTGACATCTACCTTTCCATTTCTTTCAAGAATCTTGCACCTAGCCAATCATTCATGTCTTTAAATACATCGTCAGCTTTACATTTCAAGTCTCGTATTATTCCACAAGCAAGTACCTTAATCAATTCTAGCCTTGATTTTGCTGCTTGTTCTAAAATTAAAAAAAAAAAATGTAATGTAATTATTTTATAAACAGAGGTTACTATTTTACTTATAGATATTATTTAAACACATTTTTAGTGATGAAAATCCCTACTTTTGCATGTAATAAAATAACACAATTTGGTTAATTCTACAAATTTTCTTTAGCTTTCAAAATGTCTTTATTTCACAAAAATTCATATGAAAAATAATAAATACGCAAATTTGATTAAATCTGTTGTTGGCTACATAAAGATTTAATCATGCTTACCCTCAGCCTTCAGAGCAAATATATATTCTTCTCTTTCACGATCCTTGATTAACTTTTTCTCTAATTCCTCTTCACTCATAGTAGGGCCTAGAAATACAAGATTGTTAAAATCAAACAGTATAAACAACAGAATTTATAGAATAGCCTAAAAATCAAGATTATAAAAGGTGAAAAACAATAATTTTATTGAAAACAAAATTCTTTCTTTGAAACTCTTAAAATGTAACTTTTGAAAACATCTAAAAAGAATTTTTTAAAAATATTAATATAATGATTTTCTTCACATAAATATACTTGTAAAGTATACAAGTGAAATTTACATTTCTTTGAAATGCTAAATAATTTTATCTTTTTTGTAATCAGTGGTCTATTTGTGCTTTTCAAATTAATTTCACAAAATAGTTTTCAAAAAAATGTGGTCAACATTGGTTCTACCAATACACCTCATCTTCATTTTTAAGCTACTGTAGCGCCATAATTAGAAAACAGGAATAAAATTATTTTACCTGGAGGGGGAGTTGCAGCCACTTCTGGTTCTTTTTTTCCTTTCTTTGGTGACGGTGTTCTGTCTTTGCCGCCTTTTTTTCCTACTTTCACATTTTTGGAAGCCTTCTCCTTCTCTTTGTTTTTTTCTAGTTCTCTTTGCTTCTCAGCTTCCTCCTCAACTATCTGAATCTCAGTAGCAACCTAGAGAACACAGCATAGAGCAGTCTGAGAACCCAGCACAGAGCAGTCTGAGAACCCAGCACAGAGCAGTCTGAGAACCCAGCAAAGTCTGAGAACTCAGCATAGAGCAGTCTGAGAACCCAGCAAAGTCTGAGAACCCAGCATAGAGCAGTCTGAGAACCCAGCAAAGTCTGAGAACCCAGCATAGAGCAGTCTGAGAACCCAGCATAGAGCAGTCTGAGAACCCAGCACAGAGCAGTCTGAGAACCCAGCACAGAGCAGTCTGAGAACCCAGCAAAGTCTGAGAACTCAGCATAGAGCAGTCTGAGAACCCAGCACAGAGCAGTCTGAGAACCCAGCACAGAGCAGTCTGAGAACCCAGCAAAGTCTGAGAACTCAGCATAGAGCAGTCTGAGAACCCAGCAAAGTCTGAGAACCCAGCATAGAGCAGTCTGAGAACCCAGCAAAATCTGAGAACCCAGCATAGAGCAGTATGAGAACCCAGCATAGAGCAGTATGAGAACCCAGCACAGAGCAGTCTGAGAACCCAGCAAAGTCTGAGAACCCAGCATAGAGCAATTTGAGAACCCAGCAAAGTCTGAGAACCCAGCAAAGTCTGAGAACCCAGCATAGAGCAGTCTGAGAACCCAGCATAGAGCAGTCTGAGAACCCAGCAAAGTCTGAGAACCCAGCAAAGTCTGAGAACCCAGCATAGAGCAATTTGAGAACCCAGCATAGAGCAGTCTGAGAACCCAGCAAAGTCTGAGAACCCAGCATAGAGCAGTCTGAGAACCCAGCATAGAGCAATTTGAGAACCCAGCAAAGTCTGAGAACCCAGCATAGAACAGTCTGAGAACCCAGCATAGAGCAGTCTGAGAACCCAGCAAAGTCTGAGAACCCAGCAAAGTCTGAGAACCCAGCATAGAGCAGTCTGAGAACCCAGCAAAGTCTGAGAACCCAGCATAGAGCAATTTGAGAACCCAGCATAGAGCAGTCTGAGAACCCAGCACAGAGCAGTCTGAGAACCCAGCATAGAGCAGTCTGAGAACCCAGCAAAGTCTGAGAACCCAGCATAGAGCAATTTGAGAACCCAGCATAGAGCAGTCTGAGAACCCAGCACAGAGCAGTCTGAGAACCCAGCATAGAGCAGTCTGAGAACCCAGCATAGTCTGAGAACCCAGCATAGAGCAGTCTGAGAACCCAGCATAGAGCAGTCTGAGAACCCAGCATAGAGCAGTCTGAGAACCCAGCAAAGTCTGAGAACTCAGCATAGAGCAGTCTGAGAACCCAGCACAGAGCAGTCTGAGAACCCAGCACAGAGCAGTCTGAGAACCCAGCAAAGTCTGAGAACTCAGCATAGAGCAGTCTGAGAACCCAGCAAAGTCTGAGAACCCAGCATAGAGCAGTCTGAGAACCCAGCAAAATCTGAGAACCCAGCATAGAGCAGTATGAGAACCCAGCATAGAGCAGTATGAGAACCCAGCACAGAGCAGTCTGAGAACCCAGCAAAGTCTGAGAACCCAGCATAGAGCAATTTGAGAACCCAGCATAGAGCAGTCTGAGAACCCAGCAGAGAGCAGTCTGAGAACCCAGCAAAGTCTGAGAACCCAGCAAAGTCTGAGAACCCAGCATAGAGCAGTCTGAGAACCCAGCATAGAGCAGTCTGAGAACCCAGCAAAGTCTGAGAACCCAGCAAAGTCTGAGAACCCAGCATAGAGCAATTTGAGAACCCAGCAAAGTCTGAGAACCCAGCATAGAGCAGTCTGAGAACCCAGCATAGAGCAATTTGAGAACCCAGCAAAGTCTGAGAACCCAGCATAGAGCAATTTGAGAACCCAGCATAGAACAGTCTGAGAACCCAGCATAGAGCAGTCTGAGAACCCAGCAAAGTCTGAGAACCCAGCAAAGTCTGAGAACCCAGCATAGAGCAGTCTGAGAACCCAGCAAAGTCTGAGAACCCAGCATAGAGCAATTTGAGAACCCAGCATAGAGCAGTCTGAGAACCCAGCACAGAGCAGTCTGAGAACCCAGCATAGAGCAGTCTGAGAACCCAGCAAAGTCTGAGAACCCAGCATAGAGCAATTTGAGAACCCAGCATAGAGCAGTCTGAGAACCCAGCACAGAGCAGTCTGAGAACCCAGCATAGAGCAGTCTGAGAACCCAGCATAGTCTGAGAACCCAGCATAGAGCAGTCTGAGAACCCAGCATAGAGCAGTCTGAGAACCCAGCATAGAGCAGTCTGAGAACCCACCATAGAGCAGTCTGAGAACCCAGCACAGAGCAGTCTGAGAACCCAGCATAGAGCAGTCTGAGAACCCAGCACAGAGCAGTCTGAGAACCCAGCATAGAGCAGTCTGAGAACCCAGCAAAGTCTGAGAACCCAGCAAAGTCTGAGAACCCAGCATAGAGCAGTCTGAGAACCCAGCACAGAGCAGTCTGAGAACCCAGCATAGAGCAGTCTGAGAACCCAGCATAGAGCAGTCTGAGAACCCAGCATAGAGCAGTCTGAGAACCCACCATAGAGCAGTCTGAGAACCCAGCACAGAGCAGTCTGAGAACCCAGCATAGAGCAGTCTGAGAACCCAGCAAAGTCTGAGAACCCAGCAAAGTCTGAGAACCCAGCATAGAGCAGTCTGAGAACCCACCATAGAGCAGTCTGAGAACCCAGCACAGAGCAGTCTGAGAACCCAGCATAGAGCAGTCTGAGAACCCAGCAAAGTCTGAGAACCCAGCAAAGTCTGAGAACCCAGCATAGAGCAGTCTGAGAACCCAGCATAGAGCAGTCTGAGAACCCAGCAAAGTCTGAGAACCCAGCATAGAGCAGTCTGAGAACCCAGCACAGAGCAGTCTGAGAACCCAGCATAGAGCAGTCTGAGAACCCAGCATAGAGCAGTCTGAGAACCCAGCATAGAGCAGTCTGAGAACCCAGCATAGAGCAGTCTGAGAACCCAGCAAAGTCTGAGAACCCAGCATAGAGCAATCTGAGAACCCAGCATAGAGCAATCTGAGAACCCAGCATAGAGCAGTCTGAGAACCCAGCATAGAGCAGTCTGAGAACCCAATATATGGCAATATGAGAACCCAATTACTTACCAACAAATTGACCAACATAATGTAAAAAGGCCAATGAACAAAATGACCAACCCAAACAAATGACCAACTCACCAAATTGATGATTCCCTGTAAAGCATACATGTAGCCATTAAAGATCATCTTCTCATCACCGTCTGCGGGTACAGCGGTCTCATCTATGCCAACAAAAACATCCTCTGTTGATTTCTTGGGTCCTTTCTTGTCTTTCTTATCTTTAATGGGTGTGGATGACACTTTAGGGTCAACATCTGGGTTTGTCATGCGACGAGATACCAAGGGGATGCTGATCACATAAAAACACATTGTCACTAAAGATGGTCAAGATAAGTTTAGACAATATTTTTTTAAACCTCTTTTGTTTGTTTTTAAGACCAGGGAAGAAATAATTTCAATAGTGACACTAACACCTCCAACATCAGACTGGACACCTCCAAAGGCCATGTCCAACATCAGACTGGACAAAGGCCATGTCCAACATCAGACTGGACACCTCCAAAGGCCATGTCCAACATCAGACTGGACAAAGGCCATGTCCAACATCAGACTGGACAAAGGTCATGTCCAACATCAGACTGGACACCTCCAAAGGCCATGTCCAACATCAGACTGGACAAAGGCCATGTCCAACATCAGACTGGACACCTCCAAAGGCCATGTCCAACATCAGACTGGACAAAGGTCATGTCCAACATCAGACTGGACACCTCCAAAGGCCATGTCCAACATCAGACTGGACAAAGGCCATGTCCAACATCAGACTGGACACCTCCAAAGGCCATGTCCAACATCAGACTGGACAAAGGCCATGTCCAACATCAGACTGGACACCTCCAAAGGCCATGTCCAACATCAGACTGGACACCTCCAAAGGCCATGTCCAACATCAGACTGGACAAAGGCCATGTCCAACATCAGACTGGACACCTCCAAAGGCCATGTCCAACATCAGACTGGACACCTCCAAAGGCCATGTCCAACATCAGACTGGACAAAGGCCATGTCCAACATCAGACTGGACACCTCCAAAGGCCATGTCCAACATCAGACTGGACAAAGGCCATGTCCAACATCAGACTGGACAAAGGCCATGTCCAACATCAGACTAGACACCTCCAAAGGCCATGTCCAACATCAGACTGGACACCTCCAAAGGCCATGTCCAACATCAGACTGGACACTTCCAAAGGCCATGTCCAACATCAGACTGGACAAAGGCCATGTCCAACATCAGACTGGACACCTCCAAAGGCCATGTCCAACATCAGACTGGACACCTCCAAAGGCCATGTCTAACATCAGACTGGACACCTCCAAAGGCCATGTCCAACATCAGACTGGACACTTCCAAAGGCCATGTCCAACATCAGACTGGACACCTCCAAAGGCCATGTCCAACATCAGACTGGACAAAGGCCATGTCCAACATCAGACTGGACAAAGGCCATGTCCAACATCAGACTAGACACCTCCAAAGGCCATGTCCAACATCAGACTGGACACCTCCAAAGGCCATGTCCAACATCAGACTGGATAAAGGCCATGTCCAACATCAGACTGGACACCTCCAAAGGCCATGTCCAACATCAGACTGGACAAAGGCCATGTCCAACATCAGACTGGACAAAGGCCATGTCCAACATCAGACTGGACACCTCCAAAGGCCATGTCCAACATCAGACTGGACACCTCCAAAGGCCATGTCCAACATCAGACTGGACACTTCCAAAGGCCATGTCTAACATCAGACTGGACACCTCCAAAGGCCATGTCCAACATCAGACTGGATAAAGGCCATGTCCAACATCAGACTGGACAAAGGCCATGTCCAACATCAGACTGGACAAAGGCCATGTCCAACATCAGACTGGACACCTCCAAAGGCCATGTCCAACATCAGACTGGATAAAGGCCATGTCCAACATCAGACTGGATAAAGGCCATGTCCAACATCAGACTGGACACCTCCAAAGGCCATGTCCAACATCAGACTGGATAAAGGCCATGTCCAACATCAGACTGGATAAAGGCCATGTCCAACATCAGACTGGACACCTCCAAAGGCCATGTCCAACATCAGACTGGATAAAGGCCATGTCCAACATCAGACTGGACACCTCCAAAGGCCATGTCCAACATCAGACTGGATAAAGGCCATGTCCAACATCAGACTGGACACCTCCAAAGGCCATGTCCAACATCAGACTGGATAAAGGCCATGTCCAACATCAGACTGGATAAAGGCCATGTCCAACATCAGACTGGACACTTCCAAAGGCCATGTCTAACATCAGACTGGACACCTCCAAAGGCCATGTCCAACATCAGACTGGACAAAGGCCATGTCCAACATCAGACTGGACACCTCCAAAGGCCATGTCTAACATCAGACTGGACAAAGGCCATGTCCAACATCAGACTGGACAAAGGCCATGTCCAACATCAGACTGGACACCTCCAAAGGCCATGTCCAACATCAGACTGGACACCTCCAAAGGCCATGTCCAACATCAGACTGGACAAAGGCCATGTCCAACATCAGACTGGACAAAGGCCATGTCCAACATCAGACTGGACACCTCCAAAGGCCATGTCCAACATCAGACTGGACACCTCCAAAGGCCATGTCCAACATCAGACTGGACACCTCCAAAGGCCATGTCCAACATCAGACTGGACAAAGGCCATGTCCAACATCAGACTGGACACCTCCAAAGGCCATGTCCAACATCAGACTGGACAAAGGCCATGTCCAACATCAGACTGGACAAAGGCCATGTCCAACATCAGACTGGACACCTCCAAAGGCCATGTCCAACATCAGACTGGACACCTCCAAAGGCCATGTCCAACATCAGACTGGATAAAGGCCATGTCCAACATCAGACTGGACAAAGGCCATGTCCAATATCAGACTGGACAAAGGCCATGTCCAACATCAGACTGGACACCTCCAAAGGCCATGTCCAACATCAGACTGGACACCTCCAAAGGCCATGTCTAACATCAGACTGGACACCTCCAAAGGCCATGTCTAACATCAGACTGGACACCTCCAAAGGCCATGTCCAACATCAGACTGGACACCTCCAAAGGCCATGTCCAACATCAGACTGGACAAAGGCCATGTCCAACATCAGACTGGACAAAGGCCATGTCCAACATCAGACTGGACACCTCCAAAGGCCATGTCCAACATCAGACTGGACACCTCCAAAGGCCATGTCCAACATCAGACTGGACACCTCCAAAGGCCATGTCCAACATCAGACTGGACAAAGGCCATGTCCAACATCAGACTGGACACCTCCAAAGGCCATGTCCAACATCAGACTGGACAAAGGCCATGTCCAACATCAGACTGGACACCTCCAAAGGCCATGTCCAACATCAGACTGGACAAAGGCCATGTCCAACATCAGACTGGACACCTCCAAAGGCCATGTCCAACATCAGACTGGACAAAGGCCATGTCCAACATCAGACTGGACAAAGGCCATGTCCAACATCAGACTGGACAAAGGCCATGTCAAACATCAGACTGGACACCTCCAAAGGCCATGTCCAACATCAGACTGGACACATGTCCAACATCAGACTGGACAAAGGCCATGTCCAACATCAGACTGGACACATGTCCAACATCAGACTGGACAAAGGCCATGTCCAACATCAGACTGGACACCTCCAAAGGCCATGTCCAACATCAGACTGGACAAAGGCCATGTCCAACATCAGACTGGACAAAGGCCATGTCCAACATCAGACTAGACACCTCCAAAGGCCATGTCCAACATCAGACTGGACACCTCCAAAGGCCATGTCCAACATCAGACTGGACAAAGGCCATGTCCAACATCAGACTGGACACCTCCAAAGGCCATGTCCAACATCAGACTGGACAAAGGCCATGTCCAACATCAGACTGGACAAAGGCCAAGTCCAACATCAGACTGGACAAAGGCTATGTCCAACATCAGACTGGACAAAGGCCATGTCCAACATCAGACTAGACACCTCCAACGGCCATGTCCAACATCAGACTGGACACCTACAAAGGCCATGTCCAACATCAGACTGGACACCTCCAAAGGCCATGTCCAACATCAGACTGGACACCTCCAAAGGCCATGTCCAACATCAGACTGGACAAAGGCCATGTCCAACATCAGACTGGACACCTCCAAAGGCCATGTCCAACATCAGACTGGACACCTCCAAAGGCCATGTCCAACATCAGACTGGACACCTCCAAAGGCCATGTCCAACATCAGACTGGACAAAGGCCATGTCCAACATCAGACTGGACACCTCCAAAGGCCATGTCCAACATCAGACTGGACAAAGGCCATGTCCAACATCAGACTGGACACCTCCAAAGGCCATGTCCAACATCAGACTAGACACCTCCAAAGGCCATGTCCAACATCAGACTGGACACCTCCAAAGGCCATGTCCAACATCAGACTGGACAAAGGCCATGTCCAACATCAGACTGGACACCTCCAAAGGCCATGTCCAACATCAGACTGGACATCTCCAAAGGCCATGTCCAACATCAGACTGGACAAAGGCCATGTCCAACATCAGACTGGACACCTCCAAAGGCCATGTCCAACATCAGACTGGACAAAGGCCATGTCAAACATCAGACTGGATAAAGGCCATGTCCAACATCAGACTGGACACCTCCAAAGGCCATGTCCAACATCAGACTGGACACCTCCAAAGGCCATGTCCAACATCAGACTGGACAAAGGTCATGTCCAACATCAGACTGGACACCTCCAAAGGCCATGTCCAACATCAGACTGGACACCTCCAAAGGCCATGTCTAACATCAGACTGGACAAAGGCCATGTCCAACATCAGACTGGACAAAGGCCATGTCCAACATCAGACTGGACACCTCCAAAGGCCATGTCCAACATCAGACTGGACACCTCCAAAGGCCATGTCCAACATCAGACTGGACACCTCCAAAGGCCATGTCCAACATCAGACTGGACACTTCCAAAGGCCATGTCCAACATCAGACTGGACAAAGGCCATGTCCAACATCAGACTGGACACCTCCAAAGGCCATGTCCAACATCAGACTGGACAAAGGCCATGTCCAACATCAGACTGGACACCTCCAAAGGCCATGTCCAATATCAGACTGGACAAAGGCCATGTCCAATATCAGACTGGACAAAGGCCATGTCCAATATCAGACTGGACAAAGGCCATGTCCAACATCAGACTGGACAAAGGCCATGTCCAACATCAGACTGGACAAAGGCCATGTCCAATATCAGACTGGACACCTCCAAAGGCCATGTCCAACATCAGACTGGATAAAGGCCATGTCCAACATCAGACTGGACACCTCCAAAGGCCATGTCCAACATCAGACTGGACAAAGGCCATGTCCAACATCAGACTGGACAAAGGCCATGTCCAACATCAGACTGGACAAAGGCCATGTCCAATATCAGACTGGACACCTCCAAAGGCCATGTCCAACATCAGACTGGATAAAGGCCATGTCCAACATCAGACTGGACAAAGGCCATGTCCAACATCAGACTGGACACCTCCAAAGGCCATGTCCAACATCAGACTGGACACCTCCAAAGGCCATGTCCAACATCAGACTGGATAAAGGCCATGTCCAACATCAGACTGGACACCTCCAAAGGCCATGTCCAACATCAGACTGGATAAAGGCCATGTCCAACATCAGACTGGACACCTCCAAAGGCCATGTCCAACATCAGACTGGACAAAGGCCATGTCCAATATCAGACTGGACAAAGGCCATGTCCAACATCAGACTGGACAAAGGCCATGTCCAACATCAGACTGGACAAAGGCCATTCCAAAGGCCATGTCCAACATCAGACTGGACAAAGGCCATGTCCAATATCAGACTGGACAAAGGCCATGTCCAACATCAGACTGGACATAGGCCATGTCCAACATCAGACTGGACACCTCCAAAGGCCATGTCCAACATCAGACTGGATAAAGGCCATGTCCAACATCAGACTGGACACTTACATTATTTTCCTGCCTATTCCATCTGAAGACTTAGGCAGCTCTGGCAGGAGGGTTTCCTTATCTCCAGGTTTCTTTTTGCCTGACAATGTCCTAGACGACCTTGACCCCTTAGGGGATTTGGGGGATCTTGGGGGACCTTCTAAAAATCAAACAAAAGTTAACAGAGTGAGTAGAATAATAGGTGAAGTTAACTAAAAGTTGACTAAATGTATACAACCATCTTTATCTTTTGGGGACTTTGTTCTAAAAGTTAACTAAACTTAGACCAACCATTTTATCTTTTGGAGACTTTGTTCTAAAGGTTAACTAAATGTATACAACCATCTTTATCTTTTGGCGACTTGGCTCTAAAAGTTAACTAAATGTATACAACCATCTTTATCTTTTGGAGACTTTGTTCTAAAAGTTAACTAAATGTATACAACCATCTTTATCTTTTGGCGACTTGGCTCTAAAAGTTAACTAAATGTATACAACCACCTTTATCTTTTGGGGACTTTGTTCTAAAAGTTAACTAAATGTATACAACCACCTTTATCTTTTGGGGACCTGGTTCTAAAAGTTAACTAAACTTGGACCAACCATCTTTATCTTTTGGAGACTTTGTTCTAAAAGTTAACTTAACTTAGACCAACCATCTTTATCTTTTGGGGACTTGGCTCTAAAAGTTAACTAAACTTAGACCAACCGTCTTTATCTTTTGGAGACTTTGTTCTAAAAGTTAACTAAACTTAGACCAACCGTCTTTATCTTTTGGGGACTTGGCTCTAAAAGATGACCTATTGGAAGTCTCTTCTGCTGCCTCTAACTGCTCAACTGGTTCTGCTATCAAAGACTCTGAACTAGCAGTTGCTTCAAATGAAAGCTGAAATTATTTGTATCCAATGTTTATTGTAGATTAATCTATTGAACATGGAAGCAACTTTAATAGGAATTTTAAAATGTAAATGAAAGCATGAGTACAAAAATTTTCAAAATTAAAATTAAACTGTTGATTCAGTGATGTGTAAGTTATCAGGGTAAGGTGATGGTGTAAGCTGCATGTGTAAAATTTCAGTCAAGTGTAAGCTGTCAATCAAGTGTAAGGTATCAGTAAAGCATACATTGTCAGTCAAATGTAAGATGTCAGTCAAATGTAAGCTACCAGTCAACTGTATGCTCTCTGTGTAAGCTGTCAGTCATATGTAAGCTGTCAGTCATATGTAAGCTGTCAGTCATATTATGTAAGCTGTCAGTCATATTATGTAAGCTGTCAGTCATATTATGTAAGCTGTCAGTCATATTATGTAAGCTGTCAGTCATATGTAAGCTGTCAGTGAAGGCGTAGAACCAGACATACCTGTAACAATGGAACTCTGTGATAGTCAGGGTTGAGCACGTCAGGCACCTGCCCATCCATACCAGTGTAATAATCCTTCAGCAGACGGACTGTGTCTTGTAGTCTGTCTACTTCTGCCTGGCAATATTTTCAATTCACCAAAATTACACTTTCATATTTTCAATTCACCAAAATTACACTTTCATGTTTTCAATTCACCAAAATTACACTTTCATATCAATTCACCAAAATTACACTTTCATATCAATTCACCAAAATTACACTTTCATATCAATTCACCAAAATTACACTTTCATATCGATTCACCAAAATTACACTTTCCTATTTTAAGAAGACGAGCTGCTAAAAAATTAACTTCTGTTTACCAAACAATGTGACAGTTACCTGCATCAAAGTCAGGTAATTGTTGGACAGAAGTCCGATTCTGTCATCCAACCAACCATCGTTTATGATTGCCTCCCTTTCTTTCTCCGCCTGCTCCTTCCTGTCATCGCAGATGTTCCAGAGTTTCTCCCTCAGGTTGTCCACCTGTTGGTGCAGCTCAGCTTTCGTCTCCTCGTCATCGCGCATGTCATCAGGGACACTGTTGTAGGTCTGGGTAGGGGTGGGGGGGGGGGGGGGACACACAGACTGTTAAGTTGGTTTTGAGTTGGTCATAAAAGTAAACAGTGGATACAATTTTGTTAGTTGAGTTCTGACATACGAGTAATCAGGGGGAAAAGTTTTTGTTTCCAATGTAAAAATAGAATGCTTGTCCTAATATAAACTGGTAGTGTCAAGATTGACAAAAAGTTTTTGTTTCCAATGTAAATATAAGAATGCTTGTCCTAATATAAACTGGTAGTGTCAAGATTGACAAAAAGTTTTTGTTTCCAATGTAAAAATAGAATGCTTGTCCTAATATAAACTGGAAGAGTCAAAATTGATCTGGCATACCTGTTGCCACTGTTCCACATACTCTTGTTTACAATCTGGCCTTTGCAAATACTCCATGTAATTTTTTCTAAAATACATGCAGCAAAACATTCAATTTAATTTTTAATATTAGGCCTAAATGAATTAATTTTTTTACCCCATACATTTCATGAAATAAATACAATATTTAATAAGTCAAATCAAGTGTTCATGATTTAATTTGTTGTTTCCAGCTTTCCAGAAACCTTTACGGTTTTGTTTGATTATTGTAAAATAATAAATTTTTCACTTACTTAATTTGATAAAAATAGCGATATATATTTTCTCTCTCTAGCCTGTTCTTATGGAAAACTTCTTTAGTGTTATTGACATAGGCTTTTTCCAATTCTTCCCAGTGAGCGGCTAAGACTTTAGCTAATTCCTGTTTACATTCATTATGAATATTTACAATCATTTTGACATTACTCTTTACACATTGAATAAAAATAGTGCAGGGTTTTTAAAAAAAAAAATGACTATACATTTTTTCTTAATTTAATGTAAGCTAAAATAATCGCAAATATAAATCTTTCATCTTCAAGGCACCACCGACACTCACAAAATTTATGGGCAAGTCAACAAATGACACCACTGACACTCACAAAATCTATGGGCAAGTCAAAGTCAACAAATGACACCACTGACACTCACAAAATCTATGGGCAAGTCAACAAATGACACCACTGACACTCACAAAATCGATGGGCAAGTCAACAAAATTCCACTGTTCATCCCCAGGTTTGATAGGGGGTGGTCCCTCAGGTATCTCCGGTGCTGGCTCTGGTTCTGGTGTCTTGGACTTCTTGGATGTCTTAGGGGAATTGCCTGGTTAAAAACAAGTCGTTTTACAACAAACATATGAAAACGGTTAAAGTTGTGGTTCTGTAAAATGATCGACAAGGTCTATACTTTAAAATAATAAAGATGTATTTCACAAAATTTATTATATACTGTAAAAACTTCCAAGTAGGCCTATGTAAAAAAAATTAGTTATAGTATAAAAATTAGATTAAATATTAAAATAAATAAGAAAAAGCTCTGAAAAAGAAAACAATTTTAGTATAATTGAAAACTTTAAACTATGATAAATATTGGTAAATAAAATTTTTCAACCTAACTGAAATATAAACAACAGTGCACTCAAATATGAAACAAAATTGAAACCAAAATAATATAAAAAAGGCAAAAAAATCTGATTAAAAAAATAAATTGACTTGTGTTTATGGGTCTAACCCTTCCTTCCTCCCCCCCAAACCCCCACCATTTACCCCATATCAATACCCACCTTGAAATACATATTATACTTATACCTATTCCTACCAATCTCCATATCCAGTCCCTAACCCCAAACTTAATTTAATCCCTATCCATAACCCTAACCTGAATGGAAGGGGGGTGTGGATTGAAAGGATATAATCTCTTGCTCCCTTTGATTATATACAGCATCTATAACACTTTACACATTTTTAAAACAGGAATAACAATTAAAATAGAATTAATAATTAAAACAGTCGGGGGGGGGGGGAGGGGTATGAGAAAAAATATATATTAGTACTAAAGGTAAATTAGTATTAGATAAGGAATAAATTGACTTAAGCTTTTCGGGTTATTGCAAAGAATACAAACTGACATGGTATAGGCCCAACTTTGGCTACAAAATAGTAAATGTTATTGTTAAACAGGTTGTACAGCTATAAAAACAAATAGTATGGCTAAGAAAAGAATTTTAGTCAAAGATTAATAGGTTAAGAGAAATTGAAATCATGTTAGTTTAGCATAATAGTTTATAAAATGGTCAATCAGGAGGTTATGCAGAGTTTAAATGTGTGATACAAAGGTTAGGAGATAAAGTTAGTTGGCTTTTAATGTTAATTTGGATTAGTTTTCACTTCTTACTGGCACCCCAAGAGGTCTCACCTCTACTTCCTTTTCCTTTACTGCTGCCCTCAGCTTTTTTGTTTTTTGGTGATCCTGGTTTTTTATCTTTTTCTTTTTTAGCAGAACCTTAACCAATTCGTATTTTTAAAATAAGTATGTTTTACTTTATCTAGATCAGTATTAGCATATTTATTGCAGGTCATTGCTGCACAAAATTCAGTTGTTGAGTAGTTATATTTTAAAAATACAAACTGTAATACCTGAAAAGTTAACTTAAGTAAATAAACCTCTATTTCAAAAAGAGGTTTTATAAGTAGGCCTAAGAACAAATCAACAAGTTAATGCAGAAATCAACAATAACTGAAAGAAAACCTTAGAAGAAACTGTAACTTATATAAGCTCGTCAAACCTGCAATCTTAGCTGGAACTGGCATATCAAGTTTTAAGATTACATCAAACTCTACATCACCGAGCTTTGGCTCAGATAGTTTTTTTTCCACTTCATCTTCTTTTTTTGATTCAAGAGATGTTTTTTTCTCTTCATTTAAACTTGATTCTGCTGCAGTCTTTTCTGCAGTACTAGTCCCGCGGGTATCTAGGTTTAATTTGACAAAATCATTTTTCTAAAGCAGAAACCTAAACCTAGTAGTGACCTACTTTCAATTTTATTTGTTATATCAATAAGGAATTCTTGTAAAAATATGAGGGAATTTATTTATTTAAATTTTATACTTCTATTATTAGATGAGACTAGAAATTAATATTGTTTTATTTTTGTTTAGAATACCAACTGGCATAGTGTTTTAATTACCATTAAATACAATACCACCAAAAATAATTCTCACTTCACTGGGAACATAATAATTTAATCCAATTAATAATAGGTTTGAGCATTTTTTTCAAATATCCTACCTGTTAGTTTTTCTCAAATATCTGGCATGGCTGCTAGTTTTTCTAAAATATCCTACCTGCGTGGCTGCTTGTTATTCTCAAATATCCTACCTGCAAGGATGCTAGTTTTTCTCAAATATCCTACCTGTGTGGCAGCTAGTTTTTTTTTCAAATATCCTATCTGCATGGCTGCTAATTTTTCTAAAAATATCCTACCTGCGTGGCTGCTAGTTTTTCTAAAAAAAATATCCTACCTGCATGGCTGCTTGTTTTAGAGAGGGGTCTTGATGCAGATCTTGATGTGGGGCGTGATGAAGGGTGGAGCTCAGGTCCACCTGGTGCTGGTTCACCTTGAGGCTGCTGTACACTGCTTGGTGCTGCATTTAGTGCTGCACTTGGTGGAGCCCCGGGTGGGGCATCTGATATCTAAAATAAATGTAATCTTTTACATACATTTTTTTACTAACACACAACCTTAAAAAACCTTCCGAATTTTTTTGTAATTTTTATCTTACTACTTTAGCAGATAAAATGAGTATATAGTCATATGACAAATTTTAGTATGAACTTTTCATCCTAATACATTAGCAGTATCAATAAACTAATACAGAATTTCATCTCACTGCCTTGTCTTCTGATATTTTTTCAACTTCTGGTTCTTTGCCTCTGTTTTCAATCTGAAAGTAAATTGCAAATGTTTTTTTTAACTTGAAAATATGTGCAAATTTAAAAAATCAGAAGTATGAACTATGACCTAGGTCAGTTTTAATAAACAAAATTAAAATCATCAAGATGATTAATACAAATTTAAATTTCATTTCACAGCTATTTGGCATGGACAGATTTCTAGTGCCCCTAATATTTTAAATATCTCAAAGACGTCAAATAAAAGATTTTTTTATACCCTGCAAATAATATCTTCAAAGATCTTTTCAGTTTCCAGATAGAGAGATTCCTTCTCCAAGCTTGCATCAACTGTTTTCAAAGTTCCAAACTTCACAAACCACTTCTCTAGCTTCGGCCAATGGTCAACAAATCCAGTGATCCTGTAATAAAACCATGCAACAAAAAGGGTTTTTACTTCATAGGAAGTTTTAATAAGAGTTTAAAATGCTTAAATGCACCAAAATACTAGAACATTTTTTAGGCATGAAATCGAGAATATTTGTGTTCTGCAGAAAATTGTTTGCATGAGAAATAAATAAAATAATGTGTAAACATCGTATTAAAAGTGGTGTTGTGTTTTTGTGTAAGACAATGGTTGAGGGATGAAACAAATAGTCTTGTCTAGTCCTTAGGGCTGTAAAGTTGAGTTAAAAGTCCATTTTTTGTCTTGTGAGGAAGCCCTGTCTGCATCATTGATTATATATTCAATTGTCAGATCTATACAAATAAACCCACAAAACTGTGAGGGAGCCTTTGTCAATTCCTATTATTACCATCATTAACTGTGGTGTCCTGAATGTCAAGTCATTAACCTTTAACTATTAATTAGTTGCTACTATAGTACATTTGTGGGATATCTCCTTATTTTTATTGAGTATTGTGATCAATCAAATCTTGTTACTGTAAGGAATCAAAAGCTGATATATTTTTTAAAATGTGACCGGACAAGTAACCCCACCTTGTCTGGATTTGTTCCTGATCAAATGATGGATCAACCACAGGTTGAACTTTTTCCACTTTCCCAACACCTGTGGCGCTTCCCTCTGGGGGAGGTTCAAATTCTTCATGGTAAGACTTGCCAGCTTGGACTTGCTCTGAAACAAACAGGATTTGCAGGCCAAATGTAAAAAGTTTTTAAATATATCACATTCAATATAAACATTTTAATTATCTAACAGATTTTTATTCAAAAATTTTTAATATATAAGAAATAAAAATATATTTCTTGCAGACAATATCAATTGAAAAAAAAATCACTTTTTCAACAATTACTTTTAACAAATATAACGTGAATACTTATGTTATACATTTCAAGTCTATAACTACAGCTGAACTCTAGCATCATGTGCCACCAAGTTATGACCTACCAGTTCTGCCTGCTGCTCGTTTCAGACACAGCTCATCTCGTATGTCAAACAGCACCACAACATCTATTCCACTTGGTGGATCCGGTGGAGGGGGAGCAGGTCGAGGGTCATTGACCAGACTGGATTTGCTGATCCTGGTCTTGGAGTCAGTTTTAGCCGTGTCAATGCCACTGAGGGCTTTCTCCAAGAGTTTAGCCTGAGCGTAAGTATGTGGGTAGCCATCTAGCACCCAGCCTGTTCCTGCTGGGATTTTTCTAGCCAACACAAATCAAACGTTGATTAAGAATGTTGGCCAATGCTGCTTGGCTGTTAATAGCATTCCATCACAATATTCAAGCATGTTTAATGTCAATTTTCAGATTGCTAATTAACAGGATTATAATGTAAAACAAATATTTGTAGATGAAGCCTTTTACAACTATTTCATAAAGCAGTTACTTTATAGCTTCCATAACCATATCAACAACTATTTGGTCAAACAGTTACCTTACAGCTTCAATAACTAAATCAACAACTATTTTGTCAAGTAGTTACCTTATAGCTTCTATAACTATATCAATAACTACTTGGTCTTCCACTGGTTTGCCTTTTTTCAAAAACTTCATGGCTTTTTCTCCAAGTTTTGCTCTTGCTGTTGGCTGTAAGAAAAAATAAAACCTATTTTTTTTTGCTTATTAGTTTTGTGTTGAGTTTTTACCTCAATGCTGTTCACACATTCAGAAAAATGATAAAATATTTTTTGATACTGACCTCTGGTCCTATCTGAACAACTTCCTTGTGAATCAACACATGAGGGGAATTTTTCATATTGTCAACTGATTTTGGGGTGTCATGAGAAGCTAAAATGACAAAAATTAAGTTTCTTTGAGAGGTACTTCAATTCTGGTTGATTGTATTTATCTCTAATTTCTGAACATAACTGGATTTAATGCATTACTAAATTCCAGTCACAATATTTTAAAAAATCAGCTTAAGATGTCTTTTGGTTTTATAGATTATGTTCTTGAATTTTTTTTATAAACATTTTCCATTAAATCCAGACACAGCGTTAAACACTTTTTTGAGTTTCATTTTTGTTAATATTTGAGTGAACATAAATGGAGTAAAGGGTTAAAGCAGCACAACTACCTGTAGGGATACTGCTGTTCTCTGTTGTTTGTAAGTGCTGTTCTGTAAATATAAAAAAAAATCATTGGAAAAAGAAAGTTGCCTGTTTAGTTCAATGTTTAAAATCTTAAGGTGGAATAAAACAAGAAAAGCTAGAACAACAATGAACAAATGGTTGTTCTGAAGATTGGGAATGATGTAACTGGACAGACTAAACACAAGTTTGTGAAGAGAGAAAATCTTTTTACCAAATGTTATTACTATGTTTGTTAAAACAAACTTTTAAAACTGTTTAAATTGAAATACATGCACATAAATGTTACTTTCATGTCCGTCCCTAACACTCTACTAATCTTCTTACACATGACATCAACACTCTACTAACCTCCTTACACATCAACACTCTACTTACCTTCTTACACATGTCATCAACACTCTACTTACCTCCTTACTCATGTCATCAACACTCTACTTACCTCCTTACACATGACATCAACACTCTACTTACCTCCTTACACATGACATCAACACTCTACTTACCTCCTTACACATCAACACTCTACTTACCTCCTTACACATGACATCAACACTCTACTAACCTCCTTACACATCAACACTCTACTTACCTCCTTACTCATGTCATCAACACTCTACTTACCTCCTTACACATGACATCAACACTCTACTAACCTCCTTACACATCAACACTCTACTTAACTTCTTACACATGTCATCAACACTCTACTTACCTCCTTACACATGTCATCAACACTCTACTTACCTCCTTACACATGACATCAACACTCTACTTACCTCCTTACACCTGTCATCAACACTCTACTAACCTCCTTACACATGTCATCAACACTCTACTTACCTCCTTACACATGTCATCAACACTCTACTAACCTAAAGCATCTGCTAAGTCTGCAGCATTGAGAGTAGATACTCCTTGGTCAATCTCTTCCCCTGAGTGGGACAGCGTGGTTTCAAAATTTATCTGGGTAGTCTGAGGAGAAAGAGAATTTATACAACAACAGCTCACATAAGTCAAGTTATAAAATTATACAACAGTTCATATAAGTCAAGTTATAAAATTATACAACAGTTCATATAAGTCAAGTTATAAAATTATACAACAGTTCACATAAGTCAAGTTATAAAATTATACAACAGCTCACAAAAGTCAAGTTATAAAATTATACAACAGTTCATATAAGTCAAGTTATAAAATTATACAACAGTTCATATAAGTCAAGTTATAAAATTATACAACAGTTCACATAAGTCAAGTTATAAAATTATACAACAGTTCACATAAGTCAAGTTATAAAATTATACAACAGCTCACAAAAGTCAAGTTATAAAATTATACAACAGTTCACATAAGTCAAGTTATAAAATTATACAACAGCTCACAAAAGTCAAGTTATAAAATTATACAACAGTTCACAAAAGTCAAGTTATAAAATTATACAACAGTTCACAAAAGTCAAGTTATAAAATTATACAACAGTTCACAAAAGTCAAGTTATAAAATTATACAACAGTTCATATAAGTCAAGTTATAAAATTATACAACAGCTCACTTAAGTCAAGTTATAAAATTATACAACAACAGCTCACAAAAGTCAAGTTATAAAATTATACAACAGCTCACTTAAGTCAAGTTATAAAATTATACAACAGTTCACATAAGTCAAGTTATAAAATTATACAACAGCTCACAAAAGTCAAGTTATAAAATTATACAACAGTTCACATAAGTCAAGTTATAAAATTATACAACAGCTCACAAAAGTCAAGTTATAAAATTATACAACAGTTCACAAAAGTCAAGTTATAAAATTATACAACAGTTCACAAAAGTCAAGTTATAAAATTATACAACAGTTCATATAAGTCAAGTTATAAAATTATACAACAGCTCACATAAGTCAAGTTATAAAATTATACAACAACAGCTTACAAAAGTCAAGTTATAAAATTATACAACAGCTCACAAATGTCCAGTTAAATAATTATAAAACCCCAGATAAGGGGAGGTGATCCAACTTACCTTATCCACAGTCTCAACTTCCCCTGCCTTGTAAGCTTCCAGAGCTTCTTGGATGAGTTGCTCTGGCACTATAACCTGCAGGCGATGCTCTGTGGAGATTGACCACATTCAGTTGGGTATAAGGAATATCAAGAGATTTAACAATTTATGGTATTCATTGGGTAAAGAGCAATATGCTTTAAACAATAGAAACTATTTGTTTATCAATGTTCAAAACTACTCAAATTACTGGTGAAATAAGGAACATAAACAGCTTATAACAGTTTATATTACTGGTTTATAAAGAATATTAAGAACTTAATTTAAATTATTGGTTTTAAAAGGAAAGTAATAGTGTCACCTAATTGGTGTCTCAAATCTAATTTTATATTTGGTGCTCATAGAAAAAGGTAGCCTATTTAGGTGTATAAATGACAATGCTTTGAGCTTACAAAACTACATTGTTACTTTTCAAATCATACAATACCTTAAAAATAAAATACATCTTTTATGAAATACATATCCACAAAAACAACTTACCCTCAGCAAGGCGTTTGATAACTGTGGATTTACCACTGAAAACTTTTCCCAACACACAGGCGCGTATAGGGAAAGGTGGAAACTCTGGTGGCACTAATGGGGGCTAAAAAGTAAATTCTGAATTTCAACAAGTTGCCAGATAACTATGTTAGTAGGGGCACAGAAAGGGCCCTAAACAAAGTTAATCTTAAACTAAATTCAAACCGATAATTTTTTATTATTGTCAACCATTTAATGTAATTAGTTATGAGAGCTAGGAAACAAAGTGCTCACAGTTGGGGGATGAACCATGGCAAACAGTCTGTGTACAATGTGTCCCACCACTGGGTTCTCCTCTGGTGGTCCCTTGATGTCACTCACTGCTGGGGGCTCCCATTCTCCTGTCATATACTGAAACCAGTGGGACAAATTCAACTTGGCAACACACATTAATGTGATAAAAATCGGTTAAATTAAATTTCACAACACACATTAATGTGCTGAAAATGTACTATAATATTCAGATGGCATTATTTCAGATACTAGCAACACAAACTGACAACAAAAAACCTACTTTATATTCCATGAAATCCCCTTCATCAAGCAGACGCTGCCTCTCTTCCTCTAGGAGCTGCTCTGGTGTTATCTGATCTGTCTTTGAGCTCTCTTTATCAAAGAGAGGCTTCCCACTTGTAAACAGTAGCTTCCAATCTCGCATGAGTTTAGGAGGCAGAAGTCTGAAATAGTGTAGTTTTTAAATGGCTGAGTATGAAAGGTTGCATTGCTTAATAAAATGCAGCTTTCCTACACCAGTAATGCTAATTATGGATGAATGTTTAAAACTAAACTTTCATTACAGTATTTTAAAACTTCAAATGTTTGATAAGAGTTTTTTAAAGGTTTGTAAAGTATGAATAGAATGCAAATGTATTAAAAAATTTAGAGTGGCAATAATGTGGTCAGGTAAAGTATTGTCATATCAAGCATACATCTAAGCTGGCCTTACTTGCTTGTCAGCTCCCTATAGTCGGCTACTTTGTAAGCAAAGTCCACAATATCACTGACGATCTCTTCACAAACATTGTAGTGACGCGTGTACCTTTCCTCAGCTCGTTGGGCTGCTATCATGTTGTGTACTTGTTGATCAGCTTTGATTTGCTCAGCATATTCTAACCTGTGCAGTTCCGCCATTTGCTGCGCAAAGAAAAATATACTTTAAGCTTTGTTTGAAAATAAGTGGCAAAATTCACTTAAAACTGTAATAAATTATCCTTTATCTTCTGCTAATAAATTCTAGATGACCATTGACTGCTAGATCTAGCACCATTTATCACCTTGTTTACTTTCTGATTAAAGCAAAATGTCTCATGGGAAAGTAGTATTTTTGAGGATATTTATAATGACAATGGGTGCTATCACACAGCTATGATAAACAATGATAATTTACTATTTTATATCCATTTTTAAAAAGAAGAAAAATCTTACTGCTTCTCTGTCTAAAGCTTCCTCAAAATCTTTTTGTCTTCTCTCCTGGTACTGTTTCTCCATTAAAAGTCTATTTTGGCGAATAATCTCTTTTTCATGCCTAGCCTGAAGGATTCAAGTTAACATCCATACTAGAATCCATATGAGGTTTAACATTCATACTACATGGGTTAAAACACACTAATTATAATCCTCCAATATTGCATAAAGTTAGAATTTACACTATGATGGCTAGAAAAACACATTATAAAATTCATTACTTGCAGTAGCTGGACTGCTATTCTTCGCTCCTGTTGCGATTGTCGCATCAGTCTATTAACCATCATCTCTTCTCTTCTGGCTTCCTTTATGATTAAACAATATTTGATTCATAACCATTACATTCAAACAATTTAAAAAAAACTAGATCTACCAGTTTAACATTTGGTTACATTTTGCAAGGATACAAGAATACAAAAAATGTTGAAATAAAAGAAAAAGTTTTAAATTTAAAACTGCTGGTAACATTCATAACAGTTGCCAATTACAGATTTCAATTCAGAAAATAAATCTCTTAATTCTAGCTGCTGTTTACCACTAAACAGCTCTTGATTATACAGCATGCTGTACAAATATTTACTGTACAATGTGCTCAATATGTTGGACTTCAACTATCAGCCAATTAAAAAGTTAATGTATTCCATTTCCTTGGCCATCTGTAAGTCTTAAGGTTAACAATTTATAAACTTACTTCCTGTGTTTCATGAGCGATCATCTGATCTCTCAAAACTTTCCTCCGTCTTTTCTCTCTTTCTTCCCTAGCAGTAGAATCCTCATGCAAGCGTTTTCGTATTTTCCCAATGTAATCATCTTTAGGAGCTGTGGCTGACCGAGTTTGTTTAACTGAATTAGTGACATCCCAGTTTAATGTATTTTTCTTCTCTGAGTCATTCCTGTAGGTGCCATTTACATTTGTCGTAAGGAAGCAATACATTTTTTATACATTGCTACTATATAGAATCTAATTATAAAATGAACCTATTTTACAAACCTTTAGTATGATTTAGACACTTTAATTTTGTACATTGGAAAAAAAAAATTATTTTCATGGAAATTACTAATTTTAAAAATTTGAACTAAACAAAATAATGTGTAAATCAGTTACGCTTTCTCATCCTTGGGCAGGTTTCTCATCTTTTCTTCAAAAGCATTAATAGATTTGATGCTTTCTTCTGCCTCTCTTTTTTTTACATCACTGTGGCTGCCACTGGATTTCATGGTGTGTTTAGGTGGGGGCTTTGGAATATAAATTGTTGCTGCACTGAAGAAAATAAAATTTAATCATTAGTTTAAAATAAATTGAAGTTCTATATTAATTTTCTAAAGTAATTTGAAATTTATGATTGTTTATAACTATTTTGTCCTTTTGAATGAAATATTTTAATACACGACATGTCAGTCTTCAGAAAATGTATCGAACGGTATTTATTCTGGATAATGAGTTAATTAAGAGTGAGTTTCCAAGAATAGTTGAAAAAAAGTTGGCAGCAAAATAATATTTGGAGAAAGTAAGAATGTGTGTTCTTACTTTATCTTAGCTACCATTTCACTTTGTTTTTCTTTCAAGGCACGGTTCCTTGCAAGAAGAGCTTCTCTTTCTTCCTGATGTTTTTTATACAGTCTCTCAGCCTCCTCAAACTTCTCCCTGAATGCGCTTTGTTCAAGTTTAATTTGGTTTTCATGAAAGCGGAGCACTAAAGCTTGGAGATCAAGGTCGGTCTGACGAGGAGTTGCTTGTTTTAGACGCTGAAAAAATATTAAAACTTCAAACTTAATTGTATCAAGTGTATGATTATGATTTTCATTCTTTAAAGACTTTCTAATATTTTAATTATTTTTTTATAATTACTGTCAAGTTTGTATATTTTATATAATTATATAAGTTTAATTTAGCCATGTTATAAAAACTATCCATTCAGTGAATTATTAATATGGGTGATATAAAAAACAGAATATGGCAGGCAACATGACATTTAAAATAAATTTTTAAGTGAACAAACATACAACAAATACTTTGAAAACATTACAAATTAATGTTAAGTCTCAAAATTGAGATAAAATAATTGAAATGACAAGAGTACCATTTAAATATTCATTTAAAATTAAACTGATAATTACAAATTTTTAATCTCTAAAAATGTATCCTATAAGCACGTGAATATGACTAATTATTTGTTAAAAAGTAAAATTATTTTTCAGAGTAAATATGCTTACTACTAGGAATAAAGTATTAATACCTTTATGATTGTTTTAGCTCAAAACCTTATTCATTTATGTTACATGACTTCCATTTACAAAAATAATGAGTTAATCATTTATGCTATTTATTTTAATCCTACATAGTGCTTTATTTTATTTTATCATAATATTTTACAAGAAATCTAAAAAGAAACAGATATTGTTCATATATTCATGCAATATGTAAAACATTCAATACCTTATCCATGCTAAAGAATATTACAGTGGGACCTTTGATATTACGTTTATTAATTACAAATCTTAAAAGCATACTTCTTGAACAAAAAGTTTAACTTGAGGTTTTTTTAAAGTGTTTTTGCTTTTAAGATTTTACTGAGGATTTAAAAAGTGATAAAAGTTCTAAAAAAAATGTACATTAAAGTAGATTTTTTTTTCTGCAACATGCACCTAAGTTACCTCATCGTCTTTCTTCTTCTGTTCAAATGCAGCATGTGAGGAATATATAGTTTTGAGTAATTTAAAAAAAATAAAATGAACTAAACCAACCTTACACAAGGAAAACTAACTAATCAAATATGTTTAATGATTGGCTGATTGACTTTTTTTTTATAATAATACATTTTTTTAATAATAAGTACATTTTAATAAAAATATTTGTTGAAAATTATTAAAATAGTAAATTTGTTACCTCTTTGTACATGTTACTCTCAATTACACCAAGCTTAGCAGGGGCTGCTGGCAGCATTGTTTCCATAGCTACACCAGTTAAGTTGGCTTTCTTTTTGTTATTGAGTGAGATATACATTTGATATAAGAGCTGTGTAGCTGCCCCATGTTTCTCAGTCATAATATTTCTTGCTAGTGTTATGTCAAAAGGAATTCCAAGCAAAAGAAAAACAGGCTCCAAGCGTGTGAAGTTATTGAGCTTCGAATCAGCAGTCCTAAAAAAAAAGTTTTTTTTAATAAAAATCAGTTTACATTTTAGTTAAGTAGAATTTAAGTATTGTTTTAGTTTTAAAGAAGAAGAATACGTACTTGCTTTGGGAAAATTGGTCGAAGTCATTTTGAAGTTGATATTTATGTAATACCTCACCTATAAGGTAACCTGAGGAAAACTCTTGTGCAAAAGATTCCTGGTCTGAAAGTAAAATATTAAAATAAATCAGGCAGAAAAGTTTTTAAAAATATATTGAATTATCTATTACATTATTCAAAATTTTAAAGATAAAGCAAATGAAGAAAAAAATAAAATTAATGAGATTGACAAAATTGGCAGCGGGGAACTCTAGCTTGCTAAATATGGTTGAAATCAAATAAAACATGTTTTTGGTCCATTTTCTCTACTGCGTAAATGTCAAAATTAAAGCTTTAAAAATATATTATTAATATAATTAGACTGAGTTAGTTATAATTAAAAATCTATTAACACCTAAAGTAGCCTGTAGACTAAAGAAGCAAAGAGAAGATATCCTTCAGTAATATTTGACAAGTATTTCTTCAATTTGATTTTTTTTTACAATCATCTCTTATTAATTGAAATAAAATAAATACGATATGACATGATTAGCACACATTATTTTTTTAAATTAATTTTTTTATATATAATTAGTCATTAAAAAAATCTGCTTTCTAAAAATAGTATAACAAAAAACTGAAAATGATAATTTAATTAGTTTTGTAACATTATTTAAAACGAACCACACTTGTTACAGAATTTATCATTAGAATTTCTAAAAAAATTAGTATAGTTTTCCTTTATTTTTTATTTTATATGTATAGAGCATATAAAGTAGATCTATTTAAAATATTATAAAAAGTCTACTACATTTTTTTCACATTTAAATGAAGTTAGGAATATATGAATATAAATTTGGTATCAATAGAGGAAAGCTAATGTGCCGGCTAATGTCAAATGTAATGTAGTCAGCTGGTACATTTTAATTAGATATATTAACTTATAGGCCTAATCCTAAAAATTATATACATTTATTTATAATATAGTAATATATTATGACCAGTATGTCAATATGAACAGTAAATTTACTACATTTAGATCTAGTAAAGAGTAAAAATATTAGGTAATCTATCGTTTTGGGTACGTAAAATCGCCCGCGGCTTCTAGTGTTCGAAAAAGTTACCTCATTGTCAAGGCTTTAATAATGTATATTTTGATATATTTGTGTCAAATATTATAGATAAATGAATAATAAACCTAAATCAATAGCTAAATATATCAATATAGGCAAGAAATTAACTTTAAACAGCAGTGTTTACGAGCAAGATTTCCTATATAAACTGCAGCCATTTGTAAAATAGAGTTGCCTTCCCCTGAATCTTGTGATATACGGTAACAAAGAAAGAACTTAAACAAGATGGCTGCTATAGTAAATGAGCATTGTTGCATCTGTTGAAAACATCGCTAGTCTTCATTTATTATTGAAAAGTTTTAATTCAATTGTTTGAAAACAGGTACATTACATAAATGAAACAAGGAAACATTTTTGTATTTTTCAAAACATAAATCCTCCTCAAAATGTGAAATAATTATTAAAATTTAAGGAGTCACCTGTTTTTCACATTACTAGTCGCGGGCGATTTTACGTACCCAAAACGATGTATTACCAAATATTAAATTATTTTAAATTAATCATCAATGAATTGAATGATTGAATGTGACTGTCCCTATGCGCGATGGAGTAAATTCTAAAATCTAAAACTACTAACTTATTTTGACTGAAAGATGTAGCTCATCATTGAGCCAGCGGCATAATATGTCTGTCATTTTGGTTTTAGCGTCTTACAAAACCTCTTGTATTAGTTTATAACACAGCTGCACCATTTTTTTAAACACAGCAGTCTCCTCTGCAGTGGTTTACACTTCGTTGTTATGGGAACATGAAATGTTGTCGCAATCGTAAATTTAAATATAGTTTAGTAGTTTAGAGACTGTCTATAAAATTAGTAGTGAATTTTTTTAAACGTGTTTTAAAATTACCTAACGAGATCTATAGTTTCATTTAATTTATTCAAAAATAAAAATTGCCTTACGACAAACAGAAAATTGTGTTTGTGGTAGTAGAATTGTATTATTTTTTATGTAAATGTTGCTACGCGACACAGCTTCGAAAATGGCCGATGGGTTCTGTTAGCACAAACTCAAGTGAATTTAGCGACGGCTTCATTCAAACTCTGTTGTGTAAATATGAATTTCAAACATTAAAAATACAATTTCAACACTTTTAATTTAAAAATAAAAACGTATTAATGGCAGTTAAAAGGTACACCGGTGCACCATTTGGCGTACAGACTGCAAGGTAAAAATGTAAAAAATTTACTAATTTAGTATTTAGATTTTAGTAAAAGTAAAAAAAAAAATTAATTAATAATTTAAATTTAGGCCCTATTAATTTAAAATTTAATTAATAATTATTAGGCCTAGATTCTATAATGAAATATAATGATTGTTTTAAATAACAATTTCTTGTTTCAATGGATGTAGGCCTAAACATTTACAATTTTTTTTTTCTATTTATTCTGTTCAAATTGCATGTGATTTGTGTACCATAACCATGCAGCAAGCATCTACATTTCATATAGAGATTCTATATACTAAACTATTCTAAACTTTAGTGTATATTTTCATATAAAACTAGCTCATACATATGCATCTCATGCATATAATGAGGCTTGATTATACTTTCTAATGCCTATTGAATTACTGCTAGGTTTGATGTGAATGGAATTCACCCCAAGTCCAAAGTTCCTGGAAGTTATACTGAAATCCCATATGATAAAGATTACATTAATGAGCTGGTAAGCTGTCCATTAATTTTATGAATAGTAGATTAAACTAATTTACTGGTCTCAAGAGATTTTTTTTTAAAATAAGCACATCCTGTAAGTAGTTCTTCAACTTGTTCAACTAAATCTGTATGAAATAAATGTAATTTGTTAATCAGCTTTAGATTTAAGCCTTAAACCAATTAGGTGTCATCTATCCCATCTGCATAGTGGGGGGGGGGGGGGGGGGTGACTTTTGTGGATGCAGTCCACTATGGGGAGGGGGAGGTTTTAGATCCATATAGATGTCCACATGTTAATATTTAACACTAAAACATTTTCTACTTTACAAAATGTATTCATTTATTTTTAAATGGCAGTGTTTTGTGTGAAAAAGCTCAGGTTAGTGGGGAATATATTTATATCTCTTAAGTTAGAAGTTTTGACCTTATGAATTATAATGTTGTGTACAACTACAGAAAATAATACTTTTAAAACTTTTTTCTATAAAAAATGGAACTGGTTTATGTTGAAGAGGTATTTTTTAAATTTTAAAACATTTTATTTATTTTTCTAAACACATTCTAGATTCTACTTATGTTATTAGGATAATAGTAAGCATTGAGAGGACTATTTACTTTAAGGTTTTTTTGTTCCAATTTTTGTGTGGTCATCATGAAAGGATAACCCCTTGGTCTGGCCTTAGTTGATATGCATTTCTAGGGCAGGATTTCCTTAAATAGGATACTTTCTAATAAAAAGAAATTGTAATTAATGTTATTAGAAAATATATTATTCACAGGCACCATTTTAAAAACATTTTAAATGAACCATATTATTTTCACCATTTTTTTTAAATATATATTTTTTAATTTAATAGTGTACATATGTCATGGAAATTATTCATTAACATTATTTGCATTATTCTTTTATATATTAAAATTATGTTAAATGAATATATCAAAGTTTTTTTTTAAAGTATTAATTGTTTAGTCACCAGAAAAAAACTTAATGCATTATGAAATTGGTGCTAATTCAAACTCTTTAAGGTTGGGTGTGGCACATGATTAAGTTGTTTTGGGGTTTTTATATAAAATTTCAGTTTTGACTTAATTTTTTACATATATATCTATTTCTGTATATAAAAATCACATTACTTATTGTCAGAAAATGTTTATCTCTATTTTTAAATCATTTTCTTGTGAAGGAAGTATGTGTATGTTTTGGCTGTTTATTGTCTCTTTTGCATCTTTCTCAAAATAATAAATTTTACTTAGCATACTCAATTTCAATGAAACTTTACCTTATCTTCTATATTCCCTTTATATGAAACATTTTGGAATTTGATTTTGTAGCTTAAATATGTTAATTGTTAGCAAATTTTAGCATTTTCTAATGGGCTGAGTGAAAGAAAATTGTAAAATTTGTTTGCAGTGCTCTACTTAAAATGTACAACATAGAAAGTTTTAGGCTATTAATACTATTGCCCTACATAGTGCTTGCATTTTTGTGTGTTTGTCTTAGCATTTTAAAAATGATAAACAAAAATCACAAACCATGGCACAAAGAAGTTTAGTTTGGTGTATGTTATATGGGTAAAGTTTCAGTGAATTATAACACATTAGTGCATTTGGTGTAGTAACATAAGTGCATTTGGTGTAGTACGCAGCCTTATATTTAAAAATACCCTTGTTATAATGGACAGTTTCAAGGATTTCTTTAATCTTTTATCTAACAAACAATAAGATTCATTTTAAAATAGATATAGAGACACTTTCAAAATCAAAATGTTTAAATGAATTCCAGGATTCAGTGAAGGTTGAAGATATTTTAATAATGAAACCTATTTGCTGCAAGGAAAAAGCTGATTGTGAAGCTGCTCATTTCGCACATGAATTCAAAACTTCAAGCCAAGTAGCAAGCTCATACAAAATGGATACAAATTTTGCCTTTGTTAAAAGGAATATAAATGAACAGGATAAATTATTTAGTAGTCTAAAAATAGTTGAAATAAACAATCTAAGTGAGTTCAATGGTTTATGTTGTAAATCTAGAGAATGTGATCAGATCCTCTTTCAAAATATTAATAATAATAGTGATGACAAAGTTGATGAGAATGAGATAAAAGCTGATGCAGACCAATCAAGCCAATCAGCTGCCATCAGTGTGAATCCTCAAGATAGTACTCTCAAGATGTTTATAAATAATTTATTAGATCAAAGTATCACAACAGTCAAAAAAGCTGAAGAGGAATCGAAAAAATTGGACATAGATTTAAAAGTTGAACGGTTTTCAATAGTCAGCCGGGATAAGGCTTTGTCAACTCGTTGTTCTCTGGATGATGCAATGCTCTCTGCTGCAGAAAATAGGAAATCAAGTCAAGAGTATCAAATAACCATACCTCGCAATTATTCAACTGTAAATACTAGCATAGACACAGAAGAACTTATAGATTTTAAAGATGAATTGGCCAAAACCAAAGTGGAAGAAAAAAAACTTTTTTTTTCTGCTGAAGAAGAATTAAATTCACTGTTACCAGAAGGGATTGGGATAAATGATATTGAAATCATTAAGAAATCTTCTATATATGAACAATCTGAATCTCAAATGAAACTAATTCCTCAAGTTCTTAGGACGATTGAGTCAGTTGTCATTGATGATCCCAGAAACCTGGGGAAGAAAGTGGACTATAGTAGTCAGGAAAACCTGGTTGCTGTGCCGCCCAACAGTATTTGTACCAATGATGAGGCACAAATAGCAGCCACAGCGCAGAGTAAAAAAATGAAAAAAAAAAATCTTCAACGCCAAGAGACATGTAATGACTACTTGGTATGAAAAGAATTCATGTTCATGTTATAAAATTCTGCATTCAGTTTGATTTATTTTCTAATATTCTCATTTTATATTATTACAAGTAAAATATTTTGTTTAATATTTATTCTACTTCTATTTTTGTATGTTTAAACATTTTAATTTTTATATAGTAAAAATATATTGAAAAATAGGTGTAGCTATATTTGTTTATCATTAACTAGTTTTCAACATTTTAACACAAACTACACAGCTATAAGTAGTCCGTCTATTAAATGGATTCATATTTTAAAATGTTATTATTTATTAATGTGCTATCCTAGTGAAAAAAGTGCTGAAAGTATTTAGATTTTTCATTTTTTTTGCTCACTATCGGACCTTGTGTCTCTTGGCTTGTGGCAGAAACGTAAACTGGGACCAGGTGTGTACAACCTGATGACTGGGAAAGCAGCTTTGAATAGCAGCCAAGACAAGACCCCAAAGACAGGCTGGGCCAGACAGCTGGAGCTGGAGAAACTTGCTGCTCTGCCTCACCTGCTCTATAAGGAGCAGTGGGAGGAGAACAAACAGCTGGTAGGGAACATATAGTCTTGTGCAAATATTTCAGTGTTTATCTAAGTATGGCTATAGTAGTGGGAGTAGAACAAACAGCTGGTAGGGAACATATAGTCTTGTGCAAATATTTCAGTGTTTATCTAAGTATGGCTATAGTAGTGGGAGGAGCAAACAGCTGGTAGAGAACATATAGTCTTGTGCAAATATTTCAGTGTTTATCTAAGTATGGCTATAGTAGTGGGAGGAGCTGGTAGGGAACCTTTAGTCGTGTGCAAATATTTCAGTGTTTATCTAAGTATGGCTATAGTAGTGGGAGGAGCAAACAGCTGGTAGAGAACATATAGTCTTGTGCAAATATTTCAGTGTTTATCTAAGTATGGCTATAGTAGTGGGAGGAGCTGGTAGGGAACCTTTAGTCGTGTGCAAATATTTCAGTGTTTATCTAAGTATGGCTATAGTAGTGGGAGGAGCAAACAGCTGGCAGGGAACCTTTAGTCGTGTGCAAATATTTCAGTGTTTATCTAAGTATGGCTATAGTAGTGGGAGTAGAACAAACAGCTGGTAGAGAACATATAGTCGTGTGCAAATATTTCAGTGTTTATCTAAGTATGGCTATAGTAGTGGGAGGAGCAAACAGCTGGTAGGGAACCTTTAGTCGTGTGCAAATATTTCAGTGTTTATCTAAGTATGGCTATAGTAGTGGGAGTAGAACAAACAGCTGGTAGGGAACCTTTAGTCGTGTGCAAATATTTCAGTGTTTATCTAAGTATGGCTATAGTAGTGGGAGGAGCAAACAGCTGGTAGAGAACATATAGTCTTGTGCAAATATTTCAGTGTTTATCTAAGTATGGCTATAGTAGTGGGAGTAGAACAAACAGCTGGTAGAGAACATATAGTCGTGTGCAAATATTTCAGTGTTTATCTAAGTATGGCTATAGTAGTGGGAGGAGCAAACAGCTGGTAGGGAACATATAGTCGTGTGCAAATATTTCAGTGTTTATCTAAGTATGGCTATAGTAGTGGGAGTAGAACAAACAGCTGGTGGAGAACATATAGTCGTGTGCAAATATTTCAGTGTTTATCTAAGTATGGCTATAGTAGTGGGAGGAGCAAACAGCTGGTAGGGAACCTTTAGTTTTTTGCAAGTATTTAAATGTTTTGTTTATTTTTAGAAAAAAAAACTTGGACCTGGATCTTACAACATAAAAGATTTTATTCAGTTGGGAAATGAGAAACCCAGAAGTGAGAGAGGGATGTGTAACAATCTAGCCCCCAGATTTGAATCTAAACTTTCAGTGAGTTTTTAGAATATCTCACCCAACACAGCCTTATATGATTATTACATTTTGTTAGTATCAAGGTAATATCATCTAATTAATTAAAATGATCTTTCTGAATTCATTCAGTAGTGGTCAAGCATACATCTGACCAATTTGAAAGCTCTGACCATAATGTATTCAACAGAGTAGTGGTCAAGCATACATCTGACCAAATTTGAAAGCTCTGACCATAATGTATTCAACAGAGTAGTGATCAAGCATACATCTGACCAATTTGAAAGCTCTGACCATAATGTATTCAACAGAGTAGTGGTCAAGCATACATCTGACCAAATTTGAAAGCTCTGACCATAATGTATTCAACAGAGTAGTGGTCAATCGTACATCTGACCAAATTTGAAAGCTCTGACCATAATGTATTTAACAGAGCTCCACACCAGGACCTGGGACTTACGGCATCGATGGCATTCCTCAGAGAGCGCTAGAAATAAAAGATAAAAAATCTATCAGCACTAAAGGTTTGCTTGATACAGGTGATCGCAAGAGAAATTTACCTACTGTTGTAAGTAATTGGAATCATAGTCCTAACTAAAATCTTCACATACAAACAACTCATTAAATATTGAATCACTTGTCTTAATGAACTGATTTTCTCATAGATGAGCCTATCAAGGTTGAATTTTTGAAAGCTAAAAAACTGAACTTTTGTGATAATTAAGAACAATATACAGTTATCATAGCATTAAAGCCAATAGCACAGTGTACACAAAAAGTAATGTTCCCTTTTGGACCTAACGGCCCATTACTGAAGATTGTCAGGTACCCATCAGAGTTGGGTGGACTCAGGCTACAGCTCTAGCATGGATTAGCAGACAAATGTTCTACCATTCAACCAAGCCATTCCATATATATGGACAGGGAAGCATTATTTATTGACATTTTGAATAATAGGGATACTGATTGTTTTAAGGATAAAAAGAACATATATCGGACATCACATTATTCAGGATAAAGTATTCAAAAGTTATTCTTGCAGATTTTAAACAGTGATTCGAATTTTAAAAACAAAATAAAAAAGAGAATTTAGATAACAAAATGTGCCTATATGACTAAAACATTTTTAAGCTTGTCTTGAAAAACAATTGATTATTATATTTGATTGACATTTATCTAATGAACTGTTACAGGGGTCTGACCTTGGGCCAGGCACATACAATTATAAAACAAGCACTGAGCTTATCCTGAACAAAGTAGTCAGTACTAAAGGACCCTACGACCTGTTTACAGCTGAGAGAAACGAACCAATTATCTCGGGCTATCTGGCCGCCCCCGTAAGTTTGAGCTCATATTTCTCCTGTAGTTTAACTTTACTGTCAAACAGAATCTACGTGATAACTTGCATATTTTTTCCTGTAGTTTAACTTTACTGTCAAACAGAATCTACGTGATAACTTGCATATTTTCTCCTGTAGTTTAACTTTACTGTCAAACAGAATCTACGTGATAACTTGCATATTTCTCCTGTAGTTTAACTTTACTGTCAGACAGAATGTACATGATAACTTGCATATTTCTCCTGTAGTTAAACTTTACTGTCAGACAGAATGTACGTGATAACTTGCATATTTTTTCCTGTAGTTTAACTTTACTGTCAAACAATCTACGTGATAACTTGCATATTTCTCCTGTAGTTTAACTTTACTGTCAGACAGAATGTACGTGATAACTTACTTTATTTCCACAAGAAACTAGCTAACCTTGGTCCTGGACAGTATGAATACAACTCATTAGTGGATGAACTCAACAGTAAACATAAACAAAAGTTGGGACGTTTTGGTAAAGCTGCTCAGTACCCTGATATTCCATCGGCCATTAAGGTATTTTATAAAATCACAAAATTATTTTGTTTACATTGTATTTTGAACCAAATATAAGCAACACTTGGGGAAAAAGTCTGAAAATAAAATCTTGACCATTATTTGTCAGTTGATAGTTTGATAGTTCAGAGAATAACATTTAAAGCAAGTTTTGAGGGGCCAGGAAGAATGTAGTAAGTAAAACAACAAATCATGAGAGAAAAACTCAGCTTTAATAACAACATTTTCAAATCTTTGTTACAAATAAAATATAATAGTCTTCATTAAAAAAACAAAGTAATTTAAATTTGAAGACAACCTGAAAATTGATATGCAAAAGGAATTAAGTTTTACAACAAAGTGGGTATGTTATAAATGTACAAAATGAACAGCAACTAGACACATTAATTTTTCCTTATTTGTCATACTATGTGTGGGCAAGTACTTTTTCTTCTATTCTACAAGGACCTGCCGGGGCCAGGAACCTACGACCCACAACTCCCTAAAAAATGCAACTGTGCTGTCACAAATCCTGGCTTTCTTTCTTCTGCTAGACGAGATGACAAAATTTCACAGAGATTCTTTACTGGAAACTACGTATGTTGTTTATGTTAGCCAGGGAATATGTTTTGCCTTATGTGTTTGAATCATAAATAGGTATGAACACTGGAATAAAAGCATGTGCTGTCTAGGGAGGTACGAGAAAAAACTAGTAGGTACTGGAGTAGGTCCTCTTTAGTCAAAGTCCAGTCTGTAACAATAGTTATCACCAGTGCTTTTTTCTCATGGTGCATATGGTGATTGATAGGGTGGCCATCTCCACCTTGCTTCCCTTGTCAGAGGAGGGCAGTTTCCACAGTGACATATCCCCCTCCTTTGAATGGGTGTCTCTATCATACACCCCTGATCAAACATGTACACACCCCTGACAGACACCTATCACCACAATCCACTCAAACCTATGCAGGTAGGTCAATGGTCTACACACCAGACACACATCAACAATACAAGAACAACACCAGACACACATCAACAACAATACAAGAACAAGACTAGACCCACATGCAGCTTATTCCCTGAATTTGATCCCAGTAATTGTTTTGGTCAAAATACCCTTCATAATGGACTAAATAATATTTCATCTAAAATAAAAAAGCTTTTATTTGTTACTATTGCTGTTCTTTTTGTAAAGAAATTGTTTTTTTTTTAAATCCAGTATTTTTTTTCATTTTAAGTTCTTTTTATATTTTATATAAATTTTAAAAAAAAAAATTGTTTTAAAAAAAAGGTTATTTTTAATCAAGGGAGGTAATACTTTCTGTTTAAATGATTTTAGAATCCAGTTGGAGCTGGCCGCTATGATGTCCAAAAGTTTAACGAGGCTCAAGATGTCAATGGTCATATCAGTGTCTTCAAGTCTAAAACAGGACGACCCACTTTGCAAATGTATAAATTTTTAAAGTAAGTCTAGAACTTTGTCATTTTGATATTTTCAAGATTGAATTTAACCAAGTATATTCAAGAACCTATGTGGTTTTAGTATTTAAACGTGTTTATTATCAAAAAACAAAATGAATACTTATAGATCAATTAATTCTTAATATGAATTATTTTTGTTTGAGGTTTAAACATATTTTCATGCAGTTATCTCAAAATGATTTTTTAAAGCGGATACATTTTAAAAAAAAGGATTGAGAGCTTATTTTAAAAAAACTGCAGCTAGCTGCATCTCTTTTTTCTGGTGGCCATCTTTATTATACTTTATATCAGTAAAATGTCTTGTCTTACAGAGAAAGGTTCAGAGCTAAAGACATAAGCCAAGAGGAGAAAAACAGAGGCAGCGACCCCTACAGAATGACACGCTCTATTACTACAATGTGATTTCTAAATTGGCATTGAATCTTTAATGGATTCCAAAGGAAAAGTCCCATGGCTTTAGTTAAATTACAAAAATAAATATTTACCTTTGATTAAAAGCTAATGTTAACTAGAGAGACAAAGTTTAGAAGTTTTATAAAAATTGCAGAGCTAATCCGACATTCCAGGACATCTCAAAATAATAAAATCAATGGGATGATAATTTTTCTCATTTCCAAATAAAAGATAGAAATGTGATTTAAAAGATTCAAAGGAGAACACTCTCCACAAACTAGCTGTATGCTTATTAAAAAAATCTATTTCATTCTGTCATTATCACTAACTTACAAAGGTTATAGCCTTGAGTTTTTTATTTAAATCAATCAATCAAGCTGTGTGAAAAAATTATTTCTTAGTTAATTTCATAATACAATACAGAATCTATCTTATATTCTCAAGGTCAGTCTTTCAGTTCAAATGTGTATATTGTATTTCAATTTACTGTGATAATTATGGCTTACTTTTGAGATTACTATATTTGTTCCAGATTTTTAATTACTGTTTTTTCATTTATCTTATATTTATCTTGTCTATTTTCACACTTTTTAAAGAATATTGGACAATCCTCTTTTCAGTATTGATTAGATACTCATTGAGTCTACAGTATTACCAATATACAGGCCAAGCAAGTGTCTGCATTCTTTTACATTTAAATGCACTATATTAATGAGTGAAGCTGACCATAAACACACAAAAATACCAATGAACTAATATCTTTATTTGATTACAATAATTAATTAACATATGCAACAGTTTTATGTAAACTTTAATTTATTCAGCAGTATTTACAGTTTAAATATTTTTTTAAATGTATTGATTTAATATTGAATGAATTCTGCCAAATTAACTTATTAATTTAATTTACCAGTTTGTTGATTGTTTTGTAATGTTAATGATAATACATTTTTCCATCTAAATATTGCCTTGAAAATTCTTTTCAGCATTGGATCTAGAAATACATAAACTATTATTACCCTCTTTCAAAGAATAAATAAAAGAATGGTTGATATAATTAATGTTCAAGCGTAAATTTAAAAAATCTTAGTTGAATAAAAAAAGCAACAACAGGATCTCATCAGAGATTGTACACAACAGTGGAGCAGTCAGAATGAAGTCAGACGTGTCATCAACTGCTGGAGGTTGTGTGGCATGTGTCAGGAAAGTTTGATATATCAGCTTAACTGCTAGAGATTGTCTGGGATGGTGACTGGAAACCTCTGTACTTAAGTACCAGCACTGAAGTAGGACAGCATTATTTGTTTTTACATTGATTAAAGTCTTTCAAGCCAAGCTTGTCTCTGGTATTAAGTTCTGTGCTGGCTCCAGGCAGCTCTACAATCTCTTGCTGGACATTTTTTCACTTCACCTTGTTTTGCAAACAAGGTCTGAGCACATCGTAAATGCAGCTTTATCCCACAATGAGAGCATGTCTGACCCTAAAAATTAAACAAACATTGTCTGAACACATCTTAAAGAGTTTTATGCCAAGGTTGGAGCACGGCTGACTCTAAATATTAAAAGTATAAATCATGTTGGATCTTTGTTGTACAGGAATATTTCATCATTTAAAATAGTACGTTTAAAAAATAGAATAAAATATGTTAAACATTATAAAAAGTGAATTTAAACAAATGAAGCGAACTTAAAACAAATGTATTCTATGATGTTTGTGATGATTATAACAAAAACATGTTGGTCAAATACCCACCAAAAGACAGATCTTTGAGCATATATTACACAATTTAATAAAATCAGGGTACACATCTTTCAAGTACTGTTCCAGCTCTAGGATGCTTCGGACTGACAAAGACAACTTCCCATCAGCATTCTATTATTTTAGAAAAATAGTGGAAGATAAATATAGTTAAAGAATCAAGTTGAAAACAATCTACTTTCCTTAATATCTATTTTTAAGACCAAGAGTATTGAGATTGTGGTTAATTAGTATATGAAAACTGGATTGGTAAGTTAAACAGTACCTTTTTAATCCATTTATCCTGTTCTAATCTATTGAAGAAATCTTGTGCTTCTTCTTTCCCCATTTGTTTTTCTAGCCTGTCTGTCAGAGTTAGTGCTGCAAGGGAACCAACTTTACCCTCATCAGTATCCACAATCTGCTCAATCTGATTCAAATTGGAATGGTGTAGTATACATATATTAACCATTGATGAGGGCTTTTACAATTTTAAAGGAAAGAGAAAAGTTTGGATTTGCAGCAGTCTTCAAACTTATAAAGTGTAATCTAATTATAAATTGAATACAAACTGAATAAAACAATTTATCAACAATAGACCATTCCTACTTCCAGAACTAATTCTAGGCTGTCTGGCACACAAAAAAGCATCACCAGAGAATACTGTTTTGGCTGGTACTAGTTTAGACAAGTATTTTAAGACAATCTCCGTTTTGTCAAAGGAATTTTAAACAGTTTTAAAATAAAGACAACTGTTAGTTTTGTTTTCAATGATAGTTATGTTATACTTAGATGCTATCAGGTGCAGAAGTATTTTCCTTTAATAATTTTTTCATGATTATTTTATTTGAGTGATTGTGGGTTATTGTTGTTAACAAATGAGAATAAAGAAAAAATTACCAGCTTTTTAAACAGTTCCAATTCGTTTGGTGTATACGTGGATGAGAGGCGAGAAATAGGAGTTTCCACTGTGTTTACCTTAAGGAAATTCAGCATAAAAAGAATAGTGAATAGTTTAAATAATTAGAATAGCACCATTATTCATTTTAGAATGTTCTTTTCATATTTCATTTATCAACATTAAAAGTATCATATATATCTATCATTTTTTAAAATGCATATCTAGTAAATATTTTATAGTCATTAGGTCTACGTACAAGGCAATAAAAATTAGCACCATCATCCTCCTGAATTCCTTTTTTAATCTCCAAATTGAATGGAGCAATAGCTTCATTGGCAGTATGGACACATTTTAGCATTTCATCTGTTGAATCAATCTGGACCCCACATTCTAATTTAAAAAATGAAGTGGTGAGAATGTTTAACAAACAAATATTTTTAAATTTTATAAAAAGTTTATCTTTCAAATTTTCAGTTAGTTGTTTGAAAAAAGTAATACTGTCTAAAATTTAAGAGATTTTGAAATAACTTTTAGTCTTTAAAAATGCAAAAAATGAGGTCACACTTTTTTGCAAATTTTTAGACCCACAATTTTTTATTCTTATGGACTTGCTTGTATTTTGTTTTATTTCATTAATACATCCCTTAGTAAATTATAGCTGTGCACAAAATATTTATAATCAATATACCCCTACATACAGTTCCACTGCCTTATCTGCTTCTATCTATATCTTTGCCTAATCCTACATACAGTGTTTGATGTATGTGATACAGAATTTTGGCATGGCAACTTTTCAAAATTATGTGATGGCAAAAACATAATAAAACAATGTAGACGCTGATGCATAGAATGCTTGGTCACAAAATTACCAGTGCTATAGTACCAAATAAGTTGAAATAATATGATAGAACTGAAAGATGTTAATGAATTAACTCTAGGGTGGTTAACACACAGGTAAATGCCATGGTGCAGGAATAGCAGAAAATGAGAAATAAAACCAGAGTTGGTATTCGTATTGCCTTTGAGGCTCCGCTCTTGTTTGGATAAGGAGTCATCTTATATAATATATAGTAATATATAGAAGGGTTGCTGTACCCTGGGACTGATGGCCATTTAGGTAGTCATCCTTTTAGTGTACTGTACACTGTACATAGATCTACATAGGTAAAAAAAACGATATAGCGTCGGTTATTATTCCGGAATTGTACAGCAGTAAAAAACAGTAAAACCATGACGTAGTCTGTCTATTTAATAACATTAAGGTTTACTAATTGTTGCTAATTTTCTGTCAATTAAAATTTAAATTAAGTTAAAACTTGACTTTATTTTTATTTCAATGGTCAAATAAACTATGTACTATGTTTCACAGTAACGAATGTTACAGAAACTCAATAAACATTACCGTTTACCAGATAATTTCCGATGCTGTATCATCACATCGTGAGATTAACTCTATATATTTTTATACTAGATTTTAAAAAAAGATTCTAGGGTAAAACTCCATTTTAGTGCATTTTATTCCCCGCTTCACGTTCACCTCCAGTTGAGCGTATTTTATTATAAACACAACTGAAACACACAAAAACATTAGGAAAACACTAGGGCTAGAAGCTAGATCTACTTATTTTTTTATTAATGTGATTTTTAATTAGAAAAGGTAAAAAAAACATTAAAAAAGCATTAGAACAGTTCCAATGTGATCGTCAACGGGAGAAAAATCCCTACAGGGTCGCGGGTTCACCGTGAGTTCACATTGACTTTAACTATCAGCATACGTCATAGCTCGTGCAATAGCTGTTTGAAATTGTGTTGGCCTCAGTTTTGGGGTCAGTGTAAGTTCATATATGTTTATTTATAGTATCTTGCCTGGGAGATGCTTGTAACAATACAAACTTAACCGCCTTGCAATTGTGAGGTACATTTACGTACTTCACCCATTGCCATGAAAATCCTAAATGACACACGCACATAGCACATTCAATATTCTAAATTTGGATTTTTCTCAAGTTTTGACAAAAGTAAATTATCAAAATCTAAAACGAAGTCAGTCTCTTTGTTTTTTATTCATTTTTATTAATTTGTTAAAACAAAAATACAATACAAAAAAATAAATCGTGTTTTCCTAATGTTTTGGTGTGTTTCGGTTATTATAATATTATTATAATAATATTAATGGAAAACGCTCAACTAGAGGTAAACGAGAAGCGGAGAATAAAATACGCTAAAATGGAGTTTTGACGATTCTAGATCTAGATTCTAGTTAATAGCTTTGTTAGTAACAAGTTAGTTATATACTAGATCTATACTATATACACTACTCACTACACTGTGACTAAACTACAGTTCACTACACACTAAACAGTGACACACATCAGTGGTTCCACACACAGTACACGTACGTACACACACAGAGTACACACACACACCAGTCATTAAGGTTTTAACTTCTTTGCCGTTGAGGATTCCTTTTGATAAAAAACTTTGCAAAAATTTCTGCATATGCACACGCGATTCACTAGATTTGGTTGCCATAGTAAACAATATTTAGTACAGCCTCAGAAATACTAGACTCCACTAAAACTCTACTTTTATCTAGATCTAGAGATTCAAAGTTTCTGTAAACAGTTTTTAACTGCTGTGGGTAGAGCCTACTTTTTAAACTTTTTACCAAGCAATTTTAATCTTTTTTTACTGTTATGCTCTCAAACCAACTTAAAGTTGAATGTAGGCCCCTTTTTACCCAGAAAAAATACCTGTCTTGCACTTATTTAGAAGATTTTTAAAAAATCCTATTAAATAAACCTTTTTTTTACTTAAAAAAAAAGAAATGTAGTTTATTTTCTAAGTTATTCATTACGCCGCTTTAGGGGTTAGAGACTTAGTTTGTTTATATTTTTAAACAAAATGGCGACCTCCTTACACGTGAAAGAGAAATCAGCTTGGAAAACTGTCTCAATACCTCAAGATTTATTAAGTCAAGAAGAATTTGATGGATTAGTAGATATTCAAGAACTGACCGACTATGAACTTTTATCTGTTAATACAGAAGTGAGTAAAAAATTTAAATTTATAACTAGTCTAGAATCTCTCTAGCTAGAGTCTAGAGCAGGGGTCTCCAAACTTTTCAGTCCGACGGCCCGAGGGCCGCATTAACTATCAAATTTCAGTTCGGGGGCCAGTTTCTTCCATGCATGTCATTGATTTTTCTGGGCAAATTTCCTAAGCCATCACCAACAAACGTTTTTTTTCCGTGGACAAAAAGATCTCCGCGGGCCGGATGAGAGGACATCGCGGGCCGTAGTTTGGAGACCCCTGGTCTAGAGTAGTACTAGATTCTAGATCTAAACAACGGTATACCATTCGAATCGTCCTTAGAGGATTTCATAGTGTCAGCCGCCAACCAATCAAACGCGCGCTTTCTCCGCGTTTTGGTTGGCGGCTGACGTCACGGTGACGTCACGCGACGCGTTTTTGGAGCTAAAAAGGGCCGAAAAAGCCATTTTTTTCTACGTGTAGTTCGGATTTTTTTACGTTTTTTAAAATGGGCCCGAAAATGACACTTTTTAAAACTGGACTTAGCCATTTTTTCAAACAAATTTTTCGAAAAAAGGCCGTTTTGGGTGATTTTTGGATGTAAACAATGGCCTAGGTCAACACGTGTCAAACCACGTGAAGGCACCCAATCGACGATTTCGGTCACGCATGAGTGGTTTTCATACGTTCTCGTGAACTAAATACCAGTTTCTTGACAACAAAATGGAAAACGACAATTTCGTGAAAATAACGACCCTAGAGGAATGGCTCTTGAAGATTATTAAATAAAAATTGGTGTGTTGGCTCTATGTATTGATTCTAAAGTTGTCTATAATTGACTAGTAGGGCATGCTGAAACAACGGCCTGAGGGCGCCGTGTAGTGTGTAGTTTCGCTAAATGTAAATTAATCAGCCCAGCCGCAGATCAATCGCAAACTGTTAAAATGGTTGGATGTGAAAAGCTTCTACTTACAAATTACTTCTGAATAATCACATCACACAAAATAATCCCAAAGAAAGCACAAAATAAAATCCTTTAGAAAAGTATCACCATGAAATTTGAAAACCACAGTTTGTCAACCTTAACCAGCCATCTTTGGCTCGATCTAGAGGTCATTCTTTAGCCTACACATGTGTCTTGTCAACCAATTTAGTTTCTGATGGTACACGACATTTAGATAAATATAATATAACAAACTAACTGAATTCCAACATTATATCCATCTAATCCAATATTGAAACAGAATTTGAAGCACAATGATCTAACGAATAAATCCAACTCTATGCGAGTGTCGCAGCTTTAGTCCTGGATACAAGCATAGTGTGTAGTCGTGTTGTGAGTAAATTTGCACGAGATACAACACCGACCTAGACCTTCCTGATGTGTATGGCCCCAAAGTGCTGCGAGTAGGGGAGGGCAATTTAACACCAGAATAGTTTTTTTTTTCAATAGTTAGGTCATCAGTAGTTCACGCGGTTCACCAGTTCACGCATCCTAACGGGGTTGAAAGTGTAACTTTACCTTAAATTGAACTAGGTGAGAGGAGGAGGGTGAGTTCATTAGAACAACGGAGCTATATTTCTAGTAGAAGAATGCGGGGAAATCATAGCTTGAAGTTTGAAGCCGGCATTTCATTTTTTTCATTGTTATTGAGTACAGCCCTTTAATGCACGACTAGGCTACTCATTATGAAATCTAAAAATGTAGTTGTGCTACCATGCAAAAGTAGCCTAATAGGTCTTGTTTATTTAAATGCAGATCCTGTTAGCCAAAAAATATTTGAATACACATTTTAGTTATATCGTAATGATTAATGTTATAATACAATGCATATATTCTGATAGTCCTTCAAGCTTTTGGGCAATCCATAACTTGTATTTCAAATTTATAATGAGCAGGATGCACTCGATGTTTTAAGTGCTACATTCGGTAGCTGTTACTTTGTGCCTGACAGCATCCCAATAGTTCACTGTAAATATAAACTGAGCTTGACGAGATTCCCATCGCCAAGCAATCGTATGATGATAGACCCAGCAAGCATCACTCGTTAAATTCGACATCATGGCTATACCAGTCATTGATTTTCATAACAGCCTTTAAACGCCTAGTTCTTGTTTTTTTAAAAAAAAAGTGTCTTCCCCCCCCCCCCCTCCCCGCTTGCGCCGACGTCATCATAGGCCAATACCATGTTGCGATTTTTTTAAACGGATATAACACACCCCTCTCCCCCTCACAGCAAACGCCAACAACGTCACCGAAGGCCCAAGGCCAATAACACGCACCACGGTGGATTTTTTCTTCAACGAGTATATACCCTACCCACCCGCCGCCTTACAACATACCGCATGTCTCTACGAACGGGGTTAAAAGTTTAACTTTGAGTTCAAGAAGGGGAGGGGGTGGTATTCAAACAACGAAGGTGTTTCTTTATAGTACAAACACATAGTTAAAAAATTATACTTACCGTAACTTACCTACTGCTATAGCATCATACATAATTTTATAAATTAGCTAATTAATTAATTAACTAATTAAATATATCTAATGATAATGAAGGGAGATAGTTTATTTTGGTTAAGGCACGACACACAACACTGTGCGTGCCTGGTATGTGGCCTGACCGACCTAAAAGGAGATTGTTTATATTATTGTTTTGAGTTTATATTTAACTCAATGCAACGAGCCTGCCGGTTGGCTGAGGCCACGCCGGGGGGACGATCTGTCCGGGATTCAAAGGGACGACTCGAAATATCATCCTAAACAACTACTCTAAGTTTGGGTCTTGAGTAAAACACGCGAAATGGCGAGACGGTACATATAGATTTGTAGATCTAGATTCTACATGCTGCATAATAATGCGAGAAATCTTCTAAAACAGCCTGTCACATGACATTTTTGTCTCGCATTTTACCCCCAACCAGTTGGTAGGCTTGGTGTGAGTAAAGTGCTCGAATATCTGCAAAATTTTTAATTATGTTTTAACCACATCTGAGAATTCCTAGGTGCGGATGATTTATTTATCTTACTGTTTTTAACTCCTAAACTTTGATGCAGTCTTAAATTTTGAAACACTTTATATAAGGTGGCACTATTAATCACTATTATTAAGTAGCGACTCGCCACAAATTCATTTAAAGTCCAATGAATCTGATGTTTCAATTTTTACCAAACCCGAAATTTGTTGATGATTCAAATGATTGAACAACTTCTTTCTATTTTATTGTTTTGACTTTGAATACCACGTCTTTCAAAACAGCCTGAAATAGGGCCTTAAGTATTATTAAATTTAAATGTTACTTGTAATTTGTAACTTTAGGGCTTTAAGGCTTTAGGCTTATACTTATGTGAAATGTTCTTTTTTCCTCTTTTATTCTAATTCTAATGTTCATAGTTCATATATGAAGTAATTTATTAGGCCTATGTTTTATATCAGTCCATTATTTTCTGCTATTTTTCAGCTATGCGTTCTTATTTAATTACATATTTACAAAAAAGTAGGCTATCATTAAATGTTGCTATTCTTTATTAAAAGAAGTGTGGGTTACATCACTCGAGTCTGGTTTCTTAATGCTAAAGTTGCATGCTTAGACTAATGTGAACGTGAAATGAACCCAAACATGTTTTTTGATTGCTTGCTTTGGGTAAAAATAAGTGTCTTACCAACTATTGTATGATGCATGCTTCTCTTAATGAACTCACAGTGACCCTAACTCCTAGTAATAGTCATGTGAAAGAAAGATGACTAATTACTATAGCTTTAATTAATACAAGAATATTGTGATATATTTTTGTCAAATATAATAGATAATTGAATAGTAAATCAAACACAATGTCTAAATATTTCAATATAGGTCAAAAATTAATTAAAATATTAAACTTGTTAAATAAACAGTTGCTATCTGTAAACTAAAGTGGTTTCCCCTGAAATTCAAACTATAATTATACAACAAAAAATAACTTTAAAAAGATAGCTGATAAGTAAACAAGCTTGGTTGCATCTGATGAAAACATAAATTACAATTCTGTATTCACCTTTTGTTTTGCTAAAAAATTTCACATATTTAGGATGCTGAAATCACCAGTAAAAAATCAAAGAACAGAAAAAGAAAACGACTGTCTGAGGTAACATCATCTGGAGATGAACTGGAATGCACACAACATATCAGCAACTTACCATCCAAGAAAAAGAAAAAGAAACAAACAGGGAAAAGTAAAGTTGAAAGCAATATAGAGACAGACGAAGAGATGGACCAGACACTTCAATTGCAACCTGAACTGAAAAAGAAAGCAAAGCTAAAGAAGAAAAAGACTATTATTAGCGGTGATTTAGCAAAAACAAATGAGAAGGAAAATCTTAAGTTGCAGCAAGTTATCAAAACTGAAGAAAATGAAGTGTCACAGAAAAAGAAGAAGAAAAAAAAGAAGAAGAAGCTGAACTCTAAAAATCATGACAGTAATGTAAGTTGTGGAAACTCAACAGCAAGTGAAGTTACTGATGAAGTGGAGAATCATACAGAAGTTGGTAAGATGTGGTCTTAGATTTACATTTCAAATCTCACTGTATATTTTAAATTAAGTTTTTTTTAAAACCACACACTATGCTGTAAGTTAGAGCGTTGAACTAATTAAAAAAAATTATACATAATTATCTTGCGATACAAATGAGTTATTAAAAGATTCCATGTTAAATAAAATTGTTCTCTCCTAACCTGACTAGACATGTCACAGTGGAAGAACTTGTATGTACCAGATGTATTCCTCAAGGCCCTACAGGAGCAGAGATTTGAGAACCCCACAAAAATTCAGACCATTGCTTTACCCAGTGCAATCAGGGACAGGAAGGATATTCTGGGAGCTGCTGAGACAGTGAGTCATTGCTTGCTTTCTTCATTGGGACAGCTTGGTCCAGTGAAAGCATTTGATGCTAGGGGAACTTAACTTTTTTATTGCTTTAATTGTCTGATATTTCATTTAATATTTGCTGTTTGTTAATATACTTATACTACCTTCTGTTATTATTTAAATTATTATATTCTTTTAAATTTATTTTCTGCTATTATTGACTCAATCAAACATTATTCACTATCTGTTATTTATTTTGCTATGTTATTGTTGAATTTGTTAATTTTATGTATTGTTATTATTTCAGGGAAGTGGAAAAACTCTGGCATTTGGCATTCCACTGTTGGCAAAAATTCTAGACTACATAGAGTCGAATAAAAATGTAAATGAAGGGCTGGAAGGTGATATTGACAAGGATGATAACTCTGATGTTGACATGGAAGATAACTCTGATGAGGAAAAGAAGGAAAAATCTCCAAAGGTTAGTAACTAATTTCACAATCTAGTTTCAAATTATTTTACCTTATCTAAAAAGTAGTCACTGTTACATCATTAAGTGTGGTCTTAAAAAAATATATCTCCTGTAATTTATGTTTAGAACATTTATGTTTTTTGAACTTATCATATTTACCAAGAAATAAAACACTTAACATAACAAAAATCTTTTTATATAATTACACCTACCTATGCAGTCATTTGCCACTTAATATTCTATGTAGAAACGAAGAAAAACAAATCCACCATTGGCATTAATATTGGAACCTACAAGGGAACTGGCTGTACAAGTTAAGAACCACTTGACAGCTGTTGCAAAGTACACAGATATAAATGTGAGTAATTTAGTTTAGCACATTCAAGTTTTATAATATTTGTGAATCAGTTTTCTCAATAGTGATGTATTTTTCTTTATTAATCACTTATTTCTATATTCATGTATGCATTTTAAATGATATTCATGTTTTTTGCTCTAAATTAACAAGTTGTAGTTTTCCTTTAGCCATTTTCTGGTTCTTGCATTAATCTATTAGAAACAATGATTTATCTATAGCCTGATAATATTTTAACCATAGTCCTGATATATTTTTTTGTGTGGCTAGTTTGCAACCATTGTGGGAGGAATGTCTGTAGATAAACAGAGAAGAATTCTGAGCAGGCGGCCAGAGGTTGTCATAGCAACACCAGGTAGATTGTGGCAGCTCATTGAAGAAGTAAGTCGCTAAAAAAATTAAATCATAAGAAATTGATTGAAATTTCTTTGTTATATTGAATTGAAACTCAAAACGTCATTGATTGATTATTATAAAATTAATTAGTGAGTTGTATGTTTTTAAAAAAAAAAAGAATTGAATGTTTAAACAGAGTGATTTGGTGAGGTTACTGACCATTTCAAATTTTTCCAGGATAATGAACATTTGAAGCGGATTGACCAGGTGATTTGTTTAGTTGTTGATGAAGCTGACAGAATGGTTGAGAAAGGACATTATGAGGAGCTGACCAAACTCTTTGAGATGATAAACAAGTGAGTTCAGTATGCACACAACTTTCTGCTTAGTTTGTACACACTACTTTCTGCTTAGTTTGTACACAATACTAGCTACTGCATTTTTAAATAATACTTGCTGCTATTTAATTCACAGTATATTTATAAAAAATAAAATTTTAAAATTTCAGAAGTCCAAGGAGGGCAGTAAATCGTCAAACATTTGTTATGTCAGCCACACTTACCATGGATGTTGCTCTACCTAAGCGATTAATGAACAAGAAAAAGGTGAAAAAAGATGATACTAAGCTTAGTAAGTTATTAAATAATAATTGCAATAGCTTCTATTTTCTAGATTGCAGTACAATAATAGCTGTTATACATTAATAAATTATATGTACCTATTTTTAGTTGGTATAACACCAATGATGGAAATATAAACAATAGTTGCTGGACTTGTGAGAACTTGATTCTTTTTCTAGTTGCTATTTATATTTAATTTCTTGAATTTTTCTACACTAGAAAGCTTAACAGACAAAATCAGCTTTGGGTTTAAGCCTAAAGTCATAGACCTGACACCCAAGGAAAAGGTTTCAACAACTTTGACAGAGCTGAGGGTCAACTGTGCATCAAACGAGAAGGTCGGTATCGACATGAGTTACAGTGAATTTTGCTTTCATAGAATAGATACATTTTTGTTATTGATTCATGTTATGACCTATACATCTTATGATTGATAGTGTTATTCAAGAATATGTTTTATTAAGGCCTTTTACTAGTATTACTTTTACTTGTACTACTTTCTGTTTTTCTCCAGGACTTTTACTTGTACTACTTTTTTTTTCCAGGACTTTTACTTGTACTACTTTCTGTTTTCTCCAGGACTATTACTTGTATTACTTTCTGTTTTTCTCCAAGACTTTTACTTGTACTACTTTCTGTTTTTCTCCAGGACTTTTACTTGGATTACTTTCTGTTTTTCTCCAGGACTTTTACTTGTACTACTTTCTGTTTTTCTCCAGGACTTTTACTTGTACTACTTTCTGTTTTTCTCCAGGACTTTTACTTGTACTACTTTGTGTGCCAGCACCCTGGCAGGACCCTTGTGTTTGTCAATAGTAAAGATTGTCTCCGCCGTATGCTGGCATTGTTCACAATGTTGCAGCGCTCCCCCCTGGCGCTCCATGCTGATATGCATCAGAGACAGAGGTTGAAAAACCTGGACAAGTTCTCAGGTACCATGTTTTCTTCTTCGTTTTAATGTGTCAACATTGGAGGTTCATACAACTAGTCCAACATATAGGACAAGCAGTCATCCCATACTCAAGCACCCCATATAATTTTTCTCTAAGCGGGGTGTTTTGGGGCCAGAATCTAGACTGATCTGTGGGTACAAAGTGCAGTCTTGTAAAACATGTTCTGTATTTCCCATGGACCACACCACAATGGCATGTCTTGCTGGGGCCTACTTTTATTTTGTGAAAAAAATGTCAGGAATTTATTCTTTGTTCCTGGCGTGTCAGCTTGTAATGGGCGTCGTCCTTGTCATAGTTTTGGTGAGAGTCAGAGCAGCTGTTGTTTTCTTTTTCTCCTTCTATTTTTTTGGATGTAGTAAAATTTCTGGCTTCTATAGGGCTGTTAAGTAGGTCACCAACCAGTTCTATGGCTCAATAAAACCTGCATGAACCATAGAACTGGTTGTTGACCTACTTACCAGCCCTATAGGTACCACATGGACAGCTACCTGTTTCTCTTGCTTAGTAAAGTTGTACTGCTTTGTAAGGTGTGTATATTATAATGACACTGATGTTTCAATGACTTCAGAAAACAAGAAAGGGCTTCTGTTTGCATCTGATGTGGCTGCCAGAGGCTTAGATATTCCTAAAGTTGATCATGTGATACACTACCAGGTGCCTAGAACTATGGAGGTGTGTACATTCTGCTCACTTGTTATGTGTTGGTGCGGGTGAGGCAGCTTATTTGCTCTACAATTAAATTGTGTTTGCTTTAGAAATGTGTTGAACAACTGCATCTCACTTGCTGTAATGTTATGTCTACTTTTTGCTCTAGAACTATGTACACAGGAGTGGTAGAACAGCCCGTGCATCCAATCTTGGCCTCAGTGTCATGCTAGTCTCACCTGAAGATGCCAGAGATTATCGTAAGATCATCCATGGGGTTAGGAATGGTGAGTTTTTATATTATGTCTTACAGTTTACAGTATCCAGTCAGAATGATGTTGGTAGTTGCATGTAGCATGTGTGTACCATCATGATAACAAGGAGCACAACCTTTTGGTTAGAAAATAAAATGTATTTTTTAAACTTTTTAACACAAAAATATGACAACTAATTTCCTCTCCCAAAGGTGAAGAGCTTCCCATAATGCCAGTTGACATGGAGCTGATGCCTGCTGTGAAACAAAGAGTAGACCTAGCCAGACAGATAGATGTCAAGGAATACAGGTAAAGTAATATGATGTATTGTACTCATTTTGACACTTTGTATATTGCTGTGTAAATAAACTTGTTATTAAATCAGCATAGTATGATAGCCCAGACCAACAATTAGTAACAAGCATAACTATAAAATGTAAAGCTTTTTCTTAAGTCTGTCAAATTTTGTAACTCAGTCTCGACCAATGATTTCTATGAAACTTTCCAGGCTAGTGCACTTCTGATATCATTAAAAATAATTGTTTTGACCTTGCATCATGCTATATAATTTAATTTTTTTTATTATTATAAATTGTAATTTAAAAAGTATCTTTCAAACTGCGGTACACTAGTTTAATATAATCACACACAAAATAAAATAATATAGAATTATTTCCCTTGAGCTTTGGCTTTCAAGGGTTAAACTGTTGACCTGTTAAAGCTGAAAAGGTTAAAGTTGGAGCTTATTACTGTAGGACACATTTTTTGTGTGTTAAATTTAAAGTTCATCGCCTTAAAATGTTGTGTAAATACATTCATAAAAATATTCTCAAATTATTATATACTTTACTTTGACTAAAACAATTTGATCTATTTTAGGTTAAAAAAGAAGCGGTTAAAAAACAACTTTTTTACAAAAGCTGCCCAGGAAATGGACATGATTATAGATGATAAAGCTCTGTATCCTTTTGCTATTAGTTTTTTGCCTGCTAGTTTTTAACACTATAAGTTGCATCTCTTTTCTTTTTGAAGTAAAGTACAAGAAATGTACTTCATCTTGTATAGTGTGGTCAGCACTTTTCCTGAATTTTATCTGGTACCCATAAGAGCTGGGTGAACTCAAGGACATACTTAAAACTTAAGTCTAGAACAGAACTAGAATACACGCGTACAAGATAATTACCTGTTCTAGAACTGTGTTATTGGAATCAAATAGCAGCTTTTGAATGTAGTGCCCAAAGACCAGGAACATGTTCCATACAAATGTTGCCCAACAGGCTGGCACAATCATGTTATCCAATGCTCTGATAGGACATTTTTTGTCAAGCTGATTAGCCCCCACCAAAGTGGTTACTAAACTGTAGAATGGTTGCATATTGTCATTGATCCTTGACCGTCTCCAGCTTAGAAGATCTAGGGGACTCAGCGGAACAGGCCAGAGACAGAAATTTGCTGAAACAGATGAAAGCTCAGCTGGCTGCAGCATTGCGGGGGTCACTGATGCCCTTAAGGATGAGCAAATATCCAACAAAGTCTGGGCAGTTGTCCATACATACAGCAGTCAATTTATTTAATATCAAATAAAATTGTTTTATAAATGTACTCCTTTTTTTTTACTAGTCTGGTGAGTTTGTGTAGAAGTGCAAGTAGCAGATGTATAGGCCTATAAAAGGCAGTTTGTGAAGACAAAAGAGAAACGCAAGGTTCAAATATTTTATTGGATATTTCCACTTGGTAATAATAATTTGCAAATAAATATCACTGAAGGTCAAGAGACACAATTTTTGCCAGGAAAAATGGTTGTTCAAATAGCAACGTAGTTTTTTCATGTCTTGAAATTAGTGTAATAGCACTATTTAACAATATTTTGTGCTGATCATTTGTTCTAATGTCTGGCAAATAAAGGGAATAGAATTGAAAGTAGACATTTTTTATAAAAACTAGTCAAAAATAGAAATCTGAAGGAGCATTAGCCAACATCAATATCAGTCCACAAGATACACTGGGTACAACTGATTCTCATTTAAGCGACATGTAAAGTATTGTCATATATACAAATATGGTTTTTATTTTTAAATCAGTTTCCAAACTATAATTATTGATCCAAAACTGAAAATATAGTTCCCGTCTTCTTTTTGTCTTTTTTTTTATCTTATAAAACCTGATGCGAAAATTTAAATTCAGAAATTCCTCGTTTGAAATAATTTTTTGCTGAATTTTCTAGCGATGTCAGTTGAATAAATAGAGATAAGTTTGTCTGAAAATGGAATGTGCAACCTAAAGTTTGAAGGTATAGTATTTGTAGGTAAGCAGTTACTTAGGATGTATGGGGTGATAGTCATGAATGATCTAAGCTAATCTCCAAATATTTATGAAATCTACCATGCTAGTGCATGCTTGAATTTAAAAGCAGCAGTTAAAAACTTAGTCTCATTAAATACACATTTTGTTTGAAACGTGAGCATAAAAACAAAATATGATTCCAAACATCCAGTAACCTTATGGCATTTGAAAAGAATGGACATGAATCACAACACAGAATATGATTTCCTGATTTAAAAAATTATTGGTGAGGAAAAATCCTCTGATCAGTAACACAATGCTAAAACTAAGAATTTCCTCCGCGGTAAAAACTTGGTATGAAATAAACCACATTGAGAAACAAACAATGAATTTCACAGCCAGACACAAGCCATCACAGGTTTATATAGAGCTTGGCTTGTTGAGCAAATCATCACATTTTAGCTAGTGTACAACGACTAGATCTTGCTAGAACATGGGCACGCTATGTACAGGTTAGTTAAACGTTTAAAAAGTCGCAAGTAATACAAACTAAAAAATAGAAAAAAAAAATTACAATACATGGGCTTATGAAATAAAAAATTAGCTGCATCAATTAAATAAATGTTGATGGCTCTTAGCATAAACTTAGTTACAAAACTAATTCATGACAACTTTCTAAAACTTGAATCAAATGTGTACATACACCATCTAGTACCTGTGTGAACTAAAGAGACTATTAATAAACTTCACACAATGGGGGGGGGGGGGGGGGGTTGACCTGGGATATGCTATACATTCATTCTTTTATGACAGACCAACTGTTCAGTTTTTAAAAAAAAATGGAATTCAAGTCTGCTTTAATACAGAAAATTAAAATAGACATCTTTTCTTTTGAACATCTGGCCAGAAAGCTGTGATCTATTTTACGCCTATCTTAATTACAATATCTAGTTAGGCAGAGTAGACTGCAGAAATTTTGTATGTTAAATAAGTTAATTATTGATAGGATGAGGATGATTTTAGGTGGGATCTAGCTATGAGTGACATGTTAGGTGGGATCTAGCTTTCTGTACACAATCAAACAAGGAGGTAGAATGAAAATCATCTAAAAAAATTGTGTGATTCTACTGAGGGCCATCCTCTCATCTAAAGAGTAAGATATCAAACCAGGTCACAAACAGGCAGATGGTCCACTTCTAGTGTTCAATGTCTATTTGTATGTGCTGGTCTCATTTTAAAATTATTGCACCATATGTATGTTGATAGCAGGTAAAAGAATATGTGAACTGATTATTGCACTATATCCCTGTTTGTATTCAGGCTAAATCTTACCTGAGCTACTTTAAAAGTTCACAATCTTACTCTTGTACAGACTAAAACTGTGTACATGACATAACACCTCCAATGTAGAGAACTGTGTACATGTTGACCCAGATCCAACTGTTGGCCATTACTACAATCAAATGTAAACACAAGACCCAGACTGATCTGATACACAGATGTAAACAACAGCTGATTCTCATCAAAAGTTGACACTTGATTCATTGCATATCAAATCAACTGTTTGCTATCTTTTATATTTTTGGTTACAATTTTTATCCAAATTTACTTAATCAAGACTTTATGAACATAAAATGTTAATTGCAATCAAAGTTGTCAAAAGTTACATTCAGATTTGACAAAAGTAACATGTAAAAATGTATTTAAAAGCAGAATTAGAAACTTTCAAACTTTCTTTAAAAAGAGTTACAATTTGAGTTGGATATTTCAAGTCTAAAGCATTTGCTTCTATAAATAGTACCAGTGAGCAAACAAAGCTGTATAGGTCTACTAGGAGGGCTGGTACTACACATTTTTAATGTACTCTGGAAAATTTTCTTGGTCAGCACCTGGCCTGTCTTAGAATAGGCCATCCTGGCAATGTTAAAGGTCACAAGGTGACCAATCTGACGAGTTCTAGGTCACCGATTGACCCATCTGCGCGTGGATTCCTCCCAGTCTGTGTTGCCACCCTCCTCGTCGTCTGTCCTGATAAAAGACTCGTCGTCAGTTTGTAGGAAACTGTCCTCGTCTGTTGTGTATCTGCTGCTGGTCATCTCCTGGTAGACACAGAGGTTTTACAGTAGTAGGTGGGAGGGGGGGGGGGGGGGAGGGTACACAGCCACTCATATCAGTACTGGTCTAGACAATAAAAACCTGAACTAACATACTTTGGGACAGTCCCTTATAAAACCTGAACTAACTTCCATACCTTTGGGACAGTCCCTTATAAAACCTGAACTAACTTCCATACCTTTGGGACAGTCCCCTATAAAACCTGAACTAACTTCCCTACCTTTGGGACAGTCCCCTATAAAACCTGAACTAACTTCCCTACCTTTGGGACAGTCCCCTATAAAACCTGAACTAACTTCCCTACCTTTGGGACAGTCCCCTATAAAACCTGAACTAACTTCCCTACCTTTGGGACAGTCCCCTATAAATCCTGAACTAACTTCCCTACCTTTGAGACAGTCCCCTATAAAACCTGAACTAACTTCCCTACCTTTGAGACAGTCCCCTATAAAACCTGAACTAACTTCCCTACCTTTGAGACAGTCCCCTATAAAACCTGAACTAACTTCCCTACCTTTGGGACAGTCCCCTATAAATCCTGAACTAACTTCCCTACCTTTGAGACAGTCCCCTATAAAACCTGAACTAACTTCCCTACCTTTGAGACAGTCCCCTATAAAACCTGAACTAACTTCCCTACCTTTGAGACAGTCCCCTATAAAACCTGAACTAACTTCCCTACCTTTGGGACAGTCCCCTATAAATCCTGAACTAACTTCCCTACCTTTGAGACAGTCCCCTATAAAACCTGAACTAACTTCCCTACCTTTGAGACAGTCCCCTATAAATCCTGAACTAACTTCCCTACCTTTGAGACAGTCCCCTATAAAACCTGAACTAACTTCCCTACCTTTGAGACAGTCCCCTATAAAACCTGAACTAACTTCCCTACCTTTGAGACAGTCCCCTATAAAACCTGAACTAACTTCCCTACCTTTGGGACAGTCCCCTATAAAACATGAACTAACTTCCATACATTTGGGACAGTCCCCATTAAAACCTGAACTAACTTCCCTACCTTTGGGACAGTCCCTTATAAAAGATTCCATACCTTTGGGACAGTCCCCTATAAAACCTGAACTAACTTCAATACCTTTGGGACAGTCCCCTATAAAACCTGAACTAACTTCCCTACCTTTGGGACAGACCCCTATAAAACCTGAACTAACTTCCCTACATTTGGGACAGTCCCCTATAAAACCTGAACTAACTTCCCTACCTTTGGGACAGTCCCTTATAAAAGATTCCATACCTTTGGGACAGTCCCCTATAAAACCTGAACTATCTTCCCTACCTTTGGGATAGTCTCTGGCAACTCCGCCCCTTCATCGTCTGTTCTCATACTGACACTCTGGATGTCATCAAGTCGCTCCCCCTGACATGAGGCCAGGTCGTCTGTCCCCACATAGCTCTCGTCATCTGTTCTGGTCAAAGACTCTCCTTCATCTGTGCCAGGGTACCTAAAGAGCACAAGAGATCTGGGTCAACTATTTAGGTCTAATGACACCAAACACAATACACTTCTGGTGATCACCAGAGATACCTTTTTGATGACTTTAACAATCTTCCAGATGACCAATTAAATCCCTTGAAAACCACAATCCCCCTGAGATAATAACAATCACCCATGAGATGACCACCACAATCCCCCATGAGGTGACCACCACAATCCCCCATGAGGTGACCACCACAATCCCCCATGAGATGACCACCACAATCCCCCATGAGATGACCACCACAATCCCCCATGAGATGACCACCACAATCCCCCATGAGATGACCACCACAATCACCCATGAGATGACCACCACAATCCCCCATGAGATGACCACCACAATCCCCCATGAGATGACCACCACAATCACCCATGAGATGACCACCACAATCCCCCATGAGGTGACCACCACAATCCCCCATGAGGTGACCACCACAATCCCCCATGAGATGACCACCACAATCCTACATGAGATGACCACCACAATCCCCTATGACCACCACAATCCCCCATGAGATGACCACCACAATCCCCCATGAGGTGACCACCACAATCCCCCATGAGATGACCACCACAATCCCCCATGAGATGACCACCACAATCCCCCATGAGATGACCACCACAATCCCCCATGAGATGACCACCACAATCCCCCATGAGGTGACCACCACAATCCCCCATGAGATGACCACCACAATCCTACATGAGATGACCACCACAATCCCCTATGACCACCACAATCCCCCATGAGATGACCACCACAATCCCCCATGTGATGACCACCACAATCCCCCATGAGATGACCACCACAATCCCCCATGAGATGACCACCACAATCCCCCATGTGATGACCACCACAATCCCCCATAAGATGACCACCACAATCTCCCATGAGATGACTACCACAATCCCCCATGAGATGACCACCACAATCCCCCATAAGATGACCACCACAATCCCCCATGAGATGACTACCACAATCCCCCATGAGATGACCACCACAATCCCCCATAAGATGACCACCACAATCCCCCATGAGGTGACCACCACAATCCCCCATAAGATGACCACCACAATCCCCTATGACCACCACAATCCCCCATGAGATGACCACCACAATCCCCCATGAGATGACCACCACAATCACCCATGAGATGACCACCACAATCCCCCATGAGATGACCACCACAATCCCCCATGAGATGACCACCACAATCCTACATGAGATGACCACCACAATCCCCTATGACCACCACAATCCCCCATAAGATGACCACCACAATCCCCCATGAGATGACCACCACAATCCCCCATGAGATGACCACCACAATCTCCCATGAGATGACCACCACAATCCCCCATGAGATGACCACCACAATCCCCCATGAGATGACCACCACAATCACCCATGAGATGACCACCACAATCACCCATGAGATGACCACCACAATCACCCATGAGATGACCACCACAATCACCCTTGAGATGACCACCACAATCACCCATGAGATGACCACCACAATCACCCATGAGATGACCACCACAATCCCCCATGAGATGACCACCACAATCACCCATGAGATGACCACCACAATCCCCCATGAGATGACCACCACAATCCCCCATGAGATGACCACCACAATCACCCATGAGATGACCACCACAATCCCCCATGAGATGACCACCACAATCCCCCATGAGATGACCACCACAATCACCCATAAGATGACCACCACAATCCCCCATGAGATGACCACCACAATCCCCCATGAGATGACCACCACAATCCCCCATGAGATGACCACCACAATCCCCCATGAGATGACCACCACAATCCCCCATGAGATGACCACCACAATCCTACATGAGGTGACCACCACAATCTCCCATGAGATGACCACCACAATCTCCCATGAGATGACCACCACAATCCCCCATGAGATGACCACCACAATCTCCCATGAGATGACCACCACAATCACCCATGAGATGACCACCACAATCCCCCATGAGGTGACCACCACAATCCCCTATGACCACCACAATCCCCCATGTGATGACCACCACAATCACCCATGAGATGACCACCACAATCACCCATGAGATGACCACCACAATCCCCCATGAGATGACCACCACAATCTCCCATGAGATGACCACCACAATCTCCCATAAGATGACCACCACAATCCCCCATAAGATGACCACCACAATCTCCCATAAGATGACCACCACAATCCCCCATGAGATGACCACCACAATCCCCCATAAGATGACCACCACAATCCCCCATAAGATGACCACCACAATCTCCCATAAGATGACCACCACAATCTCCCATAAGATGACCACCACAATCTCCCATAAGATGACCACCACAATCCCCCATGAGATGACCACCACAATCTCCCATAAGATGACCACCACAATCCCCTATGACCACCACAATCACCCATGAGATGACCACCACAATCCCCCATGAGATGTCCACCACAATCCCCCTTGAGATGACCACCACAATCACCCTGAGATGACCACCACAATCCTCCATGAGATGACCACCACAATCCCCCATGAGATGACCACCACAATCCCCTATGACCACCACAATCACCCATGAGATGACCACCACAATCCCCCATGAAATGACCACCACAATCCCCCATGAGATGACCACCACAATCCCCCATGAGGTGACCACCACAATCACCCATGAGATGACCACCACAATCCCCCATGAGATGACCACCACAATCCCCTATGACCACCACAATCCCCCTTGAGATGACCACCCCAATCCCCCCTACCCTACTCACCCATCTTGTTCGTTATCACTAGTTGTTTGACTGGAGTTGGCGCTACTTCTTTGTCTCCGAGCTCGAAGTTGAGCTAAAAACTCAGCTTCCTGTCGCATCCTCCAGTGTAGGTCGTCCCGACCCCACGAACTCATGTCAACATCTTCAGTTGCCCCCGACCTGCTCATGAACTCTTCATCAAACTTCATCTCTGTACAGGGGAATAGAGGGTTAAGTCAATGCTAGAATCACATTAATTCTTGAATCACATTAATTCTTGAATCACATTAATTCTTAAACAACATTGATTTTGAATCACATCAATTGTTGAATCACATATATTTTTGAATCATATTAATTCTTATGCACTTTCACTTTATTAATATTTAGCTTAACCTAAACAATTAATATTGTTCATTTGAGATGTTTTCAAATTAATATTTCTGCTACAGCTTGTGAAGAATTTAACATCTTGTTTCATGAATTCTAAGCTATTTTTCCTTTTTCATTTTTTTTTTAGCTCATTTATTTGTTTGAAATAACCCAATAATATAATAAGCCTTCATTGGTGATCAAACAGAAGAGATCAATTTCTTTTTATGGAATTCAATGACCAACTGTGCAAGCTAAATGCTGGAGATGCACATTTTTCTATCACAAATAAATTTGTATTGAATTATATTTGTCGTAGTACCTAGTGACGGGTTGCTCCAATGCATAGAGCAACACAGTGTAATACAGCTAGAGTTTGACAATACATACTGGTTCTGTATTCAAGGATTTAAATTTCCCGACAAATATACTTGTCATTACATACAGTGGAGGAGTTAACATACATTCTCAATAATCCAATAAAAGTTGTCATAGTGGTTACATACATTCTCAAGAGCCCAATGTAACTCAGTTTTCTTTTATGTAATGTAGTAGCTCTACAAATGTTAATATTTCAAACAAGATTGGGAATGTGCATGAAAACATACCATTGAACTTTTCCTCTAGCCTATCATCATCATATTCCTCTTCACTTCCATCGTCTGAAAGAATAAAAATTTTACAGGAATTTAAAAGCATTCTCTGAACTGATTTTCCAGCTAAGCTTTTGTACATTCAAACATCTGTATTCATTAAGAGGCTTTAAATCTAAATTTAGGAAAAACATGAAAAGAAAAAAAAAAGTAAAACACAAAATCATTTTAAAAACTGATGAAATAATGGAAGGTAAAATAAATGTAGCTTTAAATGTAAAAATAAAATTGATTGACAGAAATGCATGATGGAGGACAAGATTGCATTACAAATTGCCTTCAGCTAATTTCTTTATCATGACAGACAAAAGCTTTGCCTGACATGTTCAATTTGTTCATTTGACAGAAATCTCAGCATGATATCTATATACTGCAACAGGATGGGATGGGCAGAGCTAAACGCTGTCATGTTAATTTTTAACTAGTTGACATTTGGGAACAGCAGTTTTAATTTATACACTTTTGAAAGGAACTGCAATTGTCAAAAAATTGATAGAGCAAAATCTGCCTTAAACTACAACAGCAAATAATTCCCGAAAACTACAGCAGCAAATAATTCCTTAAAAATACAGCAGCAAATCATTTCCTAAAACTGAGGCAACAAAAACTGCCCTAAAACAGCAGCATTAAGAACCTACCAGAGTGAAGCTCCTTGACCAATGAAGACATGGCGTTGGTGACTGAGTCTGCAGCCATCAGAAGGTCATTGCGCAGTGTGCGGGTCAGTGCAGGTCCTGATGTTGTCTGGACAGTGAAAGCCTGCTGGACGTCACCACCCAGTCCAGTCAAGCTCAGCTCAGCACTGGCAGATGGAGCTGTTGGATAGTACGCAGACATCATCGCTTTTAATGTACACAGACATCAACTCTTTTTGTGTACACATTTTACTCCAGGGATAGGGAGGGAGGTGCACTCAAAATAATATTTGGGGCAGATGCTGATATATTATGTATATTATTCTATATAAATTACATTTTTTTTTTTACTTTGTCCCATATGAGGAGCTCTGCCCCCACCCCATGAAACTCAGGTTATGTGCTTATCTAAGAGCCTAATGTCTCCACCCCAAGAAACTTAGGTTATGTGCTTGTCTAAGAGCCAACTGCCTCCAAACCACTAGCTAGCATGGAGGCTGATCAGTATTTCCCCATGTATTCTGTAGCCAGACCAGGCCTGTGCCAAGTTTCAACAGCCAGTGGCGCCCTGAAAAAGCTGTTGGCAAACACCAAACATAAAACCCTAACCCTAACCCTCGGTTAACCAGTACCAACATTTTAGTTATCTGGGGAACTTTGAAATATTCTTTCATAACTTTGACCCCCCTTCCCCCTCCGCTTCCATTACCTTACAAAACAAACCCACATATACTGAACCAAAAGACATAAATAGCAATCAGCTGCGTCATTCATAAACAAAAGAAAAATGACATTTGACAGACAACTTGACAGTCAATAAGTTTTCCTCAGCAAAAGGCAATGGCAATCAGAAATGAGAGGGAGGCGGGGATGAAAAGGTGGGGGTGGAGGAAAAACAAAGGTGGCTATTGTGTGTGAAAGAAAAGGTGGTATTTACCTGGTGAGGTGGCTGCCCGGTTGGCCAGAGCTGCTGTGAATGTTGGTGACAGACCGCTGCGGGATCTTGGAGAGCTGTTGGGCGTTGACCTCGGTGACGTTGGGTGGTTCTAAAAATATCCAACCAATCAAAATTAGATACTCTGGTTGATTGTAACTTCAAATAAGCTTATAAATATTATACGTAATAGTAAAATATATTGAGCACATTCTAACAAGACATACCTGTAGGATGGTCAGCTAACCAGACATACCTTCAAGAGCTTCATCAAAGTCTTCAGCTGCACCTACCTTCAAGAGCTTCATCAAAGTCTCAAGCTGCACCAAACATACCTTCAAGAGCTTCATCAAAGTCTCCAGCTACACCAGACATACCTTCAAGAGCTTCATCAAAGTCTCCAGATGCACCAGACATACCTTCAAGAGCTTCATCAAAGTCTCCAGCTGCACCTACCTTCAAGAGCTTCATCAAAGTCTCCAGCTACACCAGACATACCTTCAAGAGCTTCATCAAAGTCTCCAGCTGCACCAGACATACCTTCAAGAGCTTCATCAAAGTCTTCAGCTGCACCTACCTTCAAGAGCTTCATCAAAGTCTCCAGCTGCACCAAACATACCTTCAAGAGCTTCATCAAAGTCTCCAGCTACACCACCAGACATACCTTCAAGAGCATCAAAGTCTCCAGATGTACCAGACATACCTTCAAGAGCTTCATCAAAGTCTCCAGCTGCACCATCAGGTCCTTGCGGCTCTCCTGCAGTGCCTGCATCCTGGCCTCCAGCTCGTCTTTTCTCTGACGCAGGAGCCGCAGCTCCGCCAACAGGGTGGGGTTGTACTGGGACGTGTCCCCACCCTCCTGGACAAACGCCTCCTGCTCCAGCCTCAATCTCTGGATCTCACGCATGATTTCTCTGGTGAAACAACGGGGGTGGGGGGGGGGGGCAAGCATGATTTCTCTGGTGAAACAATGGGAGGGGGGGGGGGCAAGCATGATTTCTCTGGTGAAACAATGGGGGGGGGGGGGGCAAGCATGATTTCTCTGGGGAAACAAGGGGGGGGGGGGCAAGCATGATTTCTCTGGTGAAACAATGGGGGGGGGGGGGGCAAGCATGATTTCTCTGGTGAAACAATGGGGGGGGGGGGCAAGCATGATTTCTCTGGGGAAACAAGGGGGGGGGGGGCAAGCATGATTTCTCTGGTGAAACAATGGGGGGGGGGGGCAAGCATGATTTCTCTGGGGAAACAATGGGGGGGGGGGGCAAGCATGATTTCTCTGGTGAAACAATGGGGGGGGGGGGGCAAGCATGATTTCTCTGGGGAAACAATGGGGGGGGGGGGCAAGCATGATTTCTCTGAAAGGTGGAGGGGATTACTAAGTCAGTCTGTGTGTATGGTCACGATATTTTTTGCGATTACCCACCGTAATGGGTGAAACTGAGTGAGTGGATGCACATGTTGGCCCTAGCGTTTGACTACTCTGTTAGTGCTAGTATTTCATCATTCAATTAACCCTAATATGGGACACAATTTGCCCTGGCGTTTGACCACTCAATTAGCTTCAACCTGAATGAGCACCACATTTGATCTTAAACTCAAGAGAACCCAAAACGTCCCCTCATCCCTACAGATCAGCACGCCACCCTAGACTGTACAGCAAGTTCCGGTACATCCCCCCTCCCCCAGTGACGCCACAAGGTCGGGTAGTACCTGATGCAGTACCTCAGGTGTCCCTGGTCTTGTCTGGTGAATGGTGTCATGTCAAGTGGTGTCATGTAGAGTCATATATTTCACGGTTCGCGCTGAGATTTAAAATGTTTGATGTTGGTTTGGAGACCCCTGATCTAATCGGTTGATCAAGGCGTGTTTTCTCAATCAATTTTGAAGTTTTCTAAATGATGTTCCCCCCCCCTCCCCCCACCGTTGTGAGATTACCGCGCCATCCCTCGGTCTCCAGTGAGATAAAATCCACTTGGTAAAGTAAGCACGAACCAACCATCGTGACGTGAAGGACTTTACGACTTTACTCGCCAGGCATTTCAACTATGAACCCATATTGTCAAACGTCCTACAAAGCACCTGACCACCCAGCATCATGACGTGAAGGACTTTACGACTTTACTCGCCAGGCATTTCAACTATGAACCCATATTGTCAAACGTCCTACAAAGCACCTGACCGTGAGCACCCCCCCCCCCCCCCAGAGGCGTAGCTAGGGGGGGGGGGGCGGGGGGGCGGCCGCCCCGGGCGCCGACCCTATGGGGGCGCCAAAAGGGGTGGGAAAAAAATTTTAAAGCTGATTTTATGCTGCAGTTTTGAATTATAAACTGTCTAAGTTAAGAAATGTAATGGCTACACGCCTTTGCACACTGATTTAACTGTCTTCTACCTTGATTTCTTAATGTAAAACATATACTCTTAAGAAACAGTGACCGGCAAAACCGCTTTGAAGCTTTTCCTAGATGGGGGGGGGGGCGCTTTTTCGAGACTTAAATCGGAAGAATTTACACTAGATTGTTGAGTCGATAAACGTTACCACTATTAAAAGAAACCAATTGTATTAAAACGTATTGTACGATTGTTGAACTGTAAAATACGTTAGTGACTTTTATCAAGATGGTGCGGGGGGGGCGCTTTTAGGCTAAATAAAATAGCAAAATTACACTGGATTCTGAGTAAACAACCTTTAGCTCTCAGAAAGAAACGAATTGTACTGTGCATTGTATAATTGTGTAACATTAAAAAAAAAGTTAGTTACGTTAAAAACCGCTCTACAAACTTTGTCCAAGATGGTTGTGATGAGTGTGTGTGGGGGTGGGGGGCGCTTTTTTTGCTAACAAAAATCGCAAGTATTTGTACTGGATTGGTGAGTAGATAACTCTCTTAACACTTAGTAAAGAAACCAAGTGTATTAACGCGTAATGTACAATTTCACTAGCCAGTTTTGTTAAAAAAAAAAGACGCGACTATTTCTTTGTAAGATTCTTACTATTCTCTCAACTTCAACGTGTGAGATCAGATACTTTTGATTGATTGCATTACATCTTACCTGGATCACTGAACTATATTAAAGAGAACTAAATATCACGGATTCTTGAAAACCACCACTTTTTTCCATGCTCTTATTTCATTCTCCACTGTCTATAATCTAGCTCCAAGCCATACAGTAAAAGAGACCACATTTAGTTATAGATCCTGATTGAATTTTTTTGACAATGCATTTGAATTCCATATTTTCTTAGAGTGTTAAAACGCGTTTTATTGCTGCTGATTATAATCAGAACGTCATGGGCTATCATTAAATTGATTGTTACTGCTTCTTCAATCAATACAATTAGTTCTGCATTTGTTGTTAACGTTGTGCGAGCAGTGTTTCTTCCAGACTTTTTTCTCCGGGGGGGGGGGGGGGGGGGGGCACTTGAAATTATCGGGGGGGGGGGCGGTAGACTTTCTTCGGGGGGGCGGACACTGTTAAAAGTATATATTTTCTATATATAAATTATATAAATTTCATTTCGTTCAAGGGGGCGGTAAAAAAATTTCGGGGGGCTTCGCCCCCCCCCCCCCCCCCCCCCCGAAGAGATGCCTGGAAGTAACTCTGTGTGCGAGAAGGCAGGGCAAATCTGCGAAATCCAAGACTACGAGCTGTTAACATCCGTTGGATTCCAGTTTGTTTTCTCTAGCTTGTTTTGTCATACCATCAACCAATCAACGAAATACCCATGTCGTATTCCAATGTGAACAATAAATATTTCTGATAACTTCTTCTTGTATGTCACTTGTGTGTCCTTACTCTAACAAACTTCGAATCCAACTATGTACCATATCACAACAGAGATCGTTCCAAAACTAGAACATAAAAGGCTGGTCTAAACATATTAGCGTTAGCTACAAACTACCCTCTAACACAGATCAGGCTTATTTTTTTTTTACTGACATTACTAATCTTTCGCAAAAAAAGTTAAACGCATCTTAATGGGAATTAAATTGTCGTAAAGTTTTAAGAAATGAAAATCATACAATGTAATTATTAAACCTTGTCCGGACTGTAGCACACACGCTTACACACACGCTTACACACACAAATACACTCTTACCCACACACAAGCTTATATATAAACACACTATCACACACACATAATTATACACACACACACACATGTATATATATATATATATATATATATATATATATATATATATATATATATATAAGCGGGGGGGGGCGCCAAATTGAAAGTTCGCCCCGGGCGCCGGGAAGGGTCGCTACGCCTCTGCCCCCCCCCCCCCCCCCCCCCCCCCCATATGAACGGACAACACAGTCGTTTGTTCAGCCGAACGTGCCAGCCAATGTGAGCACGCCACGAACAATTCAGCATTACCTCCCTTTGTTGTCGTCTCGATTAGCTAATAGCGTTAGCGGCGTGAACTTTGAACCTGTAGTACCATGCATACTTAATGAGATGTATCCCGCGAACACGTGATTCCCGTGTTACTGACACAATAATATCAAACAGAATTTGTAATAGCTGGAACTGGGATGGCCGTCACGCCAATCTGGCAACTTCATGGATCAACAGAGGACCGTGACGTCAACATCATGGATCAACAGAGGACCGTCACGCCAACATCATGGATCAACAAAGGACCGTCACGCCAACATCATGGATCAACAGAGGACCGTCACGCCAACATCATGGATCAACAGAGGACTGTCACGCCAACATCATGGATCAACAGAGGACCGTCACGCCAACATCATGGATCAACAGAGGACCATCACGTCAACATCATGGATCAACAAAGGACCGTCACGCCAACATCATGGATCAACAGAGGATGGCAGTGATTTAAAAAAGAGTTCTCACAGTGTAACAACCTTCAGACAACCGTGGCCCATAAGAAATGGGGGAAACAGTTTACACCAACGACCTTATCATAGTGAAGCGCACGGGTTTAAAATGTATGAACATAAAAATCTTTGAACTAAAGCACGACTAATCTTAAGATGGAGGCTGATACCACCGGCGACAGTGGAAAGCCGCGCTGTGCGACACAACACAGAAAACGATGACGTAATCAGCACTGTTGTCCCCTACCAATATAACCCCGACTTACAACAACATTAGCGCCAGCATTAGCCTGGAGCCAGAGATAAGATCAGTTTGCTAATGGCTTCTGATAATCACATATCAAAGGCGGCATAATTGTAGCCCATCGGCAGATAACAACACGTCAACTACACATAACAACCAACTACACATAACAACCAACTACACCTCAACAGTACCCCAACTATAGCTTAAAAATACTATAACTATACCTTAACAGTAGATTGTAGGAAAAAAAGTCACAGGAAAAAAAAACACAGGAAAAAAAAACACAGAAAAAAAGTCACAGGAAAAAAAGTCACAGGAAAAAAAGTCACAGGAAAAAAAGTCACAGGAAAAAAAGTCACAAATATATATTTGCATGATATTTGTTAATACTTTTATGTATTAAATATTGAGAGAGTGCAAATTAACTTAGGATTAATTAAATGTAATGTAATGTGTGTAGGCTGTATACACATAGGAATTTTTATAATTCACCTGAAAATAGTTATTATGAAGTATGTAGATTGTAATTATTTTAAACTTAAGATTAGTAGCATTTAATAGAATGCCCCAAAGTCCACGTTTTTCATCGTGTTTTTTTTTAATACCAATATTAAATTACCGTGAAATGGTAAGTTCATCTGACTTGCTGCCTTCAACTCATGGCAACAATAGCTATATTTAGTTCAACCACCTTTACTGCCCACATTTATCACGCTCATTACATAACAAAACTTAGGATCAAAAAAGAAAGCCGACAAGGTTCAAAGGCTGTCATTGACGCATAACGTCAACAACACAAAATATGTTCGGACAATGACTACCGAGGAGAGGCCGACCAGAGAATAGCCTACGGCAAAATGTGCCTAAATTTCTTTTATAATTAACATTTCTACCGCGTATTTAACTAAATATGTAACAAAAGTTGAGATTGTTGTGTTAATTATCTTAGAGTATTTTTACTTACAATTGTTATAAATCATAATGCTTTTAACGTCTATAAATAATTTATGCTATCAAAAAATACAACCCACAACAATAAACACACAAAGTTTTACAATTCTTAACAAATTAATAAAAATATTTCTAAAAAGATTTTTGTGACTTTTTTTCTGTGACTTTATTTCTGTGACTTTTTTTCCGATAAAATTTTTCCACTGTGACTTTTTTTCTGTGACTTTTTTTCCTAGCAAAAACTGTGACTTTTTTTCTGTGTTTTTTTTTCCTGTGACTTTTTTTCCGTTTACCTAACAGTACCCCAACAACCACTGACCAGACCAGCCCCCACTACCACTGATCAGCCTCCACTGACCACAAACTGACCAGCCCCAACTACCACTAATCAGCACCCACTGACCTCTAACATCGACAGATAACAACACGTCAACTACACATAACAAACCAACTACACCTTAACAGTACCCCAACTAAACCGTAACAGTACCCTCACAACCACTGACAGTCAACTAAATGACCAGCCACCACAACCACTGGCCAGCCCCCACAACCACTGACCAGTCCCCACAACCACTGACCAGTCCCCACAACCACTGACCAGTCCCCACAACCACTGACCAGTCCCCACAACCACTGACCAGTCCCCACTACCACTGACCATCCCAAACTACCACTGACCATCCCACACTACAACTGACCATTAACTGACTAGCCCCCACAACCACTGACCACTAACTGACCAGCCCCCACAACCACTGACTACTAACTGACCAGCCCCCACAACAACTGACCACTAACTGACCAGCCCACACTGACCACTAACTGACCAGCCCCCACAACAACTGACTACTAACTGACAAGCCCCCACAACCACTGACCACTAACTGACCAGCCCACAAAACAACTGACTACTAACTGACCAGCCGCCACTGACCACTAACTGACCAGCCCCCACAACCACTGACCACTAACTGACCAGCCACACAACCAATGACTACTAACTGACCAGCCCCCACTGACCACTAACTGACCAGCCCACACAACAACTGACTACTAACTGACCAGCCCCCACAACAACTGATTACTAACTGACCAGCCCCCCACTACCACTGACACAAACTGACCAGCCCACACAACAACTGACCACTAACTGACCAGCCCCCACAACCACTGACCACTAACTGACCAGCCACACAACCAATGACTACTAACTGACCAGCCCACACAACCACTGACTACTAACTGACCAGCCCCCACTGACCACCCAACAAACTGACCAGCTCCCCACTGACCACAAATTGACCAGCCCGCAGTGACCACTAACTGACCAGCCCCCACAACCACTGACTACTAACTGACCAGCCCCCACAACAACTGACCACTAACTGACCAGCCCCCACTACCACTGACCAGCCCCAACTGACCACTAACTGACCAGCCCCAACTGACCACTAACTGACCAGCCCCCACTACCACTGACCAGCCCCAACTGACCACTAACTGACCAGCCCCAACTGACCACTAACTGACCAGCCCCAACTGACCACTAACTGACCAGCCCCCACTACCACTGACCAGCCCCAACTGACCACTAACTGACCAGCCCTCACTACCACTGGCCATTAACTGACCACTAACCTGTTCTTGGCCTCCAGCTGGGCTATCAGCTCCCTCTGTGCCTGGTTGGTGTCTACACTACACTACCACTGACCACTAACTGACCAGCCCCCACAACAACTGACTACTAACTGACCAGCCCCCACAACAACTGACCACTAACTGACCAGCCCCCACAACCACTGACCACTAACTGACCAGCCCCCACAACCACTGACTACTAACTGACCAGCCCACACTGACCACTAACTGACCAGCCCCCACAACAACTGACCACTAACTGACCAGCCCACACAACCACTGACTACTAACTGACCAGCCCCCACTGACCACCCAACAAACTGACCAGCTCCCCACTGACCACAAATTGACCAGCCCGCAGTGACCACTAACTGACCAGCCCCCACAACCACTGACTACTAACTGACCAGCCCCCACAACAACTGACCACTAACTGACCAGCCCCCACTACCACTGACCAGCCCCAACTGACCACTAACTGACCAGCCCCAACTGACCACTAACTGACCAGCCCCCACTACCACTGACCAGCCCCAACTGACCACTAACTGACCAGCCCCAACTGACCACTAACTGACCAGCCCCAACTGACCACTAACTGACCAGCCCCCACTACCACTGACCAGCCCCAACTGACCACTAACTGACCAGCCCTCACTACCACTGGCCATTAACTGACCACTAACCTGTTCTTGGCCTCCAGCTGGGCTATCAGCTCCCTCTGTGCCTGGTTGGTGTCTACACTCAGGTTGAGCTCGGCCGTGGACCTGGACTAGAGGAAAGAATGTACACATTAGGCAAGGGTTGGTGTACACATTAGGCAAGGGTTGGTGTCTACACTCAGGTTGAGCTCGGCCGTGGACCTGGACTAGAGGAAAGAATGTACACATTAGGCAAGGGTTGGTGTACACATTAGGCAAGGGTTGGTGTCTACACTCAGGTTGAGCTCGGCCGTGGACCTGGACTAGAGGAAAGAATGTACACATTAGGCAAGGGTTGGTGTACACATTAGGCAAGGGTTGGTGTCTACACTCAGGTTGAGCTCGGCCGTGGACCTGGACTAGAGGAAAGAATGTACACATTAGGCAAGTGTTGGTGTACACATTAGGCAAGGGTTGGTGTAGACATTAGGCAAGGGTTGGTTTAGACGTTAGACAAGGTTTGGTGTAGACATTAGACAAGGTTTGGTGTAGACATTAGGCAAGGGTTGGTGTACAACATTAGGCAAGGGTTGGTGTAGACATTAGGCAAGGGTTGGTGTAGACATTAGGCAAGGGTTGGTGTACACATTAGGCAAGGGTTGGTGTACACATTAGGCAAGGGTTGGTATACACATTAGGCAAGGGTTGGTGTACACATTAGGCAAGGGTTGGTGTACACATTAGGCAAGGGTTGGTTTAGACGTTAGACAAGGTTTGGTGTAGACATTAGGCAAGGGTTGGTGTACACATTAGGCAAGGGTTGGTGTATACATTAGGCAAGGGTTGGTGTACACATTAGGAAAGGGTTGGTGTACACGTTAGGCAAGGATTGGTGTACACATTAGGCAAGGGTTGGTTTAGACGTTAGACAAGGTTTGGTGTAGACATTAGACAAGGTTTGGTGTAGACATTAGGCAAGGGTTGGTGTACAACATTAGGCAAGGGTTGGTGTAGACATTAGGCAAGGGTTGGTGTAGACATTAGGCAAGGGTTGGTGTACACATTAGGCAAGGGTTGGTGTACACATTAGGCAAGGGTTGGTGTACACATTAGGCAAGGGTTGGTGTAGACATTAGGCAAGGGTTGGTGTACACATTAGGCAAGGGTTGGTGTAGACATTAGGCAAGGGTTAGTGTACACATTAGGCAAGGGTTGGTGTACACATTAGGCAAGGGTTGGTGTAGACATTAGGCAAGGGTTGGTGTACACATTAGGCAAGGGTTGGTGTACACATTAGGCAAGGGTTGGTTTAGACGTTAGACAAGGTTTGGTGTAGACATTAGGCAAGGGTTGGTGTACACATTAGGCAAGGGTTGGTGTAGACATTAGGCAAGGGTTGGTTTAGACGTTAGACAAGGTTTGGTGTAGACATTAGGCTAGGGTTGGTGTACAACATTAGGCAAGGGTTGGTGTAGACATTAGGCAAGGGTTGGTGCAGACATTAGGCAAGGGTTGGTGTACACATTAGGCAAGGGTTGGTGTACACATTAGGCAAGGGTTGGTGTACACATTAGGCAAGGGTTGGTGTAGACATTAGGCAAGGGTTGGTGTACACATTAGGCAAGGGTTGGTGTACACATTAGGCAAGGGTTGGTGTACACGTTAGGCAAGGGTTGGTGTACACATTAGGCAAGGGTTGGTGTACACGTTAGGCAAGGGTTGGTGTAGACATTATGCAAGGGTTGGTGTACACATTAGGCAAGGGTTGGTGTAGATATTAGGCAAGGGTTGGTGTACACATCAGGCAAGGGTTGGTGTAGACATTAGGCAAGGGTTGGTGTACACATTAGAAAAGGATTGGTGTACACGTTAGGCAAGGATTGGTGTACACATTAGGCAAGGGTTGGTGTACACGTTAGGCAAGGGTTGGTGTACACATTAGGCAAGGGTTGGTGTACACGTTAGGCAAGGGTTGGTGTAGACATTAGGCAAGGGTTGGTGTATACATTAGGCAAGGGTTGGTGTACACATTAGGCAAGTGTTGGTGTACACATTAGGCAAGTGTTGGTATATCTATTTAGAAAACTTTGGTAAACATTTGGAAAGGGAATAATAGAACATAATGTACAAGTCAGGCAATGAATCATACAATTTTTTTACTTTTAACATTTTGAAAAAGCATGTAATTATGCAGCAAAAACGCAACGCATTAAGGCAGGAAATTTATAATTTAAAGACCAATTAAAGTGATTAACCTAATTAAAGAGAGAAGTTAAATGCTGCCAGAATGTAAAGTTAGAAACTGAGCCTTTGTTAAATCAACTTGTCCACAGGTCACCACTAGCCTCTATTCACCGTGCCACTACAGGTCACCACTAATCAGAGTTAAATCTGTACCCCCACAAGACACAGAGAAATGTGTACCCCCACAAGACACAGAGAAATGTGTACCCCCACAAGACACAGAGAAATGTGTACCCCCACAAGACAGCAGAGAAATGTGTACCCCCACAAGACACAGAGAAATGTGTACCCCCACAAGACAGCAGAGAAATGTGTACCCCCACAAGACAGCAGAGAAATGTGTACCCCCACAAGACAGCAGAGAAATGTGTACCCCCACAAGACAGCAGAGAAATGTGTACCCTCACAAAACAGAAATGTGTACCCCCACAAGACAGCAGAGAAATGTGTACCCTCACAAGACAGCAGAGAAATGTGTACCCCCACAAGACAGCAGAGAAATGTGTACCCCCACAAGACAGCAGAGAAATGTGTACCCCCACAAGACAGCAGAGAAATGTGTACCCCCACAAGACACAGAGAAATGTGTACCCCCACAAGACACAGAGAAATGTGTACCCCCACAAGACACAGAGAAATGTGTACCCCCACAAGACACAGAGAAATGTGTACCCCCACAAGACACAGAGAAATGTGTACCCCCACAAGACAGCAGAGAAATGTGTACCCTCACAAAACAGAAATGTGTACCCCCACAAGACAGCAGAGAAATGTGTACCCTCACAAGACAGCAGAGAAATGTGTACCCCCACAAGACAGCAGAGAAATGTGTACCCCCACAAGACAGCAGAGAAATGTGTACCCCACAAGACAGCAGAGAAATGTGTACCCCCACAAGACACAGAGAAATGTGTACCCCCACAAGACACAGAGAAATGTGTACCCCCACAAGACACAGGGAAATGTGTACCCCCACAAGACACAGAGAAATGTGTACCCCCACAAGACACAGAGAAATGTGTACCCCCACAAGACACAGAGAAATGTGTACCCCCACAAGACACAGAGAAATGTGTACCCTCACAAGACAGTGGAGAAATGTGTACCCTCACAAGACAGCAGAGAAATGTGTACCCTCACAAGACAGCAGAGAAATGTGTACCCCCACAAGACAGCAGAGAAATGTGTACCCTCACAAGACAGTGGAGAAATGTGTACGGAGTTATGTCTTGACCAGGTACCCCTAACATCCAGGTTTTATTTACAGGCTACAGAGATGGCCGACATGAAGAGATGGCCGACATGAAAAGCATTTGTTCACATTTAAACAAAGACCCAAATTTAATGACATACTCAAATGACATACGAATAGATTTAATGACATACTCAAATGACATACGAATAGATTTAATGACATAAACAATCGGCAAACGCGGGACTTTCAATGGGAGATGCAAACGGCACAAAGCTCAATAGGAGGTTTGATTGGCATGTTTGAGGGTAAATAACACAAGCTTAAATGTCACGTGCATCGTGTCACGTGGTCCTGGGACGGAGGGGGGAGGAGACCACCAATCGATAGGAGTCGGGGGGGGGGGGGGCGACGACGACATAAGGTAACGCATTGGTAAGATGAAGTACAGTTTATCTGTCTTGCTAACAGCAACGGATCTAAGCACATGTGATGCACTAACGATAAAACAACAAACAAACGTGAACAATGAAACTACAGCAAATCAGTCAACACCGAGTACACTCCCTTATAACAAGCAGATGTTTCAAAAAGCGCGGACGTATCAGAAGTTGAGACAAAGTGACAAAAAAACAACACAAGATCTGATACACCATTCTGGATGACTATGATTGTCAAACATTCGATACGGGGTATATTTTTACCGAAGATATTGTGTCTGATCTGATTAGCACATAGTAATTGAGACCTCCCCCCCCCCCCCCCCCCCGCTACACACGGTGTTGTAGCCGAGCTGCCAACACTAAATGTTAACCGCAATACATTTCCACAATAGGCTATTGATCGCTATGTCACACGGTGCGCGGGGAGGCTGGACGCCGGTAAAAAGTATCCGTGTGTGCTGGGTTACGTACCTTGATCAGCTGACTGTAGGCGGTGCGCCATGTCGAGCCGTAGCACCAGTCGTACATCTCCGGCGTCTGCTCCAGTGCTGACATCATCATGGCCGCCACGGGGCTCGTTAATCCATACAGGAGGTAGTTAATCCATACAGGGTGTATGTTAATCCATACAGGGTGTATGTTAATCCATACAGGAGGTTGTTAATCCATACAGAAGGTTGTTAATCCATACACGATATTGAATAATTCACATATGGTGCCAGCTATTCCATACAGCGAGACCGTTAATCCTCCTTACACGGTGTCAGTTAATCCCCTTGACACGGTGTCACTTAATCCATACTAGTTGACTACGTTGTAAATAAGGTATTTGTTTCATGTCCCTCCTACCACATCTACTAACGACAGATCAATAACATCAACAACTCGATAGCATCAACCAAACAAGAGGACAGATGGATCTAGAGGACAGATGGATCTAGAGGACAGCTGATCTATAGGACAGCTGATTTATAGGACAGCTGATCTAAAGGACAGCTGATCTAGAGGACAGCTGATCTAGAGGACAGCTGATCTATAGGACAGCTGATCTATAGGACAGCTGATCTAGAAGACAGCTGATCTAGAAGACAGCAAATCTAGATGACAGTTTATCTATAGGACAGCTGATCTAGAAGACAGCTGATCTAGAAGACAGTTGATCTAGAAGACAGCTGATCTAGAAGACAGCTGATCTAGAAGACAGCTGATCTAGAAGACAGCTGATCTAGAGGACAGGACAGCTTATCCCAGCTACACACAAGCTCCACTACAACAGAACACGGATAACAACGTAAATCCTCCAAACCCTAGAATAAACACCAGCACTGTATCCAAAGAACGGAGCCACCATACGCCGAATGTTTTGTGTGAGTGTACACAAGACCCTCATGCCGCTAGTCTCTGACTGACCCAACCCACTGAGCGTGTGTGTAGAATCTTGCTGGGGTAGCAGTAACCTGTTATTTTCGTACCTGTAACATACTTTCACTTCTAAAAATAAAATGCTATCGATGAGCAACATCCCTTATCTCACGTTATAATACAATAAAAACAGGGGCGGACAACTCCGCTGTTCTAGACCAAGCCGGGATAACTCCTGCCGCGAGTGAGCCCCTCCCTTCTCTAACGTTTAAAACAGTTTTTTGCTAAGCGGGGTAACTCTCACTTCAGCACTGGAGTGACGTTAATGCAAACGTAACAGAGCTTATTATGACGTCCATTGTTTTTGCTGTGCCGTAGTTTCTCGTAGTGGGGTGACCTATATCAATTGTTGCGTGATCTCAGTAAATGTCAGGCCGGGTGGCATATGTGTGGGATAAGTGGGATAAGTGTGGGGCATGCGTGGGATAAGTGTGGGGCATGTATAGGATAAGTGTGGGGAATGTGTGGGATAAAAGTGGGGCATAGGTTGGATAAGTGTGGGACATGTGTGGGATAAGTGTTGAGCATGCGTGGGGCATGTGTGGGATAAGTGTGGGGCATGTGTGGGATAAGTGTGGGATAAGTGTGGGATAAGTGTGATGCATGTGTGAGGTATGTGTGGGATAAGTGTGGGGCATGTGTGGGATAAGTGTGGGGCATGTGTGGGGCATGTGTGGGATAAGTGTGGGGCATGTGTGGGGCATGTGTGGGATAAGTGTGGGGCATGTGTGGGATAAGTGTGGGATAAGTGTGATGCATGTGTGGGTATGTGTGGGATAAGTGTGGGGCATGTGTGGGATAAGTGTGGGGCATGTGTGGGGTATGTGTGGGATAAGTGTGGGGCATGTGTGGGATAAGTGTGGGGCATGTGTGGGATAAGTGTGGGGCATGTGTGGGATAAGTGTGGGGCATGTGTGGGATAAGTGTGGGGCATGTGTGGGATAAGTGTGGGGCATGTGTGGGATAAGTGTGGGGCATGTGTGGGATAAGTGTGGGGCATGTGTGGGATAAGTGTGGGCATGCGTGTGATAAGTGTGGGGGCATGTGTGGGATAAGTGTGGGGCATGTGTGGGATAAGTGTGGGGCATGTGTGGGATAAGTGTGGGCATGCGTGTGATAAGTGTGGGGCATGTGTGGGATAAGTGTGGGGCATGTGTGGGATAAGTGTGGGGCATGTGTGGGATAAGTGTGGGATAAGTGTGATGCATGTGTGGGGTATGTGTAGGATAAGTGTGGGGCATGTGTGGGATAAGTGTGGGGCATGTGTGGGGTATGTGTGGGATAAGTGTGGGGCATGTGTGGGATAAGTGTGGGGCATGTGTGGGATAAGTGTGGGGCATGTGTGGGATAAGTGTGGGGCATGTGTGGGATAAGTGTGGGGCATGTGTGGGATAAGTGTGGGGCATGTGTGGGATAAGTGTGGGGCATGTGTGGGATAAGTGTGGGGCATGTGTGGGATAAGTGTGGGATAAATTTGGGCATGTGTGGGATAAGTGTAGGATAAGTGTGGGGATAAGTGTGGGGCATGTGTGGGATAAGTGTGGGGCATGTGTGGGACATATGTGGGAAAGAATGTGGGGCATGTGTGGGATAAGTGTGGGGCATGTGTGGGACATGTGTGGGAAAGAATGTGGGGCATGTGTGGGATAAGTGTGGGGCATGTGTGGGAAAGAATGTGGGGCATGTGTGGGACACAGAGGGGAAGCAGAACTCTACTCAACCCGACAACACACAACCTACAGAGGGGTGTGGGTGGTTGGTGAGTTGGAGGATGGTGTGTTGCTGTGTTGTGGGTCGAAGTGTCACGTTTTGTGAGTTGGTATATTTTATGTTGGTGTGTTGACGGTATGTGTGTGTGTGTGTGTGTGTAAACTTAATGTGTTGTGGGTTGGTGTGTTGTAGTTGGTGTGTTGCAGTTGGTGTGTTGAGGTTGGCATGTTTAGATTTGTGTGTTTATAGTTTGGTGTAGATGCCTAATGTTTAATCTAACACACCTAAACAATTCCATGTTACTGAATTGAATATTTATAGATGGGACTAGCTCAGCGATAATCATTTGGTTTGTTAAAATAATTACAATCGATGTAATCGATAGCCAAATCGATCATGTTTTTTTGAACGGTTCAGCTGATCTTTAGCCCATTTCAATCAACGCAAGTGGTTAGCACACGTTGAGCATTAGCACATTTTCTTAACGATGTCTTTGTGGGAGAAGGACCTAGTCATGGCAACAACATTACACTAACTTCCCTTAGCTCCGTGGGGACAACACTAACTTCCCTTAGCTCCGTGGGGACAACAACATTACACTAACTTCCCTTAGCTCCGTGGGGACAACAACATTACACTAACTTCCCGTAGTTCAGCGGGGACAACAACATTACACTAACTTCCCGTAGTTCAGCGGGGACAACAACATTACACTAACTTCCCTTAGCTCCGTGGGGACAACAACATTACACTAACTTCCCTTAGCTCCGTGGGGACAACAACATTACACTAACTTCCCTTAGCTCCGTGGGGACAACAACATTACACTAACTTCCCTTAGCTCCGTGGGGACAACAACATTACACTAACTTCCCTTAGCTCCGTGTGGACAACAACATTACACTAACTTCTCTTAGCTCCGTGGGGACAACAACATTACACTAACCTCCCTTAGCTCCGTGGGGACAACAACATTACACTAACGTCCCTTAGCTCCGTGGGGACAACAACATTACACTAACCTCCCTTAGCTCCGTGGGGACAACACTAACTTCCCTTAGCTCCGTGGGGACAACAACATTACACTAACTTCCCTTAGCTCCGTGGGGACAACAACATTACACTAACCTCCCTTAGCTCCGTGGGGACAACAACATTACACTAACTTCCCTTAGCTCCGTGGGGACAACAACATTACACTAACCTCCCTTAGCTCCGTGATGACAACAACATTACACTAACTTCCCTTAGCTCCGTGGGGACAACAACATTACACTAACTTCCCTTAGCTCCGTGGGGACAACAACATTACACTAACTTCCCTTAGCTCCGTGGGGACAACAACATTACACTAACCTCACTTAGCTCCGTGGAGACAACACAATACACGAGTAGGGGGTGGCATAAGTGCAGGTATAAAACCTAATAAACCCCACAACCAGTCAAACAGAAAACACAGAGATCAGCAGCGACCTGAGCTCAATAGAATGGCCTAAAAAAAAACAACCTCCCCATCTTAGACATTAGCGCCCAATGCCCAACCCGTTAAACACGCAACATGTTATGACCACATCAGCCTTGCTAACGTCCGATCATTCCCCGACCCCCCCCCCCCCCAATAAAAACATCACCCAACCACCAAGTACCCTTACAATCATACAATCCAACATCTTCATCAGACTACCTTCCCAACCCCACCGTTAATGTGTTGAGGCCCATATGAAATATAAGTTGTGAGCTTACCTTAACCCCCCCCCCCCCCCCCCATAAGAACAGTATTAGTATAGAGACCAGTCAGCACGCTCATATGAAATGTAAATTAACACTTAACGAGGCGACAACAACAATCCTAATGACGTCACCAATTGTTTGTGCGCGCTAACAATGCGTGAAGCAAATTTCAAGGGCAAACAATCCACGGACAAGGCGGGTAATCTGGAATTAATTTGATTACACTTGGTTTTAGAATTTTCTCTCGGTAATTTTCGTTAACTACCGGCAATCGGTTCACGTTAATTACGTCAAATTGTTTAGAAAGTCATCATTCCAGTGTAAATAATTCAAGCATTTCAGCAAGTCTTCATTTGTTTACACGAGTTAAAATGTGTCATTAATGATTCTATAATTAGCCCAAGGGAATAAAAAAATTAAAGTGTCCTGGTGATTACGACACGGTGTTGTTGCACGACCCTCCCCCACCCAAGTCAATAGTGTCTCATGTTTTCCTCCCCCTTCCATACTTCATACACTACATCTCTCATCTGTTAACTCCAGATCTAAATAGCAACTGATGTTTTTAAATGCTAAAAAATATTACCTAGACCTAAGCAGGTATAAACATTTGTACGTATGGACTTACACACGTACGTACGGATAGACGAACGTACTTATAGAACTACGCATACACGTGTATAGAATTGCGAACGTAATGACCTATGTACATTTTCACCTAACCTTAAACTTAAACAGACCTAAACAAATACTGACCTAAGGATATACAGACCTACGGAAATACTGACCTAAGGATATACAGACCTACGCAAATACTGACCTACGGAAATACTGACCTACGGAAATACTGACCTACGCAAATACTGACCTACGCAAATACAGACCTACGCAAATACTGACCTACGGAAATACTGACCTACGGAAATACTGACCTAAGGATATACAGACCTACGCAAATACTGACCTACGGAAATACTGACCTAAGGATATACAGACCTACGCAAATACTGACCTACGGAAATACTGACCTACGGAAATACTGACCTACGCGAATACTGACCTAAGGATATACTGACCTACGCGAATACTGAACTAAGTACGTATTGACCTACACACAAACAGACCTACGTACGTGTAAACACATTCACGTCGCTGGTGCTTATGGTCAAGTCAAATGTTATGTTGGCGGCACGAAATAAAAATGTGGGTAGATGGATGAGTACATTTACAGCAAACACAAATATATCACATCTAAAACACGGCCTCGCTTATTTCACACGAGAGAACAGTTTCTAACTTGATCCAACTGAACCACAAATTATTCACTGGTCCATGAGAGAAATATTAAGAATGTTTTGAACAACATCCAACTAATTATCCACTGTAGTAAACCTACTTTCGTTTAGGCTACACGGTAATATATTTTTTTTGTACAGCAGGCAGCTAAACCCAACATTTTACAATGATAGAACAAAGGCTACACAATAAAGGCTACACACAACAGATTACACACAACACAGGCTACACACAACACAGGCTACACACAACACAGGCTACACACAACATAGATTACACACAACACAGGTTACACACAACACAACA